CTGTCCAGATTAACCCTCAAAGTCGTTTGGAAGTGTCCAATTTATTTTTTATTAACATCGTAAGCGACCCAACATGGCGTACATTTGTAGACAATTACAGGTAATTTCATTTGAAACCCCTTTAAAATGTTTCTTAAAGGGTAAATCTTGTTAAATTTGAAATAGACATATACTGCGACATTCACCACAAAAATTGTCCCGTTTCCATAAGGACTAACCTTGCTACCTAAGACTTGTTCATTGCTTAACTGAAGAAATTTTGGCATTTATTTTTGTTTGACAGATCTCTTCACTTTTCGCTTAATCTTTACACAGTCCTTTCAAAAAAAAAAAAATTGCGACAACCGCTTTACTGTCCTATCATAACAATGAACAGATGTATCTTAGATGCCTATGTTAGCAGAAACATAACTCATGAATATGATATAGTAGCCCTTCAGGGAACACCTTGTAGTTGTATGAAAATTCTCTTTGAATAATTTAATTTATTCCCTCATACTACGTTAACCAAATGATCAAAGGGTTTAAATCTGTGAACATCTATGCATTGAGTTCCAAAGATAAAAAACCTACAACTTATGATAATTGGTATGTCATGGTATATATCATAGTTTAATGACCATTACACAGGAAACTCGTGTACATAATTAATGTGTAAAAATGTGACCTGAAGAGATAATAGCTAATGAGCAGTGTTCAAAATAATTATGGAGTTTTTAGAAGGCGAGTCTCAGAGTCAAATAGTTCAATGAATTACACCTAAAAAGGATTCCTTATTGGAATATACCAGTACCTTCTCAACTTAAATTTTCGCAATAGCCATTGTTCTTGTATTGCATTGTACATAATACAGAGCTTCATTGGATTGTAGGCCCTATGGCAGTGAATCAGTTATAACTAGACAGAAAGACTGTATTATGGGTTATTTCTGTCAAGTGCTCTGATTGGCTGTATTCTACTAGCTGACATCAAAACAAGCAAATGTGGAGGTCACACGAGGTCGCACATGTAAATTATTAATCCTTTCGGAAATGCCCAAAAAATAGGTTAGCACGAAATTAGGTTACTTGACTGTACCCTAAGCTTATATATATATATCTATATATAGGGAACTTGTAAAGGGGGGAAACCACTGTAAGCCTTCGCTAGCATACAATCCAATCGAATTGCTACAATTACAAATTTCTGTGATACAAGATAAGCCTCTATAGCTGTCAAGATAAGCTTATAAGAGGAAGTTCATAATAGCTGGACATTGTGAAGATCCTCTACAAACTGCTTACTACTCATTTATATTATAAACATATTATTTAATTATAGAGAATCATACCCAAAAGTTCCAAACATGGTGCAGCTACATGTAGTTTTAGACTATATTCAACATCTTATGAAAATGATGAAGATAGAAAGAAGGGGAGATTCAGCATAGCAAAGCACATAATTAATTTCTCATTTTTAAATTTTATCTCTTCACTTGAACCCTTTGATAGTTATGTCCATAGGAGGCAGAGGAAAAACTTTAAAGAGCAAGAAGGGTAGGTTTTTTTAGTCTTGTGTTTGAAATACTTCAGCATGAATTGTATCCAAGATTTCTGATATGAAAAAAAAAATGGAATTTATGATAGGGTCTGATAGGGTCAAATATTTGCTGAAAATTGCCCCTGTAAAACAAATTTCAAATTGAAATACTCATGATTATATATTTATCAAGAAAAAAATGTTCTTAGACTATCAATACTGTTATAAAGTGATATTCCAATGAACAGTAAGGAATGATATTTAACGTAGAAAATGTGAAAGTGTAGATATTTTGCTGTCTATTGTAGGTTTGATCATATGAGATATGCAGTATTAGGAAGTGATCTAGCTACAGCACAATTTGTAATTGCTCGAGGTGGTGCAGTGAAGTTTGTAGATGATGAGACATGGCACGATAACCAGACAGGAATGGTACCGAATCATAAAGTAGAAGGACTTAATCTGGAAGCAGTTGATATATCTCAGACACAGTTATCAAGTGTTGCTTTAGATAATTTTAGTAAGATGGTCTATTTTTTATTAATAGGGATAGTAAAGATAGTTAAACTTTCTATGAGAATCTAACAGATATGAGCCATCAACATGCCTTTTCAGAATCAATATCTTATGTCTGGTTCTCCTACAAGGAGTAAGAGAACATAGCATACACTCACCTTAACTCAGATTCAAGAGAATCATTTTTAATAGATCCTTGCCCAAACTTCACAGCATTGATCTTTCCCACATTTTCTCTCTCATTTACTGACCGAAATATTTGATATCCTTTATTTCAGTTGAGCTGGATCATTTAAGATATTTAAATGCAAGTGATTGTGAATATGTTGATGATTGGTTTTTAGCTAAATTATATCTATTAGAGAATACTCTAGAATTTCTAGATGTAAGTGGTTGTCATAATGTTAGTGAAAGAGGATTGTTAAGTCTACACCATTTAAAGTAAGTTTTTATTTTTCTTATTTTGCTTCATCAAGACTTTACTATGTCAGCCACTTGCAATAGTGTATTCAAAGGGAGGGCCATTGGCCAAGTGAAGGTCTTGTTTTGAATTGAAAATTACTGCTTTAAATGCTCAAAATTCGTCACAGGCTGTCTGGAAACTGTTGGCATCCCCCAGTTCCCTGGCCTCGAGAGGCCTCATTCCTTAGGGCCTTGCCTCGAACGACTCTTCTCATTTTTGGCTTTCCCCTCAGGCATTTTCTACATTATGCCCCTGGTCACTTGTCTTTGTTACAGTACCACAATTGCTAAGACTCAAGCTGAAATAGTCTAGTTGTCTGAAGATCAGACAGCATGAAAATTTTGTGTATTAAAATATAGTGGAATCTGCAATCTGCATGGTCATGTTGGATTGTCGCAGATATGCTCAAATATCTTTGCTTTGCTATACACAATTTCATTCATAATATTAGCTTATAACTTTTTTATATCAAATATTTGTTTTATTTCAGAAAGTTACAAGGACTAAGACTAGATAATATGGAACATATCAAGGAATTAGAGTTAACTGTGGTCTTATTACAGGAATATTTCCCTAATCTTGTTGTCTTAGGCTTGGACAAAGATACACCCAAATCTATTGACTCTTGATTCTTAACTCTTCAAATCAAACAATAGTGAAGGCTTAAAAAGTGTCTAGCTGTGATATTTTGGTTTTGGACACATTTGTGATTGAAATTGAAGATGTTTTTTTTTGCAAGTGAAAAGCCATAAGAAGTTAGATAATATCAAGTTATATATATTTGATCCTAAAAAATATTGTGGACTGACATGGAAAAAAGTGTCTACTCGTAATATTGAAAGTACAACCAGTCGTTAAATCGTCAAATATTGTGGATTAGTTAAGTTAGGACATGCCCTCTTTAAGGCTTATCAGACAGCCACTCGGAAAGTTTGTATTGAATAAAATTAAATTATCAATTTATGTCGTTACTTTTCTTCAAGCACACATTAGAGAGAGTTTCAGCCTTTATTTATATTTATCTTTGGCTATATGAATATTGATTTAGGCTAAAGCTTTCATGTTTTGTGTGATGGTTTTGCACATTATTGAGGATGGGCAGGGCTTGATCTCAGTATAGATGGGCATCATGGCATGAGTTTTTCCAGCATGTTTCCCCAGGCAGTGACGCCTCCTTTGGACACTACATAAGATAAGATGTGGCTGCCCTTCATCCTTCAACAGTTTAAAAAAAGACTTCTGTGCCTTTGATATAAAAAAGTGTGTCACACTGCAGTTTTACTGTTATAAATAAAACTCACTTTCAATTAAACAAAGCAGTGTAAAATCCACTCACCAATTATAACAGTAAATAGCTAGAAATACATAACTTGTCTAAATTGGAGGGTGAGTACTGTTATGAAAACAGCTCACTAGACTGAGTACTATTTGAAATCAGCTCACTAGCTTTTTGGACTATTTTGTCGGTTTTTTTGATAGTGAGTACTGTTATGAAAACAGCTCACTAGACTGAGTACTATTTGAAATCAGCTCACTAGCTTTTTGGATTATTTTGTCTGGATTTTGGTAGTGAGTACTGTTATGAAAACAGCTCACTAGACTGAGTAGTATTTGAAATCAGCTCACTAGCTTTTTGGACTATTTTGTCTGTTTTTTTGATAGTGAGTACTGTTATGAAAACAGCTCACTAGACTGAGTACTATTTGAAATCAGCTCACTAGCTTTTTTGGATTATTTTGTCTGGTTTTTGGTAGTGAGTACTGTTATGAAAACAGCTCACTAGACTGAGTACTATTTGAAATCAGCTCACTAGCTTTTTTTGGATTATTTTGTTTGGTTTTTGGTAGTGAGTACTGTTATGAAAACAGCTCACTAGACTGAGTACTATTTGAAATCAGCTCACTAGCTTTTTTTGGATTATTTTGTTTGGTTTTTGGTAGTGAGTACTGTTATGAAAACAGCTCACTAGACTGAGTACTATTTGATATCAGCTCACTAGCTTTTTTTGGATTATTTTGTTTGGTTTTTGGTAGTGAGTACTGTTATGAAAACAGCTCACTGGACTGAGTACTATTTGAAATCAGCTCACTAGCTTTTTTTGGACTATTTTGTCTGGTTTTTTGGTAGTGAGTACTGTTATGAAAACAGCTCACTAGACTGAGTACTATTTGAAATCTACTCACTAGCCTTTTTTGGATTATTTTGTCTGGTTTTTGGTAGTGAGTACTGTTATGAAAACAGCTCACTAGACTGAGTACTATTTGAAATCAGCTCACTAGCTTTTCTTTTGACTATTTTATCTGGTTTTTGGTAGTGAGTACTGTTAACACTACTCATAATAGTGAGTAGTGTTATATCTACTCACTAACATAGGCCTACTGGTCTAATTCTGGACTTGGTACTGTTATAATTCTACTCACTAATTTACTGCTATGAAATCTACTCACCAATCATAACAGTAAATAAACAGAGGGCTTAATTGGTTGACCTATATCAGATTAACCAATCAGCTTTATTTAAATTTACTGTTATAAATGAAGAGTTATTTCCCTTCCATAAGTTATAAGACAAATATGGGCAAAATGGGATTTCATAAATATGACTCAAGAACAGCACCGGGGCAAGGTCATAATGCAAAAATAATATTAAGGGTTCAATTGCTTTTTATAGCTACTCATAAGGCAGCCCACATGTAAAAGAAACTTGTAAATCTGTAACATAACTTTATTCAATATCATCTACTGAATATTCATAATTTTCACATACACATTTGATTTCTTTTAAAAAATACAGTCAAATAGAAAATATCATTCAAATATAGACAATAACATTTCTGCACAGATCATAACTGATAAATTAGATCAACATTCACAACAAACATAACTAAAATATATCTCATGCAAAATACCATGGCTATTGAGTCCAATTAGGACAAGGTAAAACAAATCGTTTAATAGGGTCCTCGTGTATCATACAATTTGAATAAGCCAAATTGTGTGAACATATCTTCTGACACTAAGCGCACACCTTCAGTACATCTTATTACAAGTACCAAAACATTTGAATTCTAACAACATGCTGTCAATAATAGCTAATAAAACAAATATCACTTTATAGACTGACAAAGATGTATGTGTATCAGGGACACTGATAGCATCAATATCCAATTTTCAAACAGATGTATGTAGTTCCTGCAATTCCACTAAAACAAAGTGTTTGATGATAAAATGCTTGTATTACAAAGGCCCTACGCGATTAGCGACGTCATCAAACACTTAGTTTAAGTAGAATTGCAGGAACCACAGACGTCTGCTGTAAAATTGGAATGGTGCAAATTGATGCTATCAGTATCCTTGATACACATAAAAACTTTAGAAAACCTTTTCACAATCTCCTTAATGTATATCTAGAGAAAGAAAGAAATAACTATATTTTACAAGGATAACAACTTAAATTAGCAGTTAAGAATCCTTTCTATCAGCTGGTCCTTAGCCAAACCTCTTCGCATTGATCTTTCCCGGATTATCCCTACCCATTTACAGCTGGGTTGACTGGAATTAAGAGTAAAGATGGCTTATTCAAGGTCTATCACATGCCGAGATCGGAACCCACAGACGCCATTTTCTTAACGTAACCAAGCAAATGACCAACGCTCTAACTGGCTGTGCTATAGAACCGACACTTAGCATCTCTGATATTGCTAGAAACAGAGTAGCCAATCTTTTTTCAAAGAACTGAACAAGAAAGATAAAAACTCCTTACTTTTCTACCAATTTTTAAGAAGCAATTTGGACAGTCTCAGATCTCTCCAATTGAGTGCCACCCATAGAACACTATGCCATGACTTTTTCGATTGTATCTACGGCGGCCATTCGCTCAACGCCTGACAATAGCCTCAAATGCAGATGGAAGAAAATTTTCTTTAATTGTTAGGCGGAAATTACATCCGCATTACAAAATATAGTTTTTCAGATGTTAGTTACATGACATAAATTTATTGTCACATAACCTAATATTTGAAAGTAGTTCGATTTATCCACCAGCTACATACAAAGTTATTGTCATGGCTGCTGATAATAACTTGGTATGAAGAAGACGTGTGAAGCAGAATAGATTTGAACTAACACTAATTAAAAATCAAATCATAACCAGTAACAAATGAGCACATAAAACTTGCTCAACATCAACAATAGAACAATCTTTTTTACTGCTGAGTAAATGCAGACCTAAATGCCTGGTTTCCAACCAAAATTGTCACTGTAAAGGACAGATATTTGTGCTCCTTGAAATATATTAAGACCTGACTCAATCGGATTAAAATGCAGAACCTAGACGTTTTGTTTCATGCTTTTGTGTGTGTAACACCTGCCATCAATGATCCTACAAAATTATCATGCACCATAACTTCATAAAAATATTGAATCAATAAGGCATTGTTACTTACCTATGACTTATATTGTCATCCCAGTTTTATGCTAAATAAATAGTCTGTTTTACAGGCCTTTTTTCAAAAATTGGGGAGAGAGGGCGAATTTATTATTTATTAGTGCTCTTTTAGATTTTCAATTGGAATAAATCTGAGCGAACGAAAGCATTTATGATTTATTTCCACAAATTAATGTACATTTAATATTAAGGCAACAATCAGGCATTTTTTGGGCCTGTAAAACAGACTATTTATTTTGTATGGCCTTACATTGCCGATACTAAATACTAACTATATTAACTCCACCCTTTCTTTTAATAGATCTCTTTATTTGTGACCTTGGCCAGTGCTTTATATAGGAGTTTTAATAAACTTCTTCACTCAAACACTAACTATTTTAACACATTTTGAACATGATTATAAGAAGAATTTCTCTAGATCATGCATGATGAATGTAGTTACTCCAGAAAACAACACAAAAGGAAACATCTAGATGTCCATTTCAATCAGGTTGTTCCGAATGATTGCATACAATAGTATTCTGATACTGATTCTGTCAAGTGGTACCAGTGTAAGATTGTCTGTAATATTAGTACTCTGATATTCAATAAGATGATCCATAATGTTGTTGATAATAACCATAACCTGGTGTATAATACTGGTATGGATAACCACTATTCTGAAAGAATGATTATTACACAATTACTTTACATATATATTACTTAAGGATTGAATGTAGATCTTTTTTGTATTCATTGGTTGATGAACACAGAGTTTTCACATGTTAATTAGAATGAATGGCTAATCATGTTAGATATATCACTTGAAAATTCAGCGTAAATCAACCAATGAACACAGAAAAATCTACATTCAATCCTGCTCGAAATCGAAATTGATCTTCATTTTATGTTGTTGTATACACATACAAAGTTTTATTAAAAAAAAAACATGTTTTGGACACAATGTGTATCAGGGACACTGATAGCATCAATTTGCACTATTCCATTGCAGGAGCCACAGGTGTCTGATTGAAAATTGGAATGCTGCAAATTGATGCTATTAGTGACCCTGATACACATAACATTTCTAGAAAACATCTTTACAATCCCTTTAAAGATGAGTTCCCTTATGTTCATTTTTTGAAAATGAAATTGCTCATACTTATATGAATAGAAAGTAGAGATGTTCTAAAGACTTGGAAAAATACCAGTTTGTCTCACAGGTAATGATTAATTCATAATTAGCTAGATCAGAAGAGAATTACCAGCAGAATTCCAATGAGTGACCGATCAAGAAATGTCAAAAAGTATTTTTTTTGTTTATCCGGACTGTGCATACATGGACATTTATGATTGGTTAAAACTTTTAATTATATGCAATATGAACATAATGATATGATTAAGAATACATGATAATTCATTAGAAACACCAATTAATCAAAAAGTTTGTTTAATTATGATAAGGAAACCCATCTTTAAAATCTGTTTTTTGTTGTGCTAACAAAAAATATTGACTGACGACTAGATGAACAATGAATATTTAAGTTGAAATATAAAGAAACCATAATGACTTACATGATAGGCATCCCAGTTATAATCATAGGTACTATTAGTATTAGTTACTATAGTTGGTTGTGTAGTATGAGATCTACTAACTGAATCACTGGTACCATTACTGTCTACTTTTACTTTCTTTTCATCAGGACTTTCACTATCAAAATTAAATCATATTATTTCCTCAAAATACTGTTAAAAATAAATTAAGTTTTATTCCCACTTTTCTGCATCTTATTTGACCAAGAAAAACTTCTATCATAAGCAATCTGAATAACCGTGCAGAGCAAACAAGCTGTATGTCCAGTGGACAGGTTATTCTACAGATGTTCAGACATCCATCATAAATTGTAGGTGAGGTCAAGAGAGATTTCTGAAATACCCCCTGGTAATTTTTATTATTATTGGTAGCTCATAGCCCAAGTATGTGGCAGTGGAATAGCTTGGTGGTGAGTTGGATTGTCATCTGTTAGGGGATAAGGTGTGGAGGGTTTGAATCCTCTTCAAAGTAAGAAAAATTCTTATGCCTTTGCCATCAAAATCAGGTGAAAACTAAGAGAGTAATAGCATATTCAAGATTTTGGGGCTTCTAATGGTCGAAAATAGCTCAAATTCGAACTTGATCTTCAATTTATGAATATGTATACACATACCGAATTTCATTTGATTCCATCAAAAAATCTAGTTTTTAGAGCGTTTACAAGCAAACGGACGGACAGGGGTGCGGACAATATACGTCCACATAGAGAGATGTGGGCGTTTAAAAATTACCTTTTGCCAATTGAAGAGCGTTTTTTAGATTCACTAGTCATATCTTTAACTAATTTCTGATGTTCATCATAAGCTTTAGATATTCTATAATATATTACATCAAAATAATAATATAATTACAATACTTGTCATCCATGATCTGACACAATTTTTCCTTGAAAAATGTTCAGTAAATTTTTTTCAATAGCATCAAAAGTTGTCATTATTTATTTACCCACTTGAGAAACATAACAATAGACCTTATTTACAGCTTGTTTTTGAGACAGTGAAAGCTCTGTTCATAGCGCAAAATACATCATCCATTGTAAAAGGGCTTAAAATTTCTCAGAAATATGTGAAGGTAAACTTCCTCTGAAAGTATCATTAAATAGCATAATCAATTCCGAATTTAATGATGTAATTAGTTTTGAGTTTGTTGGATTGGAGGAGATTTTTAAGACAAAAAGGTGACAATTTCCCTGCAGTGAAATCATGTGTTTGTGTTATAAACCTCATTCAGGATTCAATTTGGTTAACAGCAATAACATCTATTCTCTCCAATCTTAGACGCTAGTTGATTGATAATTAAAATATATCTGGCACAGTATAATTCAGACAAATTACTTACTTTTTGATGCAAGTTCCAAAATCCTCCAGAAATTCCATTCTTCTTTGAGACAATTTGACTTTAGTAGATTTAGGTAAATCACCATTAAAGGCTTTATTAAATAATTCCATGACATTATCTATCTCTACTGGATTACACTGATATTCTACATCTAATAACTGCATAAATAACTTCTCATTCTTCTACAATATCAACATAGATCTTTTAAAACATAATGAATACTGTTATTTAAACCTTTCAACACTAGGGTCTGCTCTACTCGCATCATAATGATGTGTTGTCCTAGAATTCAAGTTTTTGGGGTGTTTTGACCATTGAAAATTGAATGTTGAACAAAGTTATCATTACTTACTTCATCATGAGCTAAAGCTTCTTTTAATACTGTTCTGGCTTTAGGTGTATTTCCTCTTATCTGCAAATATACATCAGTTAATTTCAAATTTCATAACAACATCTTTACTTCCAGCAATGAACAAGTGGTCGCAAGATATGCCCACTTTCCTGATACATTTTCAGTATATCAAGGGCGGTCACCAATCTGCATCAAATCATACCAAAAATCTAATTTGTGCAAGATATTGTTGATTTAAACAAACACACATTATTTAATAAAATTCTGACATAAACTGTCACCTCTGTAGCGTTCACAAGCCAAGAAATTTCTATGAGTTTTTACTAAGTGAAGCTCAATAACCCAAATTCCATTCATAAAAAAATCATCAAATTTGAACTCTTTAGAATTCCTTTAAAATCTGGTATTTATTGTACTTGACTAAGATCTCATCAATATAAATGATCACAGCAAATTTCATTTAAATAGGATGAAAACTGTAGTCTCTATTGTGTTCACAAATAAATTTTGACACTTTTCTTCCTAAGTCGAGGGCAATAACTTAAAAATCATTCATCAAAAGATAGCCAAAATTAAAATTGTACAAGATCTCATCATTATTAATATTCACACCAAATTTCATTTAAATAGGATGAAAACTTAAGTCTCTATTGTGTTCACAAGCCAATTGTGACAACGACAAAAAAAAGTAGGCTAATACCACCATCCTCATAAAATCTGGTTGCATTAAAATTTTCAAGTAACGTTCCTAAAAAAACAAGTTACCTTTTGTAAATATCTAGCAAATTTTATAGAGAAGAAAGATCTAGAGGCATTGGAGTCTGCTGATCTTATATATTCTTCAAATAATTCTTCTACATCATTATAATTTCCTCTTCTTCTCTCTAAACTAATTCTTCTTAAAGCTACCATAACTAATCCATTCACATTCTTCTCTATATTTCTTAATATTTCACTTGCTTCAGCATAATTTTCTGACAAATAAAATAAATCGAAGTTTGAACTTCTGTTTCTGAGTTTAAAAAAAAAAGGAAGAGAAATCTCGCATGTGCCCGTGCTTCCACAACAAGATTATTGTGTTGTGACAGGATTTATAATTTCAAACAAGTTTGATAATTGTCTCCGATAGTTTTATCGTCTGCAAGCCAGACCGTCATCATCCAATCAGATTCATTATCCTTTCCAATGCATGCTCCGCACCTTGTTATCTACTAGGTGGAAAACGACCCACTGGAGATTTTTGTCTCCTCGTGTGCCCTGGCCAGTCGTTGAAACTCAAGATAAGACTCTAATCAGCAACAAAAGTCTCTGACCAAGACTGCTTGTGTGCCTGCACATTAATCTGATGTCAGTGATGAAAGTCAGAGGGGCAGACATGGAAAAAGTCAATAAGGAGCAATTGACAGCTGTGAAACAATAAAGTGTATCTATGTCGACCATTGAGACAAACTTTCCCTCACTGCACATGAAAAAAATTTGTCCTTCAGACCTCTTCAACTTTTTATGCACCCAAAGTTTCATTCATCTTGAAAACTAGACTTTTAATGCTGTGTACACACCCTCATAACACTAATATCTCATTTTCTTGCCATATTTTGGCGATTTAGTCACATAGGTGCAATAACTCATTAATGTGGGTACAACTACTTGAATAAAGATAGTTGACAACAGCCATATACTCCCACCACGGCATGCGGATGGTAAATATTCAAGATTTTTGGGCAAGGGCAATAACTCTGCTTCTAAAGGTCGAAAGTAGCTCAAATTCGAACTTGATCTTCGTTTTATGAATATGTCAACACATACGGAATTTCATTTGATTCCATCAAAAAATCTAGTTTTTAGAGTGTTTACGAGCAATTGATGTTGATAGAAGCACTTACTGTATAGAGATTAAAGGGCGATAACTCCTTAAAACTTACGTAAGAGTCCTAAATCTTGAAAAAGCCTTAAATTTAATCAGAAGTAAATTAACCTTTCTCAAACCTTTCGATTTAGGTCCAACAACATCCATTTTAAGTTTCATCAAAATCAGTTGAAAACTAAGAGAGTAATAGCATATTCAAGATTTTGGGGCAAGGGCAATTACTCTGCTTCTAACGGTCGAAAATAGCTCAAATTCGAACTTGATCTTCGTTTTATGATATGTTTACACATAACGAATTTCATTTGATTCCATCAAAAACTCTAGAGCGTTTACAAGCAAATGTTGACGGACGGACAGACCGACGTGCCGACAATATACGTCCACATAGAGAGATGTGGGTGTATAAAAAACACAACAGATTAAACTGAGATGATGTGTCAAAATTTTGCTGAAAAATGTGTATCCTTGACATGGAATTCTCCTGCTGTCTTCATGTATAAATGTGACTTTCAAAAACATGAAATGCAGAAATGTTATTGCATGAACAAACAGAGACAATAATTACATGCATAGACATTAAAAATATTTGTAATTAAAAACAGTTAGGAATTTGCACTCTGTACCTTGTCTTTCTTCAAATGCTGCCCAGGCTAGATGTATATAAGGTTTCTTTGGTAGATGTATTTGACATACTCTCTTATAAACATTTCTTACACCCATTACACTATGTTGTTCTAAATACTTCGTATACTGGACAAATATAAAAATATCATGTGAATGATTAAAATATAATTCTGTCTTGGTGGGTGATTATTGACGCTGACTAGAGTCTTATCAAGAGTTTCACGCACAGGCTACGGGCAACTGAGGAGACAAAAATCTCCCATTCGTTGTTTACCACAATGTCAATAAACATAGGCTTATTATGGAATTGAATGGAAAATGAATCTGATGGATGAGGACTGTTTTGCTAACAATTAAACAGACTGGTTTGATATCATAAATCCTGTCAGCAAAGCGATAATCTCACACTTGACATTTTACTCAAGATTCGTGCCAGCGACAAAAACTGTTTGTGTGTCCATAGCATAAAGTTCGGAAAATTTCAAATTTCATCATATTGGACACTATAGGTGTTTACTGATATCTTTTTTAACAAACTGAGGTTCAATAACATACAGTTCTCGATATAACTCTCTTTCAATAAGTCTTCAATACAAGGATGGATAGTGTCAGAAACACCATGAAGTAAACTGTCTAGATCTATTTCTTTATCAGCTTAAATACTGAGAGTGTGTTCTATAAGTCTATACTAGTCTAAAAGCTGAATGAGTGTACCACATCAATATTACATCTGTCTTGATAGTACACAAACAGTTCAAGTTGAAATTCATACCAGTCTCTCAATAGCACATTCCAAAACTTCTTTCAATACTGATTCATTTGTTCTTAGAATCGTGCAAAATCATTCATAAACAATCTGCAACAATTCATACTTTGTCAATGTCCCTGATGAGTGAGATTTAATTAAGATTCTCCACGATTTGAATGTATTTTGAGGCCTATCTATCATTATCACTGGTAGCTGTATGTATTAAGAGGATTAAAACAAACTTGTAATTTCACTGACCTTTATCCAGAAATCTTCATATAGACCACAAGCTATTATACATCTCTCAAATAATACTACAACTCTTTCATGAGAACCATTAGCTATCTCAAAATCTAAATATTCTCTCCAATTCTTTAATTGAGATCGTTCTAAAGGTTTAACATGGAAATATGGTCGACGAATCTAAAACCATAAACACAATCCAATAACTTCATGAAAGTTAAAATTTAGAAATGAAATTTAGACAGACATCATTCAGTGTACAATAAGGTAAATTTTGACTGGAAACTGATTGTTTCACTTTCCGTATTTATTCCAGTTTGCTTGCAATGCCCATACATCTAAAGTTCTTCATGTATCTTGCAAATTCTATGCTACCTCCCCACTACATGATCTAACTATTACTTACCGCTTCTTCAAATGCCCATCTTTTACTGACTTCATTTTCATTTTCTTTATATATAATTTCTCTTAGTAATATAATTTTCTCTTGTATCTTACTAGCTTCTTCTTTATCTCCCTGTAATATATTTAAAACACCTTGATAAACAAAATATAACAACATTAGAGTGAAGGATATTTTATTGATGACTATCATAATAGATATAAGTATCTTTTACCATAGTTACCACAATATCAAGCTATTACTGCCATAGCCACTGCTCTTGTATCACGGAATACAGTGATTTGATTTAATTGTATTGTACTCAAGCGAATACAAGCAATGTGCCCAGGACAAAAAAATGAAATGAATCGAATATTACGTCCTACTTTTCTGCACCATGTGGGCTAATGAAGACGGGCAACGATATGAGGGGTGCAATGAGAGAAATTTTGCCAAGACAGCGGCATTAACCTGCTCTTTTTCAATTTCCAACTGTCAAGTAGCACATGCGGCCTCCGTTTATTGTCCCATCCGATCGACTAGACGCTTTTTCCATATCAGCCCCTCTTACCTGCATCACCCTCGACGAAAACACTGTTAAGGTTATGGCTTTGTGTTTACAGGCTTACTGTTGAGACCTCTGATTGGCCATATTCGCTTCATAAAATCCATTCAAATCGCTGCATTTACAAACTTAAGTGATAACAAGAAAGGTGACTATTTCAGTATATAGTATAAGTTGGTAATAGCTTAACATTGTGAAGATGGTAAATAGGTTTTCTAAACTATATATCTGGGAGACTAAGAGCATCAATTGCAACTTGCCAAATTTCAATCAGACGTCTTTGTCTATGTTTTTTTTTGCAATTCCACTAAAACTAAGAATCCTATGAAGTAGCTTGTGTAAACACCCTTGGATATTATCAACAGTGTTGTTATTATACATTATAACTGTTTAGCAACTTATAGCTTGCTCTAAAACAAATGTCAAGTAACTATTTCACATTAAATAAATAAGAACACTATTATGGATATACTACTCCTTTTTTCAATTTTAATAAATATTAATATTATTATATTGTGCTTCATAAAGATTCCTCTAGTGAATTGAAATGTTGCAGAAATTAAAGAAAGGAGTAGTATATCCATAATAGTGTTCTTATTTATGTAATATTCTATCTACTTCTAAATGTCATTTAGAGATTATAACTATGGTACATTCAACATACCAAACTAGACTGTGTATCTTCAACTCCAGGAGGTGCATCAATAGTGGTACCTGGTGGAGCATCTGTAGTAGTTGAAACATCCTCCCCACCCCCATCATCAACATGATCATCTTTAGCCTGTCTAACCACTTCTTGTCTCAATCTGAGAAATTCATCAAGCTCTACTGTTTCTTTAGGATGGTGTTTCATTATATGGTTCTTAAAACTGAAGGGTAAAAATTCTTTGTCAGGCAATTAAGTTGAGTAAGTCGAATTAACTTGCTTCCCTAACAAAATGTGAAAATTGGGGGTGAAAATATCAGACTCTAATAACCTAGTCCAAGGTCTACCCACTAATAAACCAGGATGCTTGTTGAATCTTGCACAAAGGGTCTATATTTTGTGTCCAGTTCTAGCTAAATCACCGAAAGGGGGGCAAATACCATCATAACCAATTTAAAGCAAAGAGCTCCTGCATCTCCCTAAAACATTACCTGTCAAAATGGTGGCTGTAAAGTTGTGTTGGAATGGTAAATATTTTGTCATATATTCGAGTTACGTTCTTCAGTTTGTTTTTACTGGTCTCCCAGGTAACGTAAGAATCCCATAATTTATCTGATCTAAATTCAGTACCAGCAGCAGATACAGCTCTTTCATACAATCTAAAATAACAAGTACAAAATATCAGCTATGTGGACCCTTTGAATGGAGCGACAGTGTGGAAGCAGATGCAACGAAAGGGTGAACAAGTGGTTGCCTAGCAAGATACGCCCACTTTCCTGATACATTTTCAGTATATCAAGGGCAGTCTCCTATCTGTGTCAAATCATACCAAAAATCTAATTTGTGCAAGATATTGTTGATTTAAACAAACACATATTATTGAATAAAATTCTGAAATAAACTGTCACCTCTATAGCCAACAAATTTTGATGAGTTTTAACTAAGTCATGGGCAATAACTCAAATTCCGTTGATCGAAAAATTGTCAAATTCAATCTTGACTAAGATCTCATCATCATAAATGATCAAACCAAATTTCATTTTAATAGGATGAAAACTGTACTCTCTATTGTGTTCACAAACAAATTTTGACGCGTTTTTAATAAATCATGGGCAATAACTCAAAAACCGTTCATTGAAAGATAGCCAACTTCAGACTTGACCAAGATCTCATCATTATAAATATTCACACAAAATTTCATTAAAATTGGATGAAAACTGTAGTCTCTATTGTGTTCACAAACAAATTGTGACGCGTTTTGGCTGAGTCAAGGGCAAATACTCAAAAACCGTTCATCAAAAAATTGTGATTGACGAACTTGTCCAAGATCTCATCAATATAAATGATCACACCAAATTTCATTCAAAGCAGATGAAAACTTTTGTCTCTATCGCGTTCACAAGCCAATTGTGGACACACAGACGGCCGGACCGACGGACATGGGTGACGACAATATATGTCCACATAATGTGGGCGTATAAAAACCGTTGATCGAAAGACCATCAAATTTGAACTTGTCCAAGATCTCATCATTATAAATATTCACACCAAATTTTATTTAAATTGGATGAAAACTGTAGTCTCTATTGTGTTCACAACCAAATTTTGATGCGTTTTCATACGTCAAGGGCAATAACTCAAAAACTGTTCATCGAAAGATCATCAAATTCGAACTTGTCCAAGATCTCATGAATATAAATGATCATACCGAATTTCATTCAAATCAGATAAAAACTGTTGTCTCTATTGTGTTCACAAGCCAATTGTGGACAGACGGACCGGCGGACAATGTACGACCACATTATAATGTGGGCGTATAAAAAGCAGCCAAAAAACAATTAAAAGCTTTTCTGAAGAACAAGGGTCAAAACTGAAAATAATCATTTCCGTTTTTTGAAATTTTGTTAGTCTTCTCATTTGAGATTTAACACACCCTTTCTTCAAAATTTCTTCTAAATTTATTAAAATGATGCTGAAAATTTCATGGCAGCCTAAATTGTGATATATTAATACTTAATATCATGATATCAACTTGAACCAATATCGCCCAGACCTAATTAATCCACATCTAAATGTGAGCATAAATCAAAATTACAAATTAATAACTGAACCTTACAATCTAATATAATCTTCTGATTCAGGTTGAGTACCATATTCCATTATATAGAAATTAATATAATGTAACCATAGATCTATAGATAGAGGTATTCCAACAACACCACGCTCATAAATCTGCAAAACAAAATACAGGCCAAGGTTTAATTAAACCATTATCATTTAAATATATTGTGAATTAAAATCCGCAAACGATCATTTCAGCACGTGAGAAATATACATGATTTTACCGTCCCACATACAGTTCCACCACAATAGAGAATCAATAAGACTTTGAGGCTCAGCTAACACAGCTCTCTTCCAATACATAAAGACAGAGTCCAATGGAAACAAAATAAATTCCTGAAAAGACAAAGTGCATGTTTCCACAATCACATTAATTGTACTGGATAACGTAGACTAATATCTAAGGGGGCACTCGATTGGTGAGTTCTGCACATTCAGGATTTATTGAATTCACAAGTTGGAACTGGGTTCAGAATGTGTAAACAGAATCTAAATTCAAGAGGCCAAAATTGAAGGAAACTCACCCATCGAGTGCAACCCAAGATTCCTTCAAAATAGTGTTTGTGGAATTTCTCTATTTCTTTTCGAAATTTTATAAAAAAAAATGCTCACTGTCATTCTAGCAAATTATCATTCAAACCACAGGCATCAAATTTATCAAAAAATATGATGATGATGTTGAACTGCCAAACAGTCCATGTCAAGAATATAGAAACTTTTTACCTCTCTAGCTCGTTCTACATTATTATGTTGTTTTTCTAAATCACTGTATTTCTTCCAATAGCCATAACAATAAGGATAATGTTTAAAGAAAGCATCATAAGCTTCTCTTGCCCACTCAATGTTACCCTAAAACAAATGATACATTTATAGGAATTTAGCTGTATAAATATGTCGCTGGTATTACTCTGCTCCAATGTGTTGCCATATAAAGACCTTTTTCAAACTAAATTTGCTACAATATCAAGACATACATTTGTCACTTAATTTTTGAATAATGGTCAGAAACTAAATTGGTTTATTTTACAAAACAAATAATTTGTTGTCTTTGGTAGCGAAATGTGTCAAAATGACCAGTGCAAAGATGACCAACAAGGTCAAAATAAGAAAGCAAGTAGAGAAATATGAGCAAGAAGGTGATTAATTGACACTAAAATAAGAGAACAGGCAAAATAAAACCGAAATGACAAAGCAGGTGGCAAATGCCTTCTTACCACTTTACCTACCTCTTGTTCAACATATTGTAATAAATATGTCCAGCCAGTAAAATCTGTAGGATTATCATTAACAGCTTTCCAATACTTATCTAATTCTGTCTCCACTTTGTCTTCTTTCTTTTCTTCAATCACTTCTTTACCTTCTTCAGCCACTTCTTTACCTTCTTCACCCAACTTGTCATCTGCCTCAGTCATTTTGTTAGCTTCTGAAGATACATTGTCAGCTTCTGAAGACACTTTGTTAGCTTCTAAAGTCACATTGTTGGCTTCTTTAGCTTTTCCAGAAACATTGTTGGCTTTCTCAGTCACTTTGTTAGCCCCTGAAGTAACTTTAGATTCCTCAGCCACTTCTTTAGGCTCCTCAACTCTATTGTAAACTTCCTTTGATCCATCTGAGTCATTTGATTTAACTGTTATAACTTCTGTCAGATCATCCAATTTGTCTTCTCCTGCATTTGTGGTATTCATCTCTTCCATTTTGTTTACTTTCTTTTCTGTTGTTTCCAATTGATCCATTGTGTTCCTTCTGGAAAAAAAATAAAGATGAAGTTGATCTCACTCTCATAAATTATCAAAAAAAGTAACCCAGCCCAAAAGTATCTAAGTACACATAATTAGCCACTGAATAATATATTGACTGTCATTAATTAGCTTCAGTAATTAAGGTTTTTATCCAGCTAGCTTGACTCAAATAATCATATAACAATAAATATTTATTCTTTCCAAAAAGCTACAGTTTTCCATATATTGTAAAGATGAATATGATTGGTGTTAATCTGTCAATGTTGTGTTTTAGATGTCAATTGGAGTATGCTCAGTAGTATGCTAGTGAGGTAGGCAAGCATTGATGTAAATCCCTGTCAACTTTCAGAACACATCTGGCTGACCTGTCAATATGCATCCAGCTTATCAGTTTTCTGTATCATTTCAGAATGTGAATTTCGTGCTACTGATCAAAAATGTACCATGGCAGCATTCACTTATATTGAGCTCGAAAAGTGATTATTTGTAAACATGATTTTACATAAAGGAAATTTTCAGTCTGAAAGTAAGTCATTTTCATGTGACTTTTCAGGGAGGAAATTGTGTCTTCTTCAAATGTAAAGGCACTGAACCTTATATTTCTATGGGCCCGATGACACTCTATGACAAATGGCATATTAGACTACACTTAAGCAACCTTACAGTTGAAAGGTCTATTTACATTGAGAACAAAATCAATTCAAAGATCAATGTAGTCAGACTTGACATTCATGTCATTAATACAATTAAAGGTAGTTTTAAACGAAAACTGATCTGTATACCTGTATTTATTGTGTTAAGAGAATATATAATTATTTTTATTCAATTCACACATTCAATATATTCGTTCATGGAGGCTGCCATATTTGTTTTGCATCAGAAATGTAATGTACCCAATTATAAATTTCAAATTTAAATTTGAAACTCAATTTTCAAATAAAAAATTACTTTGATCAGCCAGCATAAAGTCTACAAACAGTCGAATTCAACTATCATTATTTAGAAAATTTTGATTGCGTTAAGTATTTGTGAATTTTGACGACTAGTTACGTATTTGCCAATCAATTTGCATTCTGGTATATGTTGTTATCCTGTGATTTCCGGTTGAACAAACCGTCATGAGAAAATGATATTTAATATTAAACTATACTGCGATTTATAAATAGTCATATGAACAAAACCATGAACAGTCGTTAAGATGGCAGTTGGAAACGTAGTCGTCTTGTCACAAGTCATCTGTTATGTCCTTTCATTTGCAGTTTCATTCTTTGTGTTCATTCCAGTCAGCATAAATAATGGTGAATTCAAGGGACATTGTCTCTTGCATGCTACAGGGACATGGAAACAAATAAAAGAATCTGCCTTGACAGAACTTACAGACCTTCATTGGGGCCCATCAAGTGCCTGTAACTTTACAGTATTTATTGGAATTGCTGTTATGATTGTGTCTCTATTTTATATTATTTGGGAATCACGCTATCTAATAAGAGGAACAGATAGGTATGATAATTGATAAAATTTGAAATCATGACTAGTCATTAAGGTCATCAGTTGCCTTTCCCCTAACCTAAAAAATAGAAACATCAAAACTATTCAAGCCTCCTTTGAAAGATAAGCTTATACATTTCTGTGAGTTCCCCTTGGCCTTGACTATGCTGTGGCCCTTCACCTTATGATATGAAAACGCTTTCGATAACCATTGGACACTATATCATTTAGATGATGTACATGTACATTAAGAGTTTTGCTCAGGATTCTACAATTGCAAGAATTTAGTCTGCAAGAATTTCATCTTTTCAAGGCAACAGATTCACCATGTCAATGTCAGTTTTATGTGTATTATAGTCTTAATCTTAATTATTATCATATAATTCTCTTTAAGTTCCTGGTTAGATGCATTTACTACAGCAGTTGTGAGTGTTTTAGTTGCTATTTGTATATTTTCTACTGGTATAACTGTTAGTGGTGGCTTCTCCGATTGGTGTTCCTTGATTACAAATAAACTTTCAGGAATTGATAGGTAAGTCAGATTCATTGGTGTTGTTAAACCAGAAATCAGGGATATCAGTACTTACATACATAAGGTTCCAGATATAAAGCATGTCGCTCAAATCTATAAACGAAATGCTATATATAGCTAATATTTACATTTCAACTATTACTCACTTCCGAAAATTTTGTGGACGAGATGACATGTAGATGAGTTGATTGGTATTCTGTGAGATAGTTACGCAAACTGGCGTTTATTTTTCGTCTAGTTTGTCACATGATACTATGACGTCATCAAAGCACAACAATGACGCAATCTAAAATTTGTTGCAAATTCATGGAACCGATCATATAAAAAAGTGAAAATTGTGTTAATAAAAGTATCTGAATTTAAATATAAGAATTAAACGTTGGTCTCACTAGCATTATTGGTGTGTAATGACTTCTTCACATCATCAACTGCATTTACACACCAATAAAGCTAGTGAGAATATTACATTAAATATTTTGTGAAGTTCGTGAATTTTTACATAATTTTTCTGGCATAGGCATAAAAAAAAGTAACATGCATATTTTTTTAAATTAGGTGAAGTGAGCTTGTACACACATGGTTCACATGCTTGTGTGATAGTTGTTATGGTAATTGGTAGTTGCAGTGATGCAATGGAACATTATGCATTGCTCACAAAACTACTTTTTAGATGAATTTTCATGATGGCCAAGCACTAACTGAATATAATATAGAACGAGATGATTAAAACTTGATTATTGTTAGAATTCTATTAAACTGATAAAATTATATACTGTATATTTTTTCTATATTTTAGATGTGAAAATGGGGGAGATATAACCTTTGATGTAGATCTTCAATTAAATACTGCTAATTATTTTATGGAGTATCAAGTTGCTCAGGTACTGTCAATTTTATAGTCAACTATATTGGTAATCTCTTCTGATGTCAGGTCAGAGATTTTATTTATGGATTCTGACATTTAAATAGTAATTTTCTATACTTTATTGAGGGAGCTCCAGTGGCTCAGGGAATTAGACGCATGCTTGCCATGCTGAAGGTCCAGGGTTCAATCCCGGCATAGTTCGAGATAATACCTTCAGATTTTTCAACCCAGTTTCCCTTGTCAGTAAGAAGGGCTGACATGGAGAAAGCGTCTAGTCGTTCGGATTGGACAATAAACTGAGGCCCTGTGTGCTACAGGCTGTGCACATTAAAGATCCCAAGACAGTTGGAAATCGAAAAAGAGTAGGCTAATGCTGTTGTCCTGGCAAAATTTCAATCATTGCACCCTGCATAGCGTTGCCTGTCTTCATTAGCTGTAACGGTGCAGAAAAGAAGGACGTAAAACTCCATTCATTTAATTTTTGTACTTTATTGGATTAATGAATATAGACAGTGACATTTAGCATTAGTTTATTTGACTATGCACTCAGCATAAACACTTTATACTCTTGTAAGAACAAATCATTTATTTTGTCAATTTACTTATTCAAAATTTTGTCACATTGTAATCTGTATTTCTTTTAATATTTTATCTTTCAGTTTGGGTTGTGGAGTTTATGGATGTGTTGGGTAGCTTTATCTTTTTTATCAATAATAAAACTATATAGATATCATAAACAAGAGACCTTTTTAAACAGTGTCAGTCAACAAAGAGATAAACTGCTAAGAAGAGTGGGACATCAAGGTTCTTATGAAAGTGTGAATTCTTAAAACTTTTCTCGTGGATTACACTAATTCTATATCAAAGGACATTTCTAAGAAAGGATTGTTCACCAAATCAACCTATGAACTTTTTTGTTCAGTAAAACAAATTTGGGATTTCTATTATACTCATTTACTAAAGTTATATTGAAAGTGATTGAAATAAAAGAGGTGTATTCAAAAAATTAGATTGTGTTCTTGTGAAATGCTTTATTAAACTGTTGTCTTTCAAGTACTTACTATATATATATATACTTTGTTTCAATATGGTGTAAAAAAAAAAAGTACCGTAGTATGTAAAAGGTCAATGTGAATCTACAAGACTTTTTCGAAGTCAGCATACCAAAAATCATGTAAATGTTTTTGTCAGGCCCAGAGAAGCAGAAGGTCCTTATCATCAGAATGGAATTCTGTGCAAACGGGATTCAGCAAAGATCAACCTTTTTAACAATGATCCTTTGTCCTATATGTTATGATGAGTAATCTGTTAAGATGCTTTATGAAAGATGTGTAGGAAGCACAAAGGCTGTTACAAGTTTTAGCAAAATGAAACTTTTACTTTATCTCATATACATTGCATGGTTTAAAAATATCACGAACCCTTTAGTCATAGACAGTTATTGATAACACATAAGCTGAAATGATAGAGAAAATGTGATAGTGAGCTCAGGTCAAACTTACAACTGAGATATCTTAAAACAACTGCTACTTGGAACTGTGTTGACATCTGGTAGAATATGATTTTCCAATGGCAAAAGTGGTTCATGCATCTAATTTTAGCAGTTACGTTTTGAAATTCCAGAGGTAGGCATAGCCTGTATAAAATATATTTTGTTAATTTTATATTTATTGATATCTTATCATTATGTATGATCAATCTTTATCTATTTCGATGTTTAGACATGCATGGATAAAGTTTAGTAATTTAGTATTTAATACTAGTATCATTTATGCAGGTAATGACCTTTGGGGTTTAAACAAAATATAATAGATAAATTTTGATCCTTTACCATGTTTAAGAATATGCATCCTTTTATATTGTTTTTTTTTTTTCAAACTCACCACTATAAAGTCATAAAAGTTATAAATTACTTCTAGATTTTATTTTTCCTAATACATGTTCATCTGGCTAATAGTCTTGTCAAATTTCATGTGAAAATATCACACATTTACTCAAGTCATGTCCATTGTCAGTGTGCATATCGGAGGAGCTAACATGGCAAGGGCACCTGGCCACCATATCCTCGAAACGATCTTAGCTCAAGGATGTCCTAGGGTCTTAACTTCTAATACTGTTTCTAGGCTATCTTGACGCTAAGATCGTTTGGGGAATACGTGGCCTGGTCTTTGTGATAGGATAATACACCGATGTGCTACAGACTGCTAAAAGACTACCACATAGAGACATTGAGAAAAAAAAATCAAATTCAGCTATTATTTGGTAGCTCTGGTCCTTTTCGGTATTGAAAGCTGAATTTAAATGCAAATCTGAATGCTTCATTTCACATTTTATTTCTGCGGGCGAGTTCACTTCCCATCCATGATCTTACGAAATGGTTTGCATCTCATGCTCTAGGCCATTTATATTCAACCAATCAAATGCGCACTTTTAGAAGTTTTAGTCAAGGGTAAAAATATGCCTGTATCCCGTGTCCAGCACAGACGTTGCGGGAATAAATCTGTTGAATGGATTTGATTTCTTGACAATATGTTAAAATATACCATACTTTGTACTTACTCTTTCGACAAAGAGACCTTGTGTTACTTTTACTGAAGTCATCTCATAGAATCCTATTTTCAGAAGATCTGATTCAACAGTAGCTGAAAGACATAACAGAACATATTGCTAAAATGTCCCGTTACTATACTTTTCAGACCTATTTCTTACGAAAGTACAAAAGTAAAATACATTACATACTGAATGGACATTAGACGGACTTCGTTTTCGTTATTTTTATAGCAAAGTCTTTGTTTTGTTAGGCGAGGGTTTGCCATTTTTCCGTCATCCCGTGTTTCAAAATATAAAATAGATATGGACAAAAACGAAAGTGATTCAGAACGCTTCCTCTCTGGGGAGGCCTATACCACAGCTTGCATTTTTTGAGGGGTAGGCCCTATGATGTCATAAAAAGCTGAAAATCAAATTTCCTAGACATTTAACCTCTAGGCCGTTGAGACTTGGTATACCATTACCATCATTCAACATGCACTCCTTAAAACTCCAACAAGATATACTACCAATGTTTAAGGGGATGTATCAATGGAGGTATATAACCTTGAAATTCCTTAACGAGATGAAATGACAACACTGCCACTGATTCAAATCAGCTCTTATGCCCGAAGAGCCTTTAAACATGATGCCTTATCATGCAAAAACTGAACAGATTCAATATCTCAAAGGATATGAAATACTTTGAAATATATCGAGAAATGATAGCCAAACGACCTACGAAGAGCGAATAAATGGGTGACCAAAGTGCTCGGGGCATCTGTTGGATTCTCGGCCTCTTTCCAATGTGCTGAAATCATAGGCATACCCCTCAAGTAAGCAGAAAGATGAAAATATTGAAGATGTTGAATATTCGAAAAAGACATAAAACTAAATACCTGCATCGATAAACTTTAGTTTTTATCAATATCTATTTTAGTTTATGGAGGAGGTTCTCATTCTCACCGTATCGTAAAAGCTGGTTATAATATTTATTCGCAGCGTTTTTCAAATCATTCGCATATTTTGCGATATATTAAAATATAAATCGCTTAGTTTTAATGGAATTGCTAGACAGACGTCTGAGTGAAATTTATAATGGTACAAATCGATCAATGTCCCCGATACACCTAATTTTTTTTTAGAAAACCCCAACTTGTGTATGCTTCTATTTAGGATTCCCTACGGCTATATACTGTTATTATATTTATCCCTTAAAGCCCTAGTAAACAAATATCTGTTGAAGTTCATTCGAAATACGCTACGCATAATATTATATCTTATACACCAGCATGGTCATTCAACCAAAAAAACACTCATCACGTGACAAAAACAAGTCAGTAAAATGTACCTCATTAAGTTGAAAATGATATTAAACATCACCAAAAGAAATGTTCGTCCGTATTTCTTGTTACCGTGACGTTGGACTAGTTTTAACAATGAGCCACTATTGAACAATGTATTTTCTCTTTGACCGAAATTTACAAATACATGTATAGGATCTCTATTAAATTTTAGATTTGCTCAAACAGAATCGTATCATTGTTATAAAGAGGACCGATTACTTACATGCCAAACGGTGAAAATTGTTTGACGTGGAACTGTAACGCAATAAAAAAAATTATTTTAATGCTTCTAGTTACATAATTGAGAGTGATTGAATGTGATACAACTAAATAAGCTAGAAATGTTCAGTGTGATTTAGGCTACAGTTATTCAATGTAATATCCCGATAAAAGAATAGTTGTTCAATGTGATACTGGGAAATGAACAATAATTGTTCGATTGTTCAATGTGATACTGATAAAAGTTGTAAAATGTGATGCCATGAAGTAAACAAGAGTTGTTTAGAGTGATTTTATAGAAAATAAACAAGAGTTGTTCAGTGTGATGCTAAGAAATAAACTTGAGTTGTTTAGGTTTATGGTTTAGACTCGAGTTATTCAATGTGGTAGGCCAAATAATATTCAAAGGGGTTGTTCCACGTGATACTTGGAAATAAATAGGAATTGTTCACTGTGAAATAGATAGGAGTTGTTCCATGTGATACCTGGAAATAAATAGGAATTGTTCACTGTGAAAAAGATACGAGTTGTTCATTGTGATACTTGGAAATGAATCGGAATTGTTCACTGTGAAATAGATACGAGTTGTTCAATGTGATACTTGGAAATAAATAGGAATTGTTCACTGTGAAATAGATACGAGTTGTGTTCAATGTGATACTTGGAAATAAATAGGAATTGTTCACTGTGAAATAGATACGAGTTGTTCAATGTGAAACTTGGAAATAAATAGGAATTGTTCACTGTGAATAGATACGAGTTGTGTTCAATGTGATACTTGGAAATAAATAGGAATTGTTCACTGTGAAATAGATACGAGTTGTTCAAAGTGATACTTGGAAATAAAGAGGAATTGTTCACTGTGAAATAGATACGAGTTGTTCAATGTGATACTTGGAAATAAAGAGGAATTGTTCACTGTGAAATAGATACGAGATGTTCAATGTGATACTTGGAAATAAATAGGAATTGTTCACTGTGAAATAGATACGAGTTGTTCAATGTGATACTTGGAAATAAATAGGAATTGTTCACTGTGAAATAGATACGAGTTGTTCAAAGTGATACTTGGAAATAAATAGGTATTGTTCACTGTGAAATAGATACGAGTTGTTCAATGTGATACTTGGAAATAAATAGGAATTGTTCACTGTGAAATAGATACGAGTTGTTCAATGTGATACTTGGAAATAAATAGGAATTGTTCACTGTGAAATAGATACGAGTTGTGTTCAATGTGATACTTGGAAATAAATAGGAATTGTTCACTGTGAAATAGATACGAGTTGTTCATTGTGATACTTGGAAATAAATAGGAATTGTTCACTGTGAAATAGATACGAGTTGTTCATTGTGATACTTGGAAATAAATAGGAATGAGTAACATTTCTACATTTGAGGTAATTCTCTTCAATGACAATGGTGTCTGTGAACCAGGACAGAAGCTAATTGGTGAAGTCATCATAGAAAATAGCCACCCTGTTAAAATAAAAGGTAGTACGACCTTTTTCATTCAAATTTAAAGTTTCTATTTCTAATCTTCTATATGAATATTAAGGATCTCGTTATAATATTAATTCTTGGTATGGTTTTGGTACCCGCACATTGGTTTACGACCATAATTAATACGATATGATTCCTATTAGCATCATCGTTACCTTCCTATTTGTTGATTAAACAGTATGGGTATTTATCATTATTACATTTGAGTGCATTGTTGAGTTCTTCGATTAAAACAATTGGTTGCCTTGCAAGATATGTCCACTTTCCCGATACATTTTCAGTATATCAAGGGCATGTCACCTATCTGTGTCAAATCATACCAAAAATCTAATTTGTATAAGATATTGTTGATTTAAACAAACACACATTATTTAATAAAATTCGGACATAAACTGTCACCTCTATCGCCAACAAATTTAGAGTCAAGGGCAATAACTCAAATTCCGTTGATCGAAAAATTGTCAAATTAAATTTTGACTAATATTTCATCATTATAAATAATCATACCAAATTTCATTTTAATAGGATGAAAAATGTACTCTCTATTGTGTTCACAAACAAATTTTTACGCGATTTTCATAAATCAAGGGCAATAACTCAAAAACCGTTCATCGAAAGATAGCCAACTTCAGACTTGATGTGGGCGTGTAAAAAAAGAAAGAGGTTTACTATTCCGCATCTAATTATTGAAGATACAATGTCATGCACTGAGGAATCGAGATTTTGTGGCATTGGATTAAAGGGATTGTAAAGAGGTTTTCAAAATTTTGTATGTGTTTCGGGGACGCTGACAGAATTCTAATTTTTGATCAGACGTCTGTGGTTCCAGCAATTCCACTAGAACTTAGTGTTTGATGTCGTCACTAATCGTAAAATAGGCCCATCGCGATTAGTGATGCAGGAACCACAGGATTGGATTTGTATACAAATTGGTGCTATCCAGTGTCCTTGATACACATAAAATTTTTAGAAAACTCCTTTACAATCTCTTTAATTTCTCAGTTATAAACTGTCAGAGGATCTTCAACGAAAAGAAAGCGAGCATTATAAACAAATAATTTTTTAATGGGATAGTTTGATTTTTTTCTCTTTTGAGACTTGGGGCGTGTAATACTTTAAACTACATGCCAAAATATAGTTTCAACTTTAAATATTTAAGTTCCAAAGAGCTATAAATATTTAGCCTATTTACGTAAACGGTTTAAATCGAACGTGCTATCATGACAGAAACAACAATTTCCACGCGCAAACAATGGCAGTACCAGCAGGCCCGTAGCTAAGGGGTGGCGAGGGTGGGTACAGACTTACTGAAGAAAATAATTGCCCCCCCCCCCCCTATATTTGAAATTTAGATTACTTGTTGAGTCAAAAAGTGGAGCCCCCCTCCCCCCCCCTTATATAAAAAATGGGACCCCCCCCCCCCCCCCCCCCCCCTTTGAGACTCTAGGATAGCCTATGTATCAGACTATCCCTTTAAACGAATATAATACTCTTTATAGGACATTTTCTGTGATATTTAAACATAAACAACAATATAAACCCAGCTAATGACAATGAACTTTTGACCTGTTGTTGTTATCAACATGATACTGGACGCAGAGTCAATTCGTTGACCACGAAGCTTTCGGATCCGGTTATCAAACTGGATTGTCACAATTAGGTAGGAATTTTTTAAATCCTCATCATCAAGATAACTGGCTGAGTTATTAAGGTTAACTTTCCAATAAATGGACTTAAGACCAAAGCTTACCAACTTATTGAGTAAGTGCGAGAAATAGAAGCTATAAGAGTCTGCTATGCACAAACACTCAAATAGAAACTAAAAGATAGTGGACCACAGCCATATACGCCCACCGCGGCATGCGGATGGTAAATATTAAGGATTTTGGGGCAAAGGCAATAACTCTGCTTCTTACGGTCGAAAATAGCTCAAGTTCGAACTCGATCTTCGTTTTATGAACATGTCTACACATAACTAATTTCATTTGATTCCGTCAAAAAAAAAAGTTTTTAGAGCGTTTACAAGCAAACGCTTGACGGACGGACGGACCGACGGACGCACAGGGGTGCCGACAATATACGTCCACATAGAGAGATGTGGACGTATAAAAAGGATTCTCTACACTATGAAACAGGTCGTATCATGTCGAGTTTATCTTAAAATGTACTATTAAGATAGTTTTAGATATATAGATATAATAATATAGTATCATATTGAATACATGTAAAACCAAATCACTTCATGTACGTCGTCGCATAGTAAGCAACGTTTTTATAACTTACCAAATAAGCCATTGTTTTTCTATATATATATGAAATACATACTTATTTATAAAAAAGGAAATGGGTCAAGGATAAGCCCTTAATTGTTTACAGTAAAGATTTAAAGAGTCAGCTAGACCAGACTGGGTAAAAAAAACCATATCGTTCGAGCACAAGAAAGCTACGTAACCTTGTCGCGTCGCCCTGTTCATGATACTTTGACAGTTGGGAGTGAAAAAAAGAACATGCAGGCAAGTGGCATTGTCCTTGCACCAAACTTCCCTCGGCACTTTAGTCAGTGTTCGTCTTCATTAACCTGCATTACAGAGAGAAATATAACTCTATTTTATACCATACCTATAAGAACACAACGATCGTTGATGTCTTACGTCATAGGCCTACTGTGATATTTTTGTGTAGATATGTGGTCCAATATTTGTTCCAAGTGTTACAATGACAAACATATTCATTGGGTTTGAAATTTACAATAGAAGTCAGCTACTTTAAATTTGATAACATATCATGTTTACTTTTAATTTTGTAGAGATACGCATAGAATGTAATGGTACAGCTCATGTACACTGGGTAGATACGAGGAATTCAGAAGGGGCAGTAGCACCTGAGTCAGCAGATGAACAATATTATAACTGTTACCAACTCTTATATCCTCTACCAGCTACAGGTAAAGCAAACAAAGTCTTTCAGTAATTTGTCAGATATGCATTTGCCCGAATGAAGTCCTCCATCTTGAGAATGTCGTAAATGAAGCAATGTGTGGTTTGCTATAAATTGCTATTTGTCCAAACCACACCCCCATTCGCCTTACAAGGTCAAAACCCGTATTCGGGATACGATGCTATCGGTTGTACTTCAATGAAGCTCACTGTGGTTTGTAGATTATAGCATTATTTTCACACTATCCTCACACCATTGCCCTGTTCTTCATTGGAGCCGATACATATAGCGTTACCTTTTCTCGGTAGAGGAACCACAACCAAAACAGCAGAACACAAAACTCAATATTTCAATCATTATGCAATTCTATGTAAATATTTTTTAGAGTCAGAAGCACAAACAGAAATGCCATCAGAATCTGCTGTTATAAGAGAAGATAAACTTCGAATTTTAGAAGCAGGAAGCCACTCCTTTCCATTTGAATTCCCTATACCACCAAAGTTACCATGTTCATTTGAAGGGCCTTATGGACACGTTAGATATTGGTTACGAGCAGTCATAGAAAAACATTGGAAATTGAAAGTGAATGTTCGGCCATTCAAGATTACTCCAAAACTTGATCTCAACAATGTACCCCACTCAAATGTAAGTAGTCCTAGAATATGTCTAATTGTATGTTTATCATCTATTAGATCACGAACTCATAAGCAGAGCAGTGCACTGGACAGCGAGCTTACCATTAACGTGGACACACGAGTCATACATTGCTATTTTAAATTATGCCAAATGGCAAATCGTCTAATTCAAAGTCTACCAGCTACCCAGTTCTGTTGGTTTATTGATTATGAATTATGAATTGGCATTGAGATAGATGAGTCTTTGTACGATATTCATCTCTGTGGTGAAAATGAACCGTCCACTTTAATTTTACTAGCGATTAGTATTAAGATAACCATGGGAAACCACTACCAAGTCGATGGTCCAATATCCTTATGAAACCAAACAGAACAATACTAAGAAAGCGTGGGAACTATGACAGCAGTCGGCTTCAATATGAGATGAGCATTTGTCAGTCTTTCAGTACAGAAGTTCTCGTAACGGACTTCCTGCACATTATTCAGTGGTTTTCCATTTCTTGCATTGGAAGGTTAACCCACATAATTATCCAAATCTATGTGTTGCTGATATACATTTGTAAACAGGGTAAATGAGCTCCTGTCAATTTCATTCAGGTAACCATTCTAAAAAAAGTTGTAAACTGCAATCTGCTATTCCGGTAGAACTATATATAAGGTAATTTCATGTTTTATGCATTTTTCAGGAAGAGATTACTATATCTAAAAGTTTTCCTCTGTCAACATTTCTACAACAATCTGCTTCAGTTTTCGCGTCTGTAAATCTGCCCAAGAAAGGCTATGTTTTAGGTGAAACTATTCCAGTTAATATTTATATCAAAAACGACAGCAATAAAAATTTGTGGGCAACTTCTTTAAAATTAAAAATGGTAAGTGTAACCATATCATTAAATGTGAAATGTGAATGATCTATAAATGTCAGTGGTACATATTTCACTTGCGTATAAAGGAATAAGACTACATCAGTTGGTGAAACTGCACTTTCCTTGAAAGCATTAGAGATCCCAACGAATGTCCTACTTCGAAAGTAAAAACAACGGTAGCAATCTGCCTTCCTTATTCACTTATTATTTATATTAGACACTACTCTGGTGAAATTTCCCTCACTGTTCGTCTTCACGAACCCCACGATCCCATGAGCAGAAAACTAGAATATAACGCTATAGTGTATTATTTTCAGAATTTACATTATGAAACACCAAGTCAAAGTCGAAATACAAAAATCAATTTGAGTAAAGTAAAACTCGGAAAGGTATTAGCTGGTGAAACAATTGAAAGAGTCGGTAATTTATCAATACCTAATGATCTACCACCTAATCTGAATGGATGTGGTCTAATCAACGTTAAATATTCCATTATGGTAAGTTTTTTCAATTTAGTTCCCAATACATAAAAACTCACTCACTCAGAAGTAAAAAAGGGGCATAATATTATTGCTTAAATTTGCAAAAATCGTGTAACAGATAAAATCCATCAGTTTTTGTTGTCCAAGGGCTCTTTGGATTTGAGCTCCACTAACCAGTGGCTCAACCCGATGAGTAGTTCAACCAGTCCCTGTGGTGGTTGGGCCACTGCTACTGGCGCCCTCTAGTTCTGTGAGTCGTTTGGCCGGGAGAATGTGCTCACCATTCCCAACACACGACTGGTCTATAGGCATCTCTATCGGAGAGCCAAGTTATTAATGTTTATTTGATATACATATACATTCCCGATAATGTTTAATCGCGCTTGGTTTGATACATGAGTCTATTGTCGTCTCTACCTCCAACAGTGAGTTGACTATCGGAAAAAATTTAATTGGAAACTTGCCAATTTCGTATGATTATTCTGAAAATTAATAGAAAGAAATGTTTAGGAATTTTTTTTTTCTTTCAGCTCAAAATCAAGCCATCCTTATTTTCATTGTCAACTTTTAAAACAGCAGTTGATATAGTTATTGGTACCATACCTTTCAGATCTATACCGTCATCACATTCAATGGTCTTTAGTAAGTATACGACGTCCTGTTAAAGGGATTGTAAAGAGGTTTTCTAAATTCTGTATGTGTATCGGGGTTTGGGACAATTATAGTATCAATTTGCGCCAATTCCAATTCTACTAAACTAAGTGTTTTAGGGCGTCTCAAAGGTCTTACGTGATACAAGCAAATTTTGCGGGAGTGACGTCATAAAACACTTAGTTTTAGTGGAATTACAGGAACCACAGATGTCTGAACATTAGAATGGTGCAAATTGATGCTAGCAGTGCCCCCGATACACATAAAAATCTAGAAAGCCTCTTTTCAATCCCTTAAAGTAACTTCGCCTTGCTCATTAATGTCCCGAAAATTAAAATTGAACCCTCATTGACAGGGTTTGTTTTTAACGATCCAGCGAAATTATCCTGTCAGACAAGCCGACAGAAATTTGGTGCTTTCCTGGCGGGTCCTCTCTCCCAACCTTACAGTATCATTGGCCTTTAAACGTTGTTATTCTGTTTATAAACTAATGATATATAAGCTAATTGTTCTGATATTTATGTTTATGTAGGTCTACCACCAAGTTATGGAGAAATCATGAATACCACTGATTTACCAAGTTATTATGATATTGTGACAATAGAAAGTTAGTTATGGTATTTAGAGTTGTGTCATAATACGTATAGTCGCGAAATTAATAGACCAGAGTATTTCCATTGGAAATCTGTAGCCTACACGCCGATAAATTTTGTCTAAACGATCTTATGCTTTATTAAATAATGTTAAAACAGCTTTCGCTTATGAGACGCCTTCGGAAATTTTTAGCACCTGAACAACGTGTTGCGAAATTATCTGGCATGTTAACAGAATAATATGTTGATGCCATCTGATAAAACAAGGTATTTTGAATAGACCTTTTACTTACATAGATTATGTTAGCAGTTAGAATGTAGAAGAGAGACAAGCAATGTGCAATATGATGTCTTGGCTTGAATTACAAGAACAGACCTACCTGTCATCAGGAACTATTGAACTATTGGCTGAATCCCCGACGTGTTTATTATATATAGCAGACTTCATCCATTCTGAAAATAAACGAATTAAAAATGAAATGCTTGTGGTCCAAAGCTGAGGCCATTGCACTATGTACGTCCACGATTGTAGACCTAATGATAGAAAATGAAAAAGTAGTTTGGTAAACTGTGAAACCACCACAGCTCAATAGATATAATTTCCGACGTATGCAAGGCCAGAATTACGTCTTTCCCATGTAGCGTAATGTCTCTAAAATAAAGGCTACTATACCGGGTGTTATGTGTGTCGTTAGGGGTGGCACAGAATGCTCAGATAGACTATATCAACTGCTCAGGTCGCCGTCAAGATCAATTTACGGTTCGGGCACACTAACAGCAGATTTTTGTGGCAGACTCGAATCTCAAGTGTACCGGCGCTTCCACGACAAGATTATCGCGTTGTTCTATGGTTTATAAGTCAGCTAGGTCGTTATCCAATCAGATTCATTACCCGTTCAATTGCATGATCCGCACGTGTTTATCGACATGTGGAAAACGACCGACTGGAGATCTTTTATCTCCTTGTGTACCTGCATCCGGTTGTTTTGGCTACATATGCCAATAACCAAGATCACCAACATAAACCTGGGTAGGCAAAGGCTAACCGAGTGTATTAAAATCTGACGAATACACGTCTCTCATGGGGGGTTTAATATGCTATATTTAAGCTTTAAGTCATGGACGGTAATGCAAAAAACTTTTCATAAATTGCTGAAATCTCTATCACAATCAAAAAACCAATAATTATAAGAAGAAAAAAAACGTTTATCGAAAATTCATAAAATTTTAACTTACCCAAGCCAAGATCTCATCAATATTTTAAAGCATATTAGCCTATTGACATTGATGTTGTCAAAATCCGAACTCATGAGGACCCAAGGACGAAAAATAATATAGGCCTATATCATAATTCTAGCCTTTACTTCAAGCAAGAGACGCAGCCCAACCCAGACACAACTTCACTTCAACCAAGAAACATTCCACTAACCATCAGAGAATTTCGTACAAGTCTGCAGTAGACGTCGATCTATCAAAGATGAAACAAAGGGAGGCAACTGCAATGGTTGAAAATATCCATAAAGGTAAAGGCCAAGTTAAGTCAACAGGTGTAAAAGGCAATGACAACGACAATGCCAGGTTTCAATTCTGTCAAGTGATAAGAAGGGCACCTTGAAATCATGTTTTTTCAGCAGGTATAAAGTAATATGTTAACGACTATTTTATAGTGACTGTCAATTATGGAAAGGAACTGTGGTCATTTCCATCGGTTATGCTTTAGTTGTAGGGTTAAGGACGGTTTTTAACATTGAAACTTTCTACAAGGAATATTCTTTTTTACCTGTGAAACAATATAATTATGATATATAGTGCCACGCCCACACAGTTCGGTACTATCATTATAATCAACACGTGGTTTTGTTTTGATTTAGACAGGAAATGATATTTTGAGTTTGCGCATTTGAAGGGAAATCCGGGTACCTGACAAGCCGTCACAGCCAAGAAATCAACATGGCGGCCCCGAGTGATGGTGGCAGCAAAGATGAACTAAAAACACATTTTGGCACTCGTGAAGGGACTTATACATTAATGCCATTGTCTGAATATTCTAAGCCATCACGTGTAGCATACAATGGACAAACAAACACACCCGTCAAAGTGTCATTTGTGAGAAATACGGACGCAAATGGATCGCCTGTGGACAGAATTTGTTTCAATGTTGGCAGGGAATTGTTTGTTTACGTTTATAAAGGAGTCAAAAAGGTCAGTTGGATTGTGAATATCCCCTTCAATATTTGGTCCTTGTGCAACTCCTATAAACTAGATGCTATTCTTATTCAAAATGCAGCAGTCCTTGTTGAATCATTGCAATGATATACTAAGAAGGGGGATAACCCTCAATTAACTTTTTGACATTTCTAAGGAATGTCCCCTTTGAAAATATGTTTCACCTTCATAGGGCTATTAATAGATGTATTAAAAAAAATGTATGTTGTGGTTTGATTCTTGGAAACAGATGCATTGCCCTTTCACAAACTTATTAGAGATGTATTATCTTGAACTCATTTGATGATGATTTCTCAATTTTACTCTTGACAATGAAGACAGTCTTGTTTAACAATGAGTTGAATGACATTGTCATTATCTTTCTATTATTTTTAAGAAGAAAGACAGCAGAAATGCAAGTTTTTAGAAACATGAACATAGATCGCTAATTTTCAGTTCCTTTGCAGAATGAATATCCTACAGTACCTTGAGCCATTCAAGACTGTAATACTTTCAATTAGAATGAGCATGAAATTTAAATTCTCGAACTTGATAAATAAAAGTATATTATCAATCAATGGTGTCATAACAACTATAAACTTACTCTATAGGATCTTTATATAATCCATTATCCATAAAATTATCAATAGAAAAATAGTAAATATTTTGGAAGGAGTTGTCGTTACAGTCAAGGCCAATATTGTGATTGTCTATGAAGCCAATAATATTTGCAAACCATTAATATTTCTGTTGTGAGTTTGTATAGCAGAAAAATCCAACTGGGGTAAAATGCCAACAGAAGGTGCCAACTGGTAAATTTTTTAACAAAAACTCAAAAACTGCCTATTTTGAGGCTACACTCAGTAATGTTACATGCCGGCCATGGTAATTAGTGTGTATTTCTATCTATAAAATCTATCTAATCTCACGTAAGTTACATACTGGTTAAAAATGATGGGTACAAATTGAAACAAAATTATGTTTCAAACAGGAAAATTGAAAATTATTATAAGGCTTATGCAGCACACTACATCATTAATCTTGACAGGGACAGTAAAGCAGGATGTAAAACTCTCTTTCATTTCATTCATCTCTGTCAACGTGTGTTTCAGGCTGCTGATCTAACAAAACCAGTAGATAAACGAATTTATAAAGCAACATTACCAACATGTCATGATTTTAATCCTGATTATATTTGGTCCGATAGTGTCTTGTTATTAGTAGGTTTTACTGCTGGTCAGGTACAACTAATAGATCCTATTAAAAAAGAAAATAGTAAACTTTATAACGAGGAGGTAAGTAGTGCAATTATCTTTTTCATTTACAAATCAACAAGTCATTTACAGGCTGACAAATTTGTCAATTACAATAAAATGGTAATTAGCCCATACTAGAAGTAGTTGGATTTTCATCTGCTAGGCTGCTGCTTGCTATGGGTTCAAATTCTCCTCAAGTTATGAAAAATTCTGATGCCACAACCAGTCAACCCATTTTCAGCTTTCAACCCTTATCTCATTATCTGGAGAGAAATTATTGTATGTTATTGTAAATGTCAAAAGAAATTATCAGCTCACTTCATATGAAATTGACACCTATAAATTTTGTATGTTTTGATCCTTTTATGTTTTTCAGAGGTTAATAGATAAAACTAAAGTAACATGTATTAAATGGATACCCCAATCACGAAATCAATTTTTAGTTTCTCATGCTAGTGGACAAATGTATGTGTACAATGAAGATTTACCTTGTGGACCAACACCTCCCCATTATCAACCATTTAAAAATGGAGAGGGATTCTCTATATATACTTGTAAGACAAAAAGTACCAGAAATCCACTGTACAGGTGGATAGTGGGACAAGGTGCTATCCATGAGTTTGCCTTTTCGCCATGTTCTTTATATTTAGCCATAGTAAGCCAAGATGGCTACCTTCGTGTTTATAACTATAATTCTATGGAAATCCTAGGTTCTATGAAAAGCTATTTTGGAGGATTGTTGAGTGTGGCATGGTCACCTGATGGACGCTTTATAGTGACCGGTGGTGAAGACGATTTAGTGACTGTGTGGTCGTTTCATGAGCGACGAGTTGTTTGTCGAGGTCAGGGTCATAAATCGTGGGTTAATGTGGTTTCTTTTGATTTTTACACCTCTTGTGTTTGTGATGATACAGGCTGTGATTTTAACGGTAGTGAAGAAGACTATCATTCGTCCAGGCATTGCCATTCTAAAGACTCTGGTGTTACCAAAACATCTGATTCAAATAGGAATTCATTGGACGGTAATGGTTTAAATATTACATCGTATAGATTTGGTTCTATAGGACAAGATACAATGATATGTTTATGGGATTTAACAGAAGACATCATTAAGCAATCAGCAGGAAGATCACGTAATAGTATTGCACCGTTGTCGAATTCAGCGAGTTGTTTACCTCGATGTAATAGCCTTCCCAATTCTCAGAAACGGAACTCTATAGGTAATGATGTGTCTGCTCATGTGGAGGGGTATAGTAATACAAACCAAATTCAAAATGCTGTGATGAACGCTTCAAATAAATTTGCCACCCTTTCAGTGGCTGATCGGAAAGAGAGCCAAGAAAAGAAAGAACATAAAAGAAATTTTAGTCTAGCAAGTAGGAATACAGATAAAGTAAATATGTTGAAATCAAATCATGTGAAACCAATAGATGACTCAATTAAATTGTTAGGGACACCATCATGTCCTAGATTAGATGAAGTACCAATGTTAGAACCTTTAGTTTATAAAAAGATAGCTCATGAACGCCTGACAGCACTAGTGTTCCGTGAAGAATGTTTAGTAACAGCTTGTCAAGAAGGTTTAGTTTATACCTGGGCTAGACCTGGAAAGGTAAGTTCATAACTTCTCAGAATCTGATACCGATACCTTACCCTATATATATGTTGATAAATGCATGTTGATTTATCTAGTCTTCGATATCTATCCGTCCTGGCAGAGGGAAATACTAACTTGGTAACATGAAAGCCCAGGGTTCAATCTCAACAAAGGCCCTGTGCAATAAAGGGTGTGCAGTTCCCAATTCTCATGTAGGCAAATGTTTAGAACATTAACTTTGGGTAGTCTTCAAACTCTTTCCATTGATTTTACTGCTTTTTGTCAGATTGGTTCAGCATTTGGTCTTGATATTATTTAGTGATACTATTTCTAGCATTGGATCAAGGTTTCTATTTTCATAATATTTTAAGAATGAAGGTCAAATGGATGCTGAAAATGCAACAGAGGACATCATTACAATGTCATAGACATGGTGTGTTGTCCCTTTGGTTCAATGGAATAACACAAAATATCCTCACAAATGTATTTGTATTTCTTTTTCAGGGTCATGAATGATTAAAGGTTATATTAGAACTTACTAGTGTTATCAGTATATATATATAATTCAACAGTATATAATATATATGAAATATGAATGGATACCTGTGCAATATATCTCTATAACATCATCTGCAATGCTGGGGCATTGTAAGGGCTATATATAGCTAAACCAGGTTCTAACAATAGCAGTGATTGTATGGGGTTTAAAAAGACTGTAGAGAAAAAATGTAGGGTACAAGTTATAAGTTTTTACCATTTTTATTTAAAGTGTCATTTTATTTAACGGTGCTTGTTCAAAGATTGTCCCAACTCTTATACAACTTAAATTATATTTTACTATTCCATTGTGAAATCGTGAAACACCCTTTGGAAAATGGTTGAATAGAAAAGCTTAGCTTCTTTGTTTATGCTGACTCTTAGCTCTTGATTTTTTCTTTCTAATAAAATCTAAAAGAATGCTCTCCATTCCAAACATTTCAATCAAATTATGAACAAGAAAGTTAATAACTATTTGAATATACTTCTTGGAGGGCTGCTTTAACTTTAGGTTTTCTGCAATGAAGCTAGAAATTTGAACCTTATCTGGCTCTGAAATGTAACTGGTATTTAGTGCTTTCAATTCAAAACCAATTTATATCTTTTCTTATTGAAAATTAATATGACAATTTTTATGTTTTCTAAAATTTATATATTCTCTTTATGCTAGTAGATAATTTTTAAATTGTTTTCTTATTAAGCTTCTTTTTTTATCATTTATAATTAATGTATAATATTAAAATACAGATCTATAGATATTTCGTTTAGTTTATTTTCTGTGGGTTACTTCACTCCTACCTTTGTCTGACTGCATATGAAATATTGTAGTCAACCAAAAAGCAGAGTTTGTGTATGACTAAAAATGTTCACCTCTAAACGAAGAATAGATGGAATTTAACTGAGTCACAAAATAGTCCCTTATACTTTATAGATATAACCTTGCTCATTGAATTTTCAGGAACTTTGATTTTGGGCTTCCAAACATGATTTTGAAAGAAAACAGACATATTGATGGGACAAATATCAAGAAATGTTTGAATATTGTCAAGCCACACTCTGAAAATACTAATGGGAGCTAGGGACAAGCAAGCTTTGGGCTGTTTAGCAAAATTAATGCTTTACATAGTGAACCCAGGGCTTGACAAGCTCCTAATAGCATTTGATTGATACTATTTTTAATCATATTGAGTGAAGTAACCCACAGAAAATGTACATGTCTCTAGCTTTTTGGACAGGTTCAACCAAATTTAGTAACTTTATTTCTGAACTATAGTTGTAAAGATTTATATTATTAGATAGATGGACAACATTCCTGCATTTGTCCCATTTCTGACCTTGTGGACCTCGATCCATTTTGAAATCTTGCTCATCTATTTTCAATCCACATAGGGGTAGGGAAATTCTAAATAGAGCTATCTATGAAAGATTATTGTTTCCAGAATATTTTTAAGTTGGAATGTTAAAATGACAACTCGTCTTTTAAATATACTCTGTGATATATAGAAAAGACATATATAGAAATGGTGAGTAAATTTCATAGTTTTGAAGTATTTTTGAAGGAATTATGCAATTTTCATACATTTCTTGAACTTCTGAAGACTACATATTTTCAAGACTAAAATCAATTCTCCAAAATGGCGCATCTGTCCCTTTAAAATTCAATTCTGATAAGATCTAAGGTCAATAGGAAAAAAAATTGAGTTGTAGAACCTTTGTGCGATTTCTGCACATTTTTTTGTATTAAACCTGTGTGATTCAACTGTGATTTTTATGCATGATTTGATTTTTTTTAATTATTAGCATAATAAAGTACATAATTATTTCAATTTCAAGAACCCTGATCATACTATAATCATATTTCTAAATCCATAAATAAGCTCAACTATTCTGAATCTAGATTTTTAACAAATCTGAATCCAGATTGACAACTTAACTCTACAAATCTGAATCTAGATAAATGACTAAACTAAAAAAATCTGAATCTAGATAAATGACTAAACTAAAAAAAATATGAGTTGAGATTAAAACTGAACTCAACTATTCTTAATCAAGATTAAAACTGAACTCAACTATTCTTAATCAAGATTAAAACTGATGCTATTCTTAATCAAGATTAAAACTGAACTCAACTATTCTTAATTTTGACTAATATGAATCCAGATTAAAATGAAAACTCCTCTAATTAAAGTAGTGTTTCTTTCAATGTTAAATTGTCTAAGACATACCAATATTATAATTATTTCCAGAAATTTTATGGAAAGTCAAATTTGCATAAAAATTCGACTTGGCGTCTTTAGAACTCAAAGACTCTAGAATATATTCAACAACTAGCTTTTGTGAACTGAAAATGAAAATCAAAACCATTAATTCATTTCACAAAAAAATATGTTTTGTATCAAATTTTTTCCCTCTTTGAGTTTATTGTTGTCAATTTTGACAGGATTAAGAACGAACAGTTGAAATATGTCTTTCATTTCTGAAAATAACTTGAAACAGAGTTTATAAATCTATTATCAATCTAATTATGTTGAAATAAAAATCTGTTCTTCATTCAGAAATATAAATCATGCTATAAAGCAGGAAATTATTGCACCATCAAGATTTTTCTCAACACAAATCTATTTGAATAACTTGTTCTTGGAGAATGTAGTAGTTTGTATAAAAGACAATTTAATCATTTTTATACGCCCACATCTCTCTGTAAGGACGAATATTGTCGGCACCCCTGTCTGTCCATCGGTATGTGTATACATTTTCATAAAACGAAGATCGAGTTCGAATTTGAGCTATTTTCGACCTTTAGAAGCAGAATTATTGCCCTTGCCCCAAAATCTTGAATATGCTATTACTCTCTTAGTTTTCAACTGATTTTGATGAAACTTAAAATGGATGTTTCGTTTTTACCATACGCATGCCGTGGTGGGCGTATATGACTGTGGTCTACTATCTTACTTCATATTGATAAATTTCAATAACTCCTAATTCATCTGCAATAAAGGAAGGCATTGCCTGTATGAGGCAACAGTTTAATTATGCGCTTAATTTTGCCACTTCTGCTAGTATGCTTTAATTGCAATCTGATTAGAAGTCAAAATTTCATTCTAAAAAGTATTAGTAACAGCTGATAACTGATATTTATCAGTACTTTTGACTTTGTCCTATAGAGTTTTTTTTTATCAAAGTGATAAGTGTTAAAGGTAACTTACGTTATATCAGTGGATGTAGCCAATGATTAGAAAGTTGTGGTCTTTGATATTGAATGACCTGATTATTTATGATATGATATAATAAATTATATGATATTTTAAAAATTTTTATTATAATCAAAAAATGTATCTGATAATATTTACTAAAGAGGTAATAATATACTATTGTTAAAGCCAAATATGTAGTTTACACTGTATTTATTTTTAGTTTAAAGGCATAGGTAGAAAGTTTAGTTGAATATTCATTGAAGCTACAAGACATTAGAAATATATATTTAGAGTTTAGAAAACACTTTTTATTTATCAAAGCTGACTGTCCAGCAGCCTGAAAATTCCTAAAAAAAATCCGAATTTTTTTCAGTTTGGCTAAAATTCCTTAAAATGTTCAAATCAAGGGGAAATTCTAAAAAAAATCCTGATTTTTTTCTGTCAATTCCTAATTATTTTGTATTTCTACTTGTTGGGCGATCTTTATACGCCGTCGATCAATCAAATCAAACCTAATTTTTGAAATAAACCCCAAAATTTTGGTCATTGAGTGCTGGACAGCCTGTCAATAGCTTAGATAGAGCGTATTTGTAATTTATATGCTTTCTTGAAGTCAAAACTCTAAACCCAGCAAGCCAATTACCATTCTTTGATCAATTGTACTTAAATAATGGCTATAGCAATAGCAATTGCAATCTTTAAAGAATCAAGTTCATCAAATATTTAGTTTTTGATGATTCTAATTTGGCAAGAACAAACCACGCCTTGATTTAAATTTAAAGATAAGAATATTGGCTTTCTGGATCTCACGAGTTAATACTTTAAGTTGAAGTTAGATGTATCTTTTTGGGCGATGCTTTGGGAACTTAAATGCAAAAAATCATGTTCAAAGTAGTGTTTCATTAAGTTTACTGTTATTGTCGTGCTCATTTCAGACTTCATAACCAGTTAACCAGACATCATTTGTAAGAAATGCACAACAGTCTTTGTAAATATTTTATACTATTTAAAGTATATAGATCTCTTCATTTTTGTTTTGCTCAGTAATAGAGGTCAATTTCAGCCATTTGTATCAATTTTTAGAATTCAAATCTTAAATCTAGTTGCGGAAGAATTTATTTGAAAAATATGGAATTTTACTTCTGCCATTCGCTGTGTTTGTGTTTTCAGTGGCAAAAATGTCATGAAATCTGCATGAAGAGTTTAAATGAAGAAATTGATCTCTAAGATTTAGTAAAACAAAATTTTGACGATTATACATGTATTCCTTTAAGATTGAAGACACCCTTTTCTATATTTTATCACTAAATAATAAATATGCACACCTGTGAATTTAAAACTTACTGAATTTACTATATTTTATACTAGTATGTGTTTGTGTTGCACATTTTTCTTTATTATAACAAATACAAAATTTATAAAAAACCAAAACAATCTTGATTGATTGTCTTAAATCATAGGATCAAATAAGAAACCATCATATAAAAAAGTTTGAACTTTTTTTAAAATTAAAACCATATATTAAAGAAATGTAGAGTAATACTTTAATTTTTCAAGTTTATTTTTCAATAATAGATGAATTCATTTTTCTTTTAAATTTTCATAAGAGATTTTTTGACTGATTTTCTTAGCATATTGTGCAAGTTTTACTTTCTGTTACATAACCTCGAAGCTGAATTCATTTTGCTTAATTTAGAAGATGATGGTCGAATGATGCAACAAAATTCAAAAAATATAGTTTAAGATGAATCAAAATAATTCATAAGGTTGTTGGACAAGTCCATGACAACGGATGTTGCCTAATTAAAGCTATATGTTTATTTAATGCTGGTGTAATTAAGCCTGGAGAATCATTTAAATGCTGACCGCTTAAGTCTGGACAATTATTCTTAATTGGATTGAACAATAAGTCTGATATTGCTTTAAAAGTACTACATCTTAGAATGAACATAAAATTTAAGAATTTTAAACTTGGCTAATAAGAGCATATTTTATTCATCAGTAAATATACTTGGTGTCATAAATAACATAACAGGATTCTTATGTAATCCGATAAATCCAAAAAACTTAGTAATTATCCATAAATATGCAATTAACTATTGAAAAATGCTTAATATTAAGATCAACTTACCAATTTTCCAGGGATTCTGTTGTAACTTTATGACACCAGGTAAATTCACTGATGAATATATACTCATATTGACCATTCTTGAGAACTTAAATTTTATGTTTATTTTAAGATGTAGTATCACTTTAACACCTGTATATGGTAAAGGGTATACTACAGTAGCTAATTGTTAATGTTTGCTGATCGAATCAGAACCAAGATTGTAAAGAAATTGTTTTTAGTTTTAATTTATTAATGACTAATTATTGTATTATAATAATCTTGTTAATTAGATAATCTTAAAGAATAATCTATTTTATGTATATAGTATTATATAAATAAATATATAACAAAATGCATTCTAGAAGATTAAGTGATTATTGTTAATTCTTAATCTCTTCAATGAAGATTTCTATTGTTTTCAAATTTTGCTTGTCACAAACATAGAAATTATGAGAAAATAAATTCCTATTTAAACATAATTTTTTTTTTTTTTCACATAATACTTTTTAAAAGACAAAGAGGTGGCTGAAGCGTGATAAAAAGAAAAAAAAGAATTTTTGGTCCTGGTCATAGGGAAAATTTCTGTTATGATTTTTGTTACACGAATGTGCTCTCAAAAAAGTTCCTACGAGCTACAACATCAGATAATTGGAATGCTTAAATTGTAGAAGTGCTTGGATCTTTTTGGGGGTTTGATAATGAAACTGAGTGAAGAATTAATTGTAGTCTGACATTTTACCCTAAAGTTAACTCCCTTACTACAGAGGGCGCACCGATAAGCCACGAAACTGAAAGTAGAATTTGTAAACAAGAAAATTAAGTAAGTAATCATTTTTTCCTGATTCTACAACTTATGCGAAAGAACTAATTTATTAAATTCTACAGATCATAACAGACGACTGCGTCACGCTCATCACTTAACTATAACATTTGAAAATTGGAAGTCAATGTGAATGAAATGTCAATGCCGGGCGGGAATAATTGAAATAAAAACGAAAACGTGAATGAGCTTGTTTTACTTATTATGACAGTGCCAGTTATGATTTCATTATCGTCCAGTATTTTTCTTATTTTCTTTGAAAGGCAGACGCAATCATGGTAAGCTTTCTAATGTGTTTTATTTGATATATATTCATATGATTATGAAATCTTTAGTCTTTGGATTTAAGTCAGATCTGGCTGTGAAATTTGAATTTCAAGTTAAAAAGGAAAGTTGAAATCTACAGTGAGTGGCAACAAACTTGAGACAGAGGAACTATTTCTTAGAGAGATTTTGCTAATCCATCAATCACAAATTGTGACCTAAGCTAGGAATACATCCTATGAGAATTGAACAATATTAGATGTCCTATAACTAACTTTATCTACCGTCAATGAAGTGACTACATACCTATATAACACGAAAAAAGCCTTATCAAAACTTGTGCCTGTCTGTGGCTTATGCAGACAATTTTATTGTTTTTTTCAGAAACAAGAGGTAATAAAAATGGTTGGGAAAAAGTCAGAATATCAGAAGCAATTTTCACCTGCCATTTTAACAAAACACATACCAATTTATCAAGACAATTTAGCATGTCGTATTAGGAGACGTGATCAACAGTTTGCGCACACATCTATAGCTTGGGACAGTTGTTCTGATTCCACATCAGAAGATGATGTCAAAGAAATTCAGCATAAACTAGAAGAGTTAAAACTCAAAGAAAAACAAGAAGCTTTAATACGTAAAAAGGAAGAAAAAAGGACTAAGTCTCCAGCCAAAGTTGATAAGTGTATAGAAACACATTTGAGTTTATCAGGCGATGAAGATGAAGAGTTATATAATGGTGATTTTGAAAAGATCAGAAAGTCTGATTTTGGTGAGATTAAGCTTATGGTATAATATATGAATGTTGAAATAGTTTCTTTTTTATCTTGAATAAACAATTATGTGCATAGGACTCAGAATCGATTACCAAATTGAAACCTATTTTCGAAAGCAGGCTACATAGATCAATAATCAAAATTTTTATTTTTGATTTCTTCTACATACTTAAAAAAAAGGTTAAAATTGTGTAATTCCCTAGGTAGCACCATTAGACAACTTTTCTGTGTTACATCCTTTTTGTAATAGTGAAAATCTCTTGATGATAAAGGCAAGGAAATAATGCCATTATGTTTTCTTTGTAGGTAAAACTAAAGTGATACATGGTAAAAAGAAAATAAAAAGACCAGATCAAAGTAAGAAAATACCTAAAGGTTCCAGAACACATACAGTGAAAGCTTCCAGACCATCTACTGCCCCTAGTAAACAGTCAGTCAGACGACCTAGGACACCTTTTGTATCATATGGAGCTGGAGATGGTGATAGATATAGTGGAAAATTATGGACACATAACGTTTTAGCTGATACAGATGTAAGTTTTACAAGTTTCAATTTCAGGCTTTAAAAATCTTGTGGCTTAAACTATTTGCTATAAGCATATGTTGAGTATGTGTAAAATCTTTTAATCACTTGAGATAAATGACAAAAGTAATAAAAATGTTAGAAGTCAACACCTTCCATGATGAAAATAAGAAGCACCAAGAGCGCTGCCTGTTAAAACAATTTAGAATATTGTTTAAAACCTGAAGTTAATAAAAATTTTGAAAGACATTCCTTTATTTTTGAATACATATCTTACGTAATATCCTGTTTTTTTTTTTCAAGGTATATCCAGCAGCATTAAGAGCCAAAGAAAAACATGAAGAAGAAATGAGGAAGAAGGTTGAAAAGCATGATAAATATGTATGGTTAGATGACAGAAAGAAAAATGCCATATTAAAACTGATGAAGAAAGAGACTGGAGATTGGGATACAGAATATAAGAGACATTATCCAGCCTATGATAAAGTTATATATGAACGGGCATTATCAGCACGACCAGATAGCTCATGTCGTAGAGAATATTGATATATTGTTTATATTTACATCATTTTCATTTCATTGTGCAGAGCAACCTACTATTTCGCTTTAATTCTATATAAAATAATTTGATACTAACTGATTAAAGGGATACACACTTAAGATGTGTATTTGAGACACTGAAATCACTAATTTGGCCCATTCCTATATTCAATAAGATGTCTGTGGTTCCTGCAATTCCATTGAAGCTAAACATTTTATGCTGTCACTAACCCAAAGGTTCTTATATATAATTAACAGATTTTATGACAGTGACATCACAATATTCTTAGTTTGAGTGGAATTGCCATATGGAATGACTTGATGCAACAAAATCAAAATATTTTTGTATAACGGTACATCAAGGAATGGTTGAAATCATGAATACAAATAGTTTCAATTTATTTAGGCAGATAAAATAGTATTGAACACAATAGAGGGTGGGTATGCATAGTTTCAATAACTATTTATGTTAAGATAGACTATATGTAAATGGAAATTATTTTATGTTCATCTTCTTGATAGTACTAATCATTAAAATGATATGTTGTGCCTTTATTCTGAATTTAAGTTCCTACTTAATTCGATTGTAGCTATCTCATGGTTATTGCCAAGATATGTTGAACATCTTTGAAAAGAACATAGCCTTCTATTAACCTGATAAAGTGGACTATATTTGCTTTACCTAATAGTAAACCTCAACTTCAGCTGTGAATTAGTTTACAGGATGAAAATCTGAACCATGTAAATTCCCAAATTGTTGTGTTTTTAGACCTCCCATTTAATAGTAAGCTCTTGCAGAATTTTTTCATCATGTTTTTATTTATGAGCTTATTTTAGTGTCTGAGACAGTTTCTTTTTCGAACCATTTCTTTTACTGTTTATTGTCTTATCATGTAATGTTTGTATTTAAATGTCATGAAATCATTGTAATGTTTATATTTAAATGTCATGAAATCATTGTAATGTTTATATTTAAATGTCATGAAATCATTGTAATGTTTATATGTCATGTACTCATTGTAATGTTTATATTTAAATGTTATGTAATTATTGTAATGTTTATATTTAAAAATCATGAACTCATTGATATGTTTATATTTAAATATCATGTACTCATTGATATGTTTATATTTAAATGTCATGAAAGCATTGTAATGTTTATATGTCATGTACTCATTGTAATGTTTATATGTCATGTACTCATTGTAATGTTTATATTTAAATGTCATGTAATTATTGTAATGTTTATATTTAAAAATCATGAACTCATTGATATGTTTATATTTAAATATCATGTACTCATTGTAATGTTTATATTTAAATGTCATGAAAGCATTGTAATGTTTATATTTAAATGTCATGAACTCATTATAATGTTTATATTTAAATATCATGTACTCATATATAGGGCTCAGGTTGCTTGGTGCTCAAACCTACTCTAGATCTTATTATATACATACTATATACATACTATTAGATTTTTATATCATATAGAATAAAATCATTTATTACTTTTATAGTTTTTCATTTACTCTTATTAAAGAGATATCCCGCCTATTTTTTTTTATATTTTTTTTGCTCAAATTTGTGAAAACTGAAAGTTTTATCTAAAAAAAATCCAGTCGTTAACGCCAAAATATTTTATAACATAATGTAAGGCTCTTAAGTCATCATGCTTTTTGGAAGTTGTTAGACAACTTCTGTGCAGATTTGAGTACAATAAATGCCTCATTGTAGAGAAATATGTCTCCTGCGTATTCTAAAGGTTTCAACTAAATATAAAAAGCCAAAACTAGGTCAAACTTCTTAATTAACAATTAGTAACCTTTGCTTTTAATTAAACCTTTTAAAACAAATTCGGTTTGATCAAATAGATACATAGATAAAAATAGAACATTTTAGAAATATTTGCAGGTAAAATTTACAACAATTTTGATAATGAAAACTTTTTACAAAAAAAGCAGAATATCCCTTTAAGTTTTTACACAATATCACCAGGCACATGTTAGAATACATGATCATGGATTATTTTGATTTCATCATCTATATATTTTACTATATGTACGAGAGAATTCTTGGACCAAGAGGAAATAATTTTGAATTAAAATTTTATTGAACATCAAAATAATTTGGTTGTGACAGTGCTATAAATAATTCATATCTGGTTGTGAACACTCTAAAATTAACAAACAACATTGTACTCTTTTCAAATTATCTCTTCTATTGTCTGTGCTGAAATCAAAAATATGCAATAGATTTTAGAGACATGCAGTGGTTTCCAACCTTTTCAAGTCCTCACACCCAGAACAAATGTTAAGTAATCACACCCCAAAACAAGTGACATTCAAAACATCAATGATAAATTCTACGACAGTTGGCAGTTATCCCGACGCCCCAGGGCACACTGGTGTCATGATCTTGGATATTTTTGGGAAATACATCAGGAACCATGTAACAAGACTATAGAATTATAAAGATTTGCATATACCAAGTGTTTCTCTCAAAGTTACATAGATATAGATTTGCTAAAATAAATAATCTCCAGTATTTCATTCATCAATCAAACTAATTTAGTACATGTATATACCTTATTTCTGACCACTGCAATAGTGTCGAGCCATTAGTTGTAACTGATCCAATTCAGAAATACCCAAATATTCCATGAAACTTGGACATTCAATGGACAGGCTTTCCACACAATTTACAGCAGAAGTCATAGCCCTGAAATGGATATAGGAATAATACAAATTTTATTTGTCATTTCAAAGAATAATGCTATGTTTTAGTTTAAAACTTATATTGTAATGTTGACATCAATTGTATCCTTTTGATAGGTCAGAATGAAATGTGTATATTTGTGTCATGGAAGCATTTAAGGCAGTCTTTTAATAATTGCACATAAAAACTCTATACAAGGCACAATTCTTGACAGGTACTGACAAACACATTCAAAAAATATCTAATATGAATTACTGCCCTTGTTCTTTGAAACAGCTTGATTTTCAGCTTGTAAGCATGTGTAACATTTGATCTTGATATTGGTTGCCTTCCTGCCAAATATTTCATTACAAACAAAGCTGCTAGTGGAAGTATGTTACCTTGCAGGTCAAGTTTAAGTTTTCACTTCTATCCAATATTTTTGAATTTCATAATGGAAGTACACTTACTCACAAAGTTGTGGCATGGTGGTAGCATCAATAACAGGCTCATTACAAGAATGGAAAGCATTAGATTTAGCTGTATCTGTCTGAGGACACCTTCGTCTTGAAGCATCACTTGTAGAAATGCCTGAAATATTGTAAAAGGAATCCTTTGTTTGTTCCATGAGTTGGAATATTTTCAGGCAAGATATATGCTAAGAGGTTTAGCAATGGATCAACTTGTAAAATGGTCAATGAAATTAAATTAAGTTACTTCTGATGTTTAAAGTTGACATTTGGTTCTTGTACAATTAAATAATGAGCAGTTTCCCAAAAGACATCCACACAGCTTTAACTTTTTGTAAAAGCATCTCTTAACTATGTAAACCCATATTCAATTTGCATCAAAATTAAATCGAGAAAATAGCCTTTATAGCATTCACAAATTTGTGATGTATTTGTAAAGTAAAAAGTACATGAAAATATGAAGTTTCGTCAGATTTCAATAAAAGCTGTTGTCTCCATGGATTGCCTGCATATGCCAATTTGATATAGTTTTTGTAGAGCAATAACTCAAAAGCCTATCAGTGAAAAAAGAACACATTTGAAATCTTATGTCAAAATAAGATATCCAACAAGCACGCTGAGCCAACTTTTTAAAGCTAATATTTTCTTTATACATAGAATAAAACCTGGAAATTTAATATATTTGAATCTTTTTTAGGATAAAAACTACTAATTGCCTCTAAAAACAAGGTTTTAGAGAGATTCAGTAGAAATTGATAATTTAAGTCTTACCTAGTACAATGATAAGTCCAATAACAGTCACATTCAAAAGATGCATTTTAGTATTTTACTCTAGCTTTGAACTATTCAACCTTTCTGTTTGAAGAGCTTGCAGCTATCTGAATACCAACAGATAGCATTTCACCCTTTAATTATTCTTAATCACTCTTATCATAGGCTTGATGTATTGAATTAACATTGAACAATGAATGGCCTGGCAAAGTTCATTTTGGCGTAAAATAAAACTGATTAATATACGGTACCCTATTGTGAGAATAAATGAAGTTATACTAATATAATAATTTTGGCATTTTCAATATCCGCACCAAAGATCTTGATTGAAAGGGATCAAGTGATGCAATTATGTATAGCTTAAAGGACAATTCACATGTATAATATGTTCAATGTAATATAAGAATCAGATTACTGGTTTGCCCCCACACTTTCAAATTTCTATCATATACTTATGGAAAGTATATATAAAAATACATAAAACAAATTTTAATTCTGTTAAACAGAACAAACATTCACAACAGTAATTACATAAAACAAAGATACTCTAACTATCACAATCCTGAGTGATATAAACATGTATATTTTAAAGCATTCAACATAACCAACATATATCATGGGTGACCGCTTGAAACCTCGTATAACGTTATATGACGCGAAATTACTTTTCGAGAAAAACGTAAAAACCTTTGTATGCGTATTTTGTTAAAATCTTTTTTACCATTTCTTTTACCGCTATACGTGGTTTTCATTCCTTGAAAATTTAAACCTTGTATAACACATTAAGTTCTTCAACCTATTCAACCAATAACTCATAATTATAATAGTACAGTATACGAGGTTTTTCGTTTTCATCCCAGAAAAAGGAAAATTGAACCTCGTATAATAATATATTTTACTAGGTTTTAAATCTGACTGTTTTTATATGTGTTATTTAATTAGTGATTTTTGAGTTATTTTAATCAATGGTACCAAAATGTCAAAATGACCGAATATGGCATATATGAGGTTTCAAGTGGTCACCCACGATATATTGCTTCAATCACAGTTTGCTTAAAACATGAAAGCTTCTAAATCACGATCTTCACATACAATTTAGTCAATAAAAGTTAAAATTTTAAAAAAGCAACATGCTGTTATCATTATATTTTCCTATATCAATGTAAAATTTGAGAGATTCCATGGAGTTTTTCAATTCAAGCATGCATTTTATTCTATTCACACCATTTACTGTTTGCCGTCTATGGTTCCCTTTTTTCAGATCTAGAAAACTAAGCTTGGTCATGTCATTTAAACCCATGGAATTACAGGAACCAGACATCATATTGAAAATTGGCATGGAATGAATAGAAGCTAGGGTTTGTCCAAGGCAAGAAATCTTTCTTTAAAAATAACATTACTGTGTAAACATCAGAGATTATGGTCCTTGTTATTTTTTGCTGGTTGGACTTGTTTCCTGATTTCCAGTATTAAGTATGAGCTAAATTCTCTGATTTCTCAAATCAAGTAAACCATGCGAATTAAAAATTAAAATAGAAGTTTGTACCGATTTACTTGGCATACTTTGAAATAAAAAAAAAATTTCTGTTAAAAACTGAATGTTATGGTGAAAAATTTTGGTAAATAACCAAATTAAATTCATAAAATTAAAAATAATTTCTCTATTGATATCCATTTAAAAACTAAACTAGAACTCAAAATGTTTTAAAAAAAAGCTGGCACACTTTGCCCCTTTAACCAAGTGAAATTGTTATGGGATCACTTCTTTAAAACTGAAAATATAGCTGTACTACTAAGTATACACTCTACTAGCCTGCAAATTTTAAATGATATTGATTCCGCTATGACTTTTTTTTTTTTTACCTATTTTCATTTTTTTAAAAATTATTTAAAAATAAACATTTTAAAACAAATTATTTGTTTAAAATACAAGTAAAAACATAAAATTTTCTCAGAAAGAATCATACTCAAAATTTTTAAACTTCAACAATTAAAATCTGCATTTCCACAAATACTGTATAGCCGTGCAAAGATATTTCTGTTAATCCAGGTTCGATTCAAAACACAAACACGAACAGTCCATTCTATCATTAGGTAGTTTTAAGTTATAATCATCACAATGTAAGTTTAGCTGCAAAGTTTCTATAACTATTTATTCTACCTAAGAATCAAATGGACTGCTCGTGATAGTTTTGAATCAGACCCAGATGAGAACAAACATCTTAACAACCCTTAAGTTATCAATATTAAAACCCTTTATAATGTTCATACTGTCTAGTTAAAATTTTAACAATTTCTTCTGATAGAACTTTCCACTCCATACCATGTTTTTTAATGTCTACTTTATCAGGATGATAGTGAACTACTACTTTCTGATAAAATTTTTTTATTTGCTGCAGTTCTGGAATATAGGGAATTTCAGCAAGTTTGTGTTTTTTATTCTTCGGGGGATAGTTTTTGTAAACAAATTCAAGAAATTGTAATTTCCCTGAAGTTTTGAATTTAGTTTCTAATTCGTTGATTTGATCCTTAATTTTGGTCATAATAACTTTTCTTTCTTCTTGATATTTGACTTCTTCTTTCGTGATTTCTTCTTGTTGATATTTGGCTAACCCTGAAGTGGCTGTCTTGTACCATTCTGCAATCGACATTTTAAGAAAAAATCTAAAATTTGACTGTAAAGTAAATGAGCAAATCCTCATGCAGTGAATAAGCCCACAAAATCTGCTATTGATTTATTAGGTGAAGAACCACTAGTACAAGCTAAGCAGAATGACAGACAGAACAAAGTACATCTTTCAGCTTTAAATGTCTAAGCCTATAAAACAATACCATTTATTCATCAAAATTGATGCTTTCTGCAACAATACGTAAACTGTTTTACATACATTTGCATTAACATCACATCTACTACCAAAATTACCAATAACTACCTAGTCTGCAATATCATCTGCCATGGAAGGAGATATGAACTTGTCTTCTACCAAACAACATTGATTTGTTACTATTCGAGACCAAACTTACAATTTTGAGTTTACTTAACATGATACCTTTCTGTTTCAGCATAGGCTGATGAAGATGAAGAATTTGATGCACCAGATGTAGAACACAATGCCTTGATATATTGTTCTACGTGTAAGATTAGACTCTTCAGCCCCTCCCAAAATCGATCACTGACTTTTGTCTAGAAAGCAATCAATTGCATAACTTGCTGCTCATACATCTGATCATACACATACCTTCATCATACATAGTTCTTGGTATCAGTGTGTTGGCAAGTTCTATACATTTCCCAAAACAGCTTCTAGCTCTAGTGTCCATCTTTAGGATAATAAATGTTACCAATTCTAGAGTTAGCAATGGCTTCCATCTCAATATCACGACCTCTTGTAAGGTTTATAACATTTCTATAATCATCAATAATGACCCAAATCTTGTCAAAATTAACATCTTCTTCATTGTATATTGTAGAATCTAACATAGCATCAGCTGAAAAAATAGGGTATATCATTATTGGTTTGATATTTCCTCTGAAAGTCATTAAAATACAGATCAAAATGTTTGGTTTCACGTTTTTTTCTGTGGTTTACTACATTCTCTATCCATGATCTTAAAATTATTTTCTATTAATCAAGTTTTATTGAATTTTTTCCCAATTTAGCATAAGTGTGAATCGATTTGCTTAACAGATAGGAGGACAATGCAAGTCAATGTCAAACATATATCTGATAGAGAAAGCTTTCATCATTTTTTATTTTGTTCTTTCGTTTCCTGAAAGAAAAATAATGACCATTTTAGAGTGCCAATGGTGAGCTTAACCAATGCTGAGCTGAACTGTCAATAAAATGAGTCAACATCTTTCAAGAACCTGATGTGTCAGCCCTCCTGTGTCGTATTTTTGTTCAAAAAAATGGATTGCTGCAACATCACGAGGCAAGAGGTGCGCCATACTCCATAAGACTCAAATACAATCCCTCAAAGGCTTCTTAAAGGGATTGTGAAGAGGTTTTCTATTGGGTCTTTTGTGATAAAGCATATTTTGCGATTAGTGACGTCATCAAATACTTAGTTTTAGTTGAATTGCAGGAACAAGTAAAAAATTGGAATGGTGCAAAATGATGCTATCAGTGCCCCTAAAACACATAACAAATTTAGAAAACTTCTTCCCAATCCCTTGGTCATCTGTGCCAAATGTGATTTATGTTGGATTAATTTAAAATAATACCTATATTGAGGGCTTGCATTGATTCAGCTATACATGTCTGTACAAATATATCTTCTCTTAAATTTTCAATTTCTTCTTCTGCAATTTTTGATCTTATTGTATTAGTGCTAGCTTCAGTTAGAGGTGAATACGCGCCTTTCAATAAAGATAGAGATGCCTTGTAGTCCTTATCCACTAATTTTGATATGGCTAAATGGAAAATACATCGGGCAAGATCCTTATAGGCTGAGCTCTTAATTTCTGAACCAATTATAAAAGGTATGAATGTTTCGTAGGATTTGATTCGGTCTTCCATGTTTTCATCTAGAAGAAACTCTTGAAGATTGAGCCATACGTTTAAAGATTTTGTTTCAATGTCAATCAACCAATCTTCAGTATTGTCACTACCAATGGTCATGGCTTCTTTAAACTGAGACAAACACTCCTTATAATAAAATTTAATCTGTGAATTCTTCTCTTTAAGTCTTCTGAAAATTTCAGCAATTCTGCCAGCAGTAACGGCTAAGTTCTTCTTTGCTGAAGCTTTTTCTTCGGGATTACCAGCATAACTGTCAGCTTTATAATAGCAATTATTTGCCTTTATCAAACGCTCCTTAACCAGAATTGGTGACAGTTCTTTTGGAATGTTTTTAAAATGTTCATTTCCCATTCTTCTCCACTGCACCGAAAGTGAAGTCATGTTGAAATTATTAAACTAGATCTTAAGACTTGAATTCTGCAAAATATAAAAAATTATTGTTTCGTTAGAAAGGCATGTTATGTAACAAACATCACACCAGATGATAGCCAAAGAGAGTGAAATTTTGTTGCTTTTTTTAAATATCAGTGTGATGACATTTACATCAGGGCTTATTTTAATAAAATACTGAACTCTGAGACCCTACACAGTCAGTTACTAGTAGGCCTAGTGTGCTGCAATAGACTGTGCTGTTAGAGATCCCTCACAGTTGGAAGTTCGATAAAAAAAAGTAGGCTAATGTCGCTGTGCTGGCAAAATTTCCCTCAATATACACTGCATGGCGTTGTTCGTCTTCATTAACCCATAAGGTGTAGAAGAGTTGGACTTATAAACTCAATTTATTTGCCTGCCATCGTATCGGGTACATTTTGGTGATTAGCAGAACTTTTAAACAAGGGAGATAATTTGAAAATTGTGTTCCATGACTAAAATTAAAATTCCAATGTTAAATTTCCTATTTATTGACAACAAAGAATCAGTTGCAATAAATATAGATCAATTGTAATGCTAATCAAATTTCACTGATGCAAATAGAAGATATTTCCACACCAACCGTTCTGTTTTAGAGATGATTCCTGTTTTAGAGACACCCAACTGTACATTAGACATGTTTATCAAGCCGTATAGTACTAACATCAGTTTACTATAGAGTATAAGAGACTTGATGATCAAAGACAAAACTCCATCTTGGAAAAACAGGAAGTGATCACAGACTAAAGTGATTACAACAAATTTAGCTAAAATGTCAGAGTCTTACGGTAAGCAGAAACAGTTTGCTTCTATATCTGGGAAAGGTATGAACAGACACTTTTAAAATGACGCTTAGCATGCTGTTGTCACAAAAATCTTGAATGTTGTCTTTTGTAAGTAATGGAAAAAATGGCTTTTATTTTTGTTTACATTTTGGTTGCTAATTATAGTAACAGGTGCTTATATTTATTTCGTGCTTTTTTTCCCTACAGTTGAGGCTGACAATTTACCTATTGTATGATTTTGTTTTGATTTATATTGAGATAACCAGATATTTGCATTATCTTGCATAATTGCAATATATTTAACTCTTGAACAAACGTTGAAGACTTCAATGACCGATTAATTATATTTTATTATCATTAATCAGTTTGATGTGATATGATCAATGGGATTAAATGTTATTGAATTAGATGATGAAGATGAGGCACCAAGCATTAAAAAGACGCTGAAAGATGACAATAACAAGGCTTTGCTAAACATTAGCTTATCCCTCATGCAGTAAAATAAGAACACTAACACTACCGACTTAGTACTGACTGCACACTCTTGCTAATATAAAGTTGATAATCACCATATACAATAAGCTACAAATGACTTAATTATGACTGTTAAACTTAAAGTTTAAAAATATTGGGGCCATTTTGACTTTGTTTGATTGGATGGAGGTGGGTGGGTGTTCTCAAGCATTGCTGTATAGCTGGTATTTTTAGCTTAATTGTTCAGCTTTTGTTTGCTTGATCTTTTTTCGGAAAGTATGATTTTTATTTTTAATGTATTTGTTTCAAATCCTTGTGTTGTTAATGAAATGAGGATGTTTAAAACAATACATGAACTTTGAATACATTTCCAAACTTTGTGAATTATTCTGTAAATTTGTTTCTGCTTTGAAATTACTAGAATTTGCATCTTTTATTTATTTATTTTTTTGTTCTGAGCATTAGTTTTCAGAAATGATGAAACGGAACTTCATAATTTGTTTTTTGTAGTAAGCCATTTCTTGCATAGGAAGTACAGAAGTAAGCTTATATCATTTCCACGACATTTTATGAAATTTTGATACTTTATAGATACGCAGTTTGTTATTTATGATATTTTTCAGACTTTCTGTTCAAGTTCCTGGTAATAGGCAGTGCCGGTGCTGGAAAGTCTTGTATCTTACATCAATTTATAGAAAGTAAATGTAAGTAATAATTTATGTATATTGGTTACAAGTTAAATGCCAATTGGAACACCAAGCTTTACATAGGACTTTGCTATTCCAGAAACTATTCTTTTTTGTGGCAAATATACATATCTTTACGTCTATGTATGCAAAACACTTATCTGAAATAAATAAACTTATTGTTTTGAGCTTAAACTCAAAGAAAGCCAAATTTGTGGCTTCATTTTTCCTCTACTCATAAAAATTATTGTCTGTTGTTTGCTTATTTTTTATTATAAAAATTGTATGGACTCATTTTAAATCTGACCAAGTTGCAACTGTCTCATATTATTGACATGAACTTGTGGCACAGATCAATATTTAATAATATTGCCTTACTACTTGCCACTAATCTAATATAATATGGAAAACAGATCCTTCATGTCCAAACTAATCCTAACATGAAACATATGTCTGCAGCTCAAGATGTGTCAATTAAGATATTATAGTAACTGAGTAATGGATAACATGTCAAGAATGTGTTATTATTAGATTTATCATGAAAATGTCACACATAGAATCTGTCTTCTAAAGTATAATGTAATATGACTTTGTTTCTACTGGAATTTGATGAGGTGAGCGTGGTTATTTTTCCAACCTTTATCTCACAATTTTGTCCACAGATGTAGTAAAATATATAATAGCAGAATTGAAAACTATACATAATAAAATAATACAAAATATGATACCAATTTCAAATATTCTGCCCTTTATTTTTTCAAAAATTTATTTCATTATTTTCAATCAGTTCACAGTGTTTCATGATATGCTTTTGAAGCAATACAATATATGTCCAAAGTTTTTACAATTTATGGTCAATTGAGCCCAATGGATGGAATTTGTTTGCAGATACTTTACATTTAGCAATTTAGCTACAGAATTTTTATTGTTCAATAAGAATATAATATATGATATTTTATAGTTAAACAAGACTCTAATCATACTATTGGTGTAGAATTTGGTAGTAAAGTAGTAAATGTAGGTGGTAAAGCTGTTAAATTGCAGATCTGGGATACAGCTGGTCAAGAGAGATTTAGGTATTGTATTAATTATGATACCCACAGGGTAATCACTTTACCAAAATACCTGTAGTTCATTTTGACAAAATATTCAAGGTCCAGTGTTTTATAATTTCACTCACAAAGTCTGGAACATGTTTCTTAGAAATTTTGGGACCCTCTATTTGTGGTGAAATTGTTATTCAAGTTATTTTGACAAAATATGGATATTGTTTTGTGTTTTTGGCAAAAATTATGAAATTTTTTAATACTTTTTCTTTAGCATAGAGATAATTTAAGATCCTAATTTACAGCCAGACTGTAAACTTGCATAGTCGAGTTGGTATTTTCAAAATGAAGAAGGAAAAAAAAGATTATATAATCTGTTTGCCTTTTGATTGTAGATCTGTAACTAGAAGTTATTATCGTGGTGCTGCAGGGGCCTTATTAGTTTATGATATCACTAGTAGAGAAACATATAATGCTTTAACTAATTGGTTAACTGATGCTAGAACACTAGCTAGTCCTAATATTGTTATTATATTAGTGGGCAATAAAAAAGATTTAGAAGCAGAGAGAGAAGTAACATTCCTAGAAGCCAGCCGATTTGCTCAAGAAAATGGTAAGATAGGACTGTCTACTTCATGCATATTGCAACCAAAAATCTGTATGATAAAGAATGAAAGCCTACTTTTCTCCAACTGTAGAAGGACAATGCCGTGCAGTGTGCAATTAAAGGTATTTCACAATGACTGTGCATTAGTCTCCAACAGTTCTGTACGACCAGTTCTTTGATCTTCCTTGGTGTTTTTGTCCCATGTGAATGACTAAATGCTTTCTTTCCATGTCATTCCATCCAATAAGGGGAACTCTGATGTCTGAAATGTATATTTTCAGAATTGATGTTTTTGGAAACTAGTGCTTTAACTGGTGAAAATGTAGAAGAAACTTTCCTGAAGTGTGCTAGGTGTATTTTAACAAAAATAGAATCAGGTAAACTAATTTCTACTATTTCCAATAATTTGTAAAATGCAGCCTGAAGAATCCAAATTTGTTACCCAAGAACATAACATACACTAAAGTTGAGAAAAATTTGAAGTTTGTCATCACAATAGGTTATGCAGAACCACTCATGCATGATATACAATCTTTAATTTAATGAAATGTCCATTTTTAGACATGTGTAACTTGATTTCATCCATTTATTGTGTTGACTTAATTCTTTCCTACCTTCATTTAAGGAGAGTTAGATCCAGAAAGGATGGGATCTGGTATTCAATATGGTGATGCCTCACTTCGACGTCTTAATCGTACAAGTAAAGAACCTCAGTTACGCAGACCAGACTGTTCTTGCTGAGGGTAACATCTCGTGACAAATTACATGACCTGAATAGATTTTTATGTTCAAATCACAACTCCTATGACACTATTACTAATGTTCAAATTTTCATCTTAGTTCAACCTGTTTCCATAGTAACCAATTATTTTGTGTCTCCTAATGTTAAACAAAATTTTTTTATCAGGGACTCAGTTTCTTAATAGATCTGTTTAATTTTAAAGAGGGGGAGTTCCCGCGAAAATATTACTCCCAGTGTTCAATTATATCTTGGTTTTTGTGAATATTGTGAAGTCAATTTTGTTTTTTTGAATGAACGGCAGTAGAAGGAGATATTCTAGAATAGATTATCTGTCTATATTCAAGTCTCTGATATCTATTTTGAAAGTTGTTGGCTGGTGTTGAGACAGAAAAACTAGGCCTTGTCAAAATAGCTATCAGAGACCGGAATAGGGGCAGCTGTTTTGGACTGGAGTTATCCCTGTATCACTTACCAAACTAAAATTCCCAGATACAGTTCTATGTTTAGGAGCACAGAAAACTGTCTATAGGTTGTGAAATGTGTAAATATCTTATTATAAATAGATTTCTGTGATATACCAACTTATAACTTATCTTAATATTAATTCTTAAGCGTTACAGAATTTTTTTAAAATTTGCATAGAAGCTCAAACTCGTTCAAATGATCAAATGAAGAGAATTTTTTTGTTCACACAACTTTCATTTCTTGACAAAATTTATTATAATCAATGCGTATTCTGTAAGTTTTCTGAAAACCATTTTGATTTATCAAAGGTAGTATGAGTTATTTATGAGATATTTAACCCTTGATCTAGCTTTTTCATCAATTATACCTCTACAGAAAATTATATTATCTACTCATAAAACTAGATCTCAATCTACAGGCAGAAGAATACTAGAGAATTGTGTTCACCCTATATTTTGCAGGGTTCAATTTAGATTGAAAAAGTTTTGGCTAATCAAGTTCAATTTTGATTTGCATTTCTTAAAGATTAGGTAGGAATTTAGAATGTTCTAATAGTAAAATTTTAAATATACAAATTGATTTGATTGGCAGATTGCCATGATAAATTTTACTTTTGGCTCATCATAGGAAATATTGGATCGCAAAAAGAGCCATTTTGAATCGCAAACTGCAATGCGATACCCTTTTTGTTGAATGCATCAAATTGGAGGAGAACTAAATCAAGACAAATCAACTTTAGATATAAAATTGGCTAGATCAATGGTTACATGTTGAAATCTCAAACTATCGTTGATAAAGGGCATACATGCAACGATGTTTGAAAATCCTGATTCATTAGAATGTTTGTTTTGTTAAAGTTATGATTTATTATAGAAGAATATGAAATATATTATTGTTATAGATAGACTAATTTTATTAGAATTTAGATTAATGTAACTGAAGAACTTTACTCTTATTTTGTTAACTTAAATATTTAATCACGTTTTGAAAATTCATTAGGCCTATTAGGTTTTTAACCCTTACAACTATTTTCATCAGGTTATTTAATTTACTTTAGTGCCCACTGTATGGCATCAAATCAAATTTACATATCTATCAAAATAATTCATTTATTTCTTTGTTTTCTGGTTATATTATTGTCTAATATACTACTTAACATCTAGTTCTTTGTGTATTATATTTTTTGTTGATAATATTAAGTTTTGTTATGATCTATTTTTGAACAGTACATTATCATAGGGCAAATATACTTATATATATCCAAGAACAGTAACATTTGTCAATTGTTGAATGCATGTTACTCAGCATCTTCACAATGTCAAGCTATTACCAACCTCATTCTTTTACTTTTACTGCAATAGCAACCTTTCATGTATCACAGAAGTTTGTAAATGCAGCTATTTGATTGAATTGTATACCAGCAAATACACAGCCAATCATAGCTCTTGACAGACAGACTGTCAACATTATGGATGTAAATAATCCAATCAAATCGCTGAATTTACAAACTTCCATGATACAAGAAAGGTGGCTATTGCATTCAAGATACAGTATAAGATGAGGTTTGTAATATCTTGATATTGTGAAGATGGTTATTTGAATGTATATATGTGTTTGACTATGATAGTGGCTAATGAAAGACTCTATTAAATGAAAATGAAAATTTCTTTGACATAAAATACTTTATAGTTAAAAGAGTATTCTCTATTAAGATGCACAGCAATTATGTTCTGAAAGTCATGTACAAAGGAATACCTAATACATGTAATCAAATTGAATCAAAATAAAAAATTACTGCTGAAAGTGATAAGATAGTAGTATGTATTTTCTGTGTTGTTTTAAGATGCTATTTTGTAAGCAGTTATTTTGATTAAAATTAGATTACACAATTTTGTTTCAATATTTTTTTTAACGAGATTTATACCAAGGGTGTGTCCTGGTGATGCTACAAGCTCCACCCCACGCACCACTCTCCATCCAATCAGAATCACTTTTAGGATCTGCAGTCTCATAATTTCGAAGTCATGATTGGTCATATGGCACTAATTTTGGTTTTGCTATCCCTCAATTCATAGAAAATAATTAGATACAGACTATGCTTAACCCGCTGTGATTGGTTGAAAATGAACGTCAACAGTATGCAACCTTGGTATAAATTTTGTAAGATTACAATAAAGACCAAAAAAAAATACGGAAACAAAATTTGAATTAATTTTAATGATATTGGTAAGCAGCAAGCCAAGCTTTCAGTTTTAATGCATTCATAAGATTTCTTTGCACATGGATTATAGTTCAAAATAAGATTTCAGATATTGTATGTAATTGTATATAATAATGTTTTTGTATAAACTTGTGTATATAAATGTATAAGTCTAACCAAATTAATACTTTATGCTTTCAAAGTGCTGTGGATTTTTAGTGTGCTTCTGAATTGAGATAGTATGTTTGCTTGAAATTTGTTCTTAAAGTTCCTACATTAGAGTAATTAGATTTATAATGAATATGGTTTCGCAAGTACCAGGATAAGCAAATATCAGAATTATTAGTCAAAGAGCATTCCAAGAAACATAGAAATGTTCTGGAACTAGTTTATATTATCAGAATAAGTTTTGAGTCTTTTGGCTAGTGATTTTATACACTTATTCTGACAAAGAGTTTTTTTTTAAATATTTCTACCTTTTTTTTGGGTTGCACTCGATTGGTGAGTTCTATTCCATTTGAATTCTGTCCACGCTTACCTTTTTTCAGTACACGTGGAACAGGTTCTGTACCTTGTACGTCAGCTTGATTCCATGATTCCGAACATGGTGCAGAAAAGTAGGATGTAAAACTCCATTTATTTCATTTCATTTCCATGATTCTGAAACATACAAAACTCAATAATCAAGTGACCCCTTGGACTATGCTAATTGGCCGAATATCTTTTCAATATCTTTATCTAAGCTTAAATTGAATGTTATAATCATAAATATTTAGATACATGTCTATTGAAGTTAATATGCATGCAAGAAATATAAATTGTTTTGTACCATGACATTTTAAGTTTTATGTGGACAATCTTTAATCAAAATAAATGCAAAGTTTTAGACCATATAACTATTTAAGCAAAACGTAGACATAAAAGGAAAATGTCGAACCAGACTAACTATCAAGTACTGAAATATCTGGGAAAATATATTGATGCAAATCCTTAGAACCATCATAACAGGAATAAATAATGATATTGACCAATATAATATAATATAATACTGTATTTTGTTGTCATGGTCTTAACACTGGTATAAATATATTGTAATGTCAACAATTGGATGTATATAGTTATATATCAAATAAAAAATATGTCAATTATTTTCAACTTTGTTACTTTAAAAAGCTTAATTTCAATGAAGCTTATTTCCTTCCCTATTCTGCTGCAGGAATAGCTATCTTCTTAAGGTTGCTTCATATAACTACACCTCATGCTAATATGCATATAGATAATTACAAGGATTTGATTTTGACAAACAATTTCTTTAAATTTTAAATCCAATCTAAGATAGTGCAGTGTTAATACACAAGTATTTTGGTTAACAATAGGATTTGAACATTATTCACTTGAGTGAGCTGTTTTCAAACACTAATCACACAATTTCCAAAATTTTTAACTAGACATATTGATTTTAACATCACTCACTCAGTGAACTGTTTTTATACAGTACTCACTCTCATTTTCAAGACGTTTAATCCAGAATTTTTGGTCTAAAAAGTACTCACTGAGGGAGCTGTTTTCAAATAGTACTCACTAGCATTTTCCAAATATTTAAACCAGAAAGTTTTGTCTGAATAGCACTCACTGAGTGAGCTATTTTCAAATAGTACTCACTATGATTTTTAGGAATATTTTAAAACCAAAATTTGACTTTAAACATCACTCACTGAGTGAGCTTTTTTCAAACACTGCTCACTCTAATTTTTCCAGATTTTTAAACCAAAAATGTCTGAAAAGCGCTCACTGAGTGAACTGTTTTCAAACAGTACTCACTATAATTTTTCCAGATATTAAAACCAGAAAGTTTGGCCTGAATAGCATTCACTGAGTGAGCTATTTTCAAACACTACTCACTATTTTTTTAATTAGATTAATTAATGCCTTGGTGATTTGCCAATAATTTGTAAGTGGATATTATATCTCAGACCATCAAACTATCTTTTGATAATGAGGTAAAGGGATTTAATTAATTAGGTCAATAGGTTATTGGGCATCTGGGTCACAGTTGTACACTTACTTTAGGGGCAAAAGGAAAATTTCTTAGTGCATGAGCTGCAATAGAGTTCAATCTCAAAAGCACTAGCTAAGGCATATTTTTGGCATTTACAAGATTTCAAACCCTAGACACACAAATCAACCAAAAGAAACCAGCGCTACCTTGTTGTCATGGTAACACTTGATAATTGAAGTAAATTAAACATAATGTAAACAATTAAAGATGATTTTTATTTGTAACATGGAATGCTATACAATAATCATAATAATAACAACAAAAATAATCCTATAACATTTTTCCCCACAAAACTATAACCTCACAACAATAAATTCATATTTAATCCCCACTGGTTAAAGGATGCTCTAACTGAAAGTGGTACTTTTAAAAATGTTTTTTTTTTTTTTACATGTATGGGGAAAATTTACAGCTTCATTTTGCACCATTCTGATTTCCAATCAAATGCCTGTGGTTCCTGTAATCTTCGAATGTAAATTAAAGGGACAGATGTGGTATTTTGGGGGTTGACTTTAATCTTTAATATGTGTAAATTTTTCTAGTCTACAGAAGTACTAGAAATGTACGAAAATAGCTTCAGAAATACAAACTGGGAATTTTACTCACTATTTCTATATGAGTTGTTGTCATTTTAACATTCAAATGCAGATAATTCCAGAAACACAGTGAGCTGTGAACAATATTACTGTTTGGCTCAGCTAAAAAATTTCTGTTTCTGAGACTAAAGTATGATTGGTAAAAATAAATGATGCATCTATGATTTCTGAATCTTTGTTGGGCACCAGATCAAAATGGTACAAAAAGAAACTATAATTGTCTCTGATACACAGACTGGACATATCATTTGAATTCTTTCTAAAGAAATAGTTCCCTTACAAATCTGTAAGTAAGTCATAATTATTATCTCAACAGCAATTTGAATTTTACCATCGAATTAATAGATATATTAGTAGTAATAGTTTTAAAAGATCCTACATGATTAAGAACAAGACATGCAATATTCTAAATAAATAAAGCCTAACAAATCATATGTCATCATATCCCAAAGCTAATAATTTCTATAGATATTTCATTTGAAACTTGCCATATTAATTCCTAATAGCACTTTTCCTCAAACTACTAATTACATAGAATTATAGAAGTACAAATATAAATAACTGGACACAATTTTATGGATAACAATTACTTTACTAAATAACTTGTGGCGTTTCGACAAAGGTACATTGACATTGCTTGATAAAGATGAAATTACCTTTGTCGAAACGTCCTAAGTTGTTTATTACAGTAATTGTTATCCATAAAATTGTGTCCAGTTATTCATGCCCCAATTACTAAATGCCACTTAAAGATGGGTTTCCTTATTTTTTAGTGTCAAATTAAGCAAACTATTTGATTAACTGATGTTTCTAATGAATTATGTTGTATTCTTAATAATATCATTATGTTCTTATTGCATATAATTAAGAGTTTTAACAAAAAACAAAAAAAGACCTTTTGACCTTTTTTGATCTATCATTCATTGGAATGCTGCTGGTAATTCTCTTCTAATTTAGCTAATTATGAATTAATTATGGACATGTGAGACAAACTTGTATTTTTCCAATTCATTAGAACACCTCTACTTTCTATTCATATAGGTATTAGCATTTTCATTTTTATAAATGAAAATAAGGGAACCCATCTTTAAGGAGGTAAGAAGTACAAATAAAAGTTATAAGTGTCACTGATACACACACAAAGACCAGAGGTTTTGTATGAAATCTGACTGGCAATCAGAGTGAATTCAACAGCCTTAAAACAAATATTCATTTCCTAACTGTTACTACCTTCAAACCTTGTATAATAACCTTATATTCGTTTTCTATAAGTTCCCACATATATTAATATTAAATATCTCTAAATAAATATATTACTTTGAGTGCACCAACTTATCAAATAATTCATATAAAGAACAATAAAGGATGTTAAACTGTATTGCAGAGTTAAGATAAACAGAATACATGTAATAATAAAAACCTGTTTTATGCTGTTGTCACATGTTAATAATACTATTAATATAATACTAATATTATAACAGGTAATATACATTTGTTCTTGATTTCAATGTTACATTTTATATTTAAATCCTAGTTGATAAATGTTCATGTACCCTCTTCAAAAACTTTACCTATAATTGGCTTCATTGGATTTTACAATCGGTTTCATGATTACCTTGATTGGAAGATAAAATCTGATCTACATGAAATCAGAAAATAGAAGGTTAATGATACTCTTCACCATGAAGAGCAGAAAAGTAAGGTTTAAAACTTTCATTTCAATTTTTGTTCTACAGGTCAAATACCAAACTTTTGATTCTTTTGAAATGAAATTTTTTGTTGAGTGAAAATCAGTTGAAAACAAAAGGGACTTTAAAATTCAATCATTACTATACACCCATACCAAGTTTTTCAAAAATCTGTTAAAAACTTTAAATTCTAGATGATTTATAGGAAACATACAAAAGAAAGAAATCCAAGAAAAAACAGCATAATAAAGCCAATTAAAAGCCTATGAGAAAAGCAAAGCCTAAAATCCCATGAGAAACAAAATAACAAAGCTTGTAAAAGCTCAACCTAATTAACATTAGATTACAATTTCATTTTGTTTTCATTTTTTGTCAGTTTCAATTGTGATCTAAATAGATTGATACCAAGGTCGTGTACTGGTGAATTTTATTTCAACCAATCACAGCGCATCATGCAGAATCTGTGTCTAAACATCGACTATGAATTGTGGGAAAGTAAAACCCAAAGTAGAATGATATGACAAATGAGATTATGAGGCTGCCCATACTCATTGTAAAGGTGATTCTGATTGGAAAGACAGTAGCTCGTGATTGAAAGGCCACCAGTACATGATCTTGGTATATATCTCGTTAGATTACAATGGAGGCAAAAAAAAATGAAATGAAATAGTTTGAAAAAGTCACCAGTACACGATTTGTATCTCGTTAGATTACAATCAAGCAAAAACAAAAAAAATAACAAAACAAAACAAAATTGTAATCTATTTTAATTAGCTGGATAAAAGCTTGACATTGATCAAATTTAAATTCATAATCTCTGCTTGCCAATTTCACTGAGATCTGTTTCATATCACTTTGTCAATGAAATAAATATAACCTAACATTGAATAACATTAAAACACCTCGATAATCTGAATCTTAAAATATATCTTATAATAATTTATATACTACTCATAAAATATACAGAATTACTAGCTTATATACAGACTAAAATATACATTCCTTATAAAATATTCTACATTATTTTAATTATACAATTATACATCAATGGTTTGTTATCAAACTGATAGATAAACACCTAAGATCTCAGACCAGAATCAAAATCCAGTTCAAGTACAGAATTTTTTTTTAGTTATTCAAATGCCTGGTTTTATTTTTGTATTAAAAAAATCCTGAATACTTCTGGAATGTTCATTATCAATTATTGAATTTTTCTGTTGGCTCATTTCTAACTCTGGTTTAATCTACACAAATTATTTAGGCCATTTAATCGCTTGTCAGATCTAGGATTAGTAAACTAATTTGTATTGTATTTTAATCCAACTGGATTTATAGATTAAATACTGAATGGAAAACATGCGAGGGTATGAGAGGAATATATCACAGTCACACTAGTGGTTTAAAACATGAAAGATTTGTAAAATCTAAGAGCCCTGTTCACCTCATGCTACAAATTCTTGAAAAGATAATCAAAAGCCATTTCCTTTAACTTTATAAATACATCATAAAATCTTTGTAAAATGTAGACATTAATCCCATTAAAGGGACAGATGCGCCATTTTGGGGAGTTGATTTGAGTCTTGAATATATATAAATAGCCCTCAAAAGTACTAGAAATGTACTAAACTAGAATAATTCCTTCAAAAATGTCTCTAAACTAGAAATTTCACTGTAGATGTCTTTTCTATATATCAAAGAGTATCTTAAATTCATGAGTCGTCATTTTAACATTCAAACAAGGATAATTCTGGACACACATGGATTTGAAGACTCAAATTTCTTCGGTGAGCTGTGAACATTATTATTGATTGGCTGGGCTAAAACTATTCCCGTTTCTTAGACTAAGGTAAGATTGGTTAAAAAATAGCACAACTGTCCCTTTAAATCAATATTATCAAGGCTTATGGTTTTTCTATATATGTAATCAGTATTTACATCTTCTTTTTTTTTGCGCCATTTTTAGTCAACATATTACGTGTTATATCTGTCTAAAAGTCTGCTTCTATAACTCCATTCTGAGCTACCTGAGTAGGCAGACAGGCAGGCAGCAGAACATTGTAATGGTGCAAATTAAGACTGCACTGTTTTAGGGACAAAATAGAAATTTAAGAATTCAACTTAAACATTAAAACTTTAGACTTCATAAAAGATAAAAGAGGTAGTGATTTAATGACATCATCTGCTTCTTTTGATAAGTTTTCTGTTCGTGGAGTTTCTGAGAATGGAGTAGACATGGTGGTAGACTTCATGTTCTTTAATATATCTTCTAATGGCTGCATTGGTTTAACTGAAGATCTTGGTGCATCTAAAAGCTCAGACTGGAAAACTGAAAGTAAAAAATGACATATTAATTGACTGATTACTATCTGAATGTCTGCCGTCTTTGACAAAATTATTAATGACACAATTCCTCTATCATCATCACACATATCTTTCAACTTAACACATGAAAGATAACACAAGCTAAAAGACACATTTCATTATGAGATTAGGTCAAGAACTGGAATGACAGCCTAATTATGGCAACCTAGAGTATCATCGTTGAAACACTTTACAAGGATCTTAACTTAAAGGGATTGTAAAAAGGTTTTCTAAATTTTGTATGTGTATCGGGGACAATGATAGCATCAATTTGCACCATTCTAATGTTCAATCAGACGTCTGTGGTTCAAGCAATACTACTGAAACTACACCAGCAAAGGTATTATGTGATACAAGCAAATTTTGCAGGGTTGACAAATTGCAGGAACCACGGATGTCTGATTGAAAATTGGAATGGTGCAAATTGATGTTATCACTTTCCCTGATACACATACAAAATTTAGAAAACCTCTTTACAATCCCTGTAAGTGCTAAGGATACCAGCTAGCTCAAGCAACGAAACATTGATCTGTCCTTATTCAAGGTCAGCAGATATCGTTAGATTACATCTATCCACAAAACAGTGTCTAAAGATAACGTCATTGATTGTTCTACATCAAAGTATCATTTTTGTCTGTAGAACAGGAGGGACAACAGACAAATTTATATATTATAATATGAGAGTATAATAAGTTAGAAATTACTATCAATACAGAGATACACTATACAACACATAGTCAATATGTAATATGACAACAATGAATTATAAATAAAAATGATATTAATTAAATACTAAACAAAAGAAAATGTTTTTTCCTAAAAATCTTTGTATATTCTGTCTGTAATTTCACAGAGATCTGGATCTGACAATATCCTACATTATATTAAGTTTAATCAGATGACTGGGCGATATTGGTTCAAGTTGATATCACAATATCAAGCATTAATATATCATGATATGGTTTTATATATATATTGTGATATTTCTTAAGTATGGTTTTTACTGGTTTTTGATTCAAAATATTGTTGTTTTTCTATCTAAAAATTTTAAATGTAAGAAAAACAATAAATATCTCTTAAAAACACCTCAGTCTTGAATATCATGAAAAAACTCAAGTCTTGAATATCATGAAAAACACTCCAGTCTTGAATATCATGAAAAACACTCCAGTCTTGAATATCATGAAAAACACTCCAGTCTTGAATATCATGAAAAACACTCCAGTCTTGAATATCATGAAAAACACTCCAGTCTTGAATATCATGAAAAACACTCCAGTCTTGAATATCATGAAAAAATATCTGTCTCAAATATTAAGTTACTTGTTAGAATCTTTAGATGATCTTATCTGGACCAAAATTTGACGATATATCATGATAACCATCATATATCATGATATGGCCATATTTCTTTTTTTTTCATTAGATGATATAACTTACAATATAAATTCCTATACCAGTGTATATATCATGATCGCCCAGTCCTATGGTGACTTGATTGCAGTTGAAATGGGTCAGTTTTAGACACTGAGAAAAAGTTAGGAATTATAGCCACCATAATTGTGCAAAATATTACCAAAAAACCAAAACATTAAATTGCACACATATTTGAAAACATTTTTGATTGATATTTTCACTGACTAATCTTTGAAATTGTGTAGTTGATGGGATACCATTTGCTTCATTTGAAATTTTCCAAAACCAACCATTGGCTTGAGCAGGTTTAAATGCACATTTTGTTTAAAGGACTAGACAGTTTTTTTCAATGAGTTTTTGTGGTCTTGATCGTGAAATACATAATACTTCATGTCAACACGTAGAGGGAGATGCCCCTTATATTTAGTGAAAGTTTCAACATGAAAGTCACAATAGATAAAATAATTCTTTAAACAGTTACGTAAGTATTTTAAATCTTGAGCCTCAATATTTACTGTTCTGGAAAATAGCTACTACCCAATTATGAGCATTAACAGAAATCTAAAGGCAGAGCATGTTACTCTGGAAATGATTTGCCAAGCAGTGTACCTTCAACATAGAACAAAGAGCACAATGAATATATTATGATATAACACACTTCTTTGATAACAAAGTACATAACAATTTAACACAACTTGTGTCGTAAAGATGAAAGAAGTGTGTTATACCATAATATATTCCCTTGTGTTTTCTGTTATATGTTCTCTAAGCTTCTAAATATCATTCAAATCTTATCATAGAACAAGGTCCACACTACATCTATAATTCACTGATTGAAATAGAAGACATATCTTTGACATTACTAGAGTGTAACCACAGATGAATTTTGGAAATGAGAAATTAAAAATTGTCACCCAAAACAAAAAGGAGAAAAGAACGAAAAAAAGAACATATATGAAAACTAATGATGAAAATCATGCAAATAATAGTAAGATAAAAAACATTTAAAAGAAATTACATCAAAATTTGGTAATGATGTCTTACCCCAATCCCATTCATCTGATAACAGTAAAATAAAAATTGAAAAAATAAGGTGGGGATTTTATTAATTTATACAAGCTGAAAATTCTTCCATCATTTACAACTGACATAGTAAAATATTTTCTCTGTTATAATAGTGCTCAATACTTCAATTGTAGAGCGAATTTTTAACAAATATGTTGTCACACTATATGATCTTAAAAACTATTTATGTATAGCAAGACATATACAGACAAAATCAAATTTTTGTTGATAATGCTGCTCAAACCATAAGAAAAAACCCTGTAAGTCATGTACTAGATGTTCAAGAATAAACGTAAGATTACACAAGGTATCATGAGATACATTAGAAAATGGAAGAAGAGAATCCTGTCCATATGTTATACAGTATCATACACGGCACTGGATCACAACTATTTTACTCACATCTTGAACAATGGCTACTGTTGCTCAAATATGTCTTACAATAAATTTGTTGTAAATTTGGAATTTTACAAGTTCCACTAGCACACTTTAAGAGAAATTTTTTTAGGTAGAATATTCCACCAAAACAGCTTTTCATAAATGGCATCAGGTCTGAATATTTCCTACAGAAACTGTTTCCATGACAATCTAAATCCAGACTAACTATAGCAATTCCAATGGCTTTTCTCTTGTTCAAAATGGTAACTATAAAATACATCAGTATGCTTACCTCTGGTCTTGGCATTATTTTCATTTTCTTGCAAAACCATAAAATCTAAATCCAGAGTTTTGGCTGGAAGTAAAAGAAATAACATTCTCAATATCTACTGGTATCAGAGAGATCCATTCATTTTAACATTCTAAATTTCATGATTTAAGACTATTATTTTGGTTAAACAATTTTTCTCTCAAGTCTAACTAAAATTTGATTCCATTTTTTTAAATAGCTTTTATTTTTAATATAGCCACTTCAGTTACGATCTAACAACAGCCATCTCAACAGCCAGGTCAAATAACCTTTTGACTTTACTCAATGATGTCTACTTTAACCAATCAATTTTTAGACGCAATGTATTTTTAGCGTAGGTCAAAAGGTTAATAAGACGGCTGTCGTAAAACCCTAACTGAAGAGGCTCTATTAAAAATAATAAAAGCTAACAAAAAAAAAAGAACAAGACAGGGCTAAAGATGTCCATCAAAATACAAAACACTATCTACTGGGTAGGTCTATTTCATAAACAACTCAGTCAGAAATCTTGATTTACCTTCTGAGCAAATAACTCATTAACTTTTGTCTCATAAAAATTAACACGTAAATCATCTTTAAAAACACACAGAGAAATTCTAGGCATTTTAAATTCAAATTCGACAGAAGTCAATCAGAATGCATAAAGAACTAAAAGCAAACATCAAACATATAATTAAAGTAAATGAAATAAAAGTGATGTAAAAACGTGCCTACCTTCTAATGGATTAGTGAGACCACTATTGTGCCAGTCAAACTCAACCGGGGGCATGTCCTACAAGCAAATAATATATAGGCAATTTTAAATCAGCTTTAAAACCAGCTGGAAACAAGCAGAATGTCTATGGACAAATTTATGATAAAATGGTATGTTTCAGTCAAGAAATCACACAAATCTCAAGAATGTTATTTAAGAAAAAACTACCTTTCTATTAGCTGTGTATAAAAGTTTAAATAAAGCACAAATCAAGATTTTTGCATCTTAATTTGTATCTAATTCTAAATGATAAATTGAAAGTAGGATAAAGGACCAGTTGAGTTAGATTGTACAATATTTTTCTATTTATAGAACATCTAAAAGAAATTAGTGATGTATTAGTATAATAAAATTGAAATATTATGAGAAAGCAATTAAAGGGTGCCAAGTATAAGGTTTCTCTAAAATCCAACCACACCCAAACTGGAAGTCAAAAACTGCCTGAAAATAAGCCTTGCTAATTTCTGTACATCTGAGGCAAAATGAATTTTGAGAAATTTTGGCAAGTAACAAACCTTCTTCACAGCAGAAAGAGAGATTTGTTGCTTCCTAATATTTTTTAAATCTTTGAAACCATACTCTAGATGACCTCAATATTTCCTTCAATTCAATAGACCTTATTCAAGCGTCGGCCATATTGAATCCAGAATGAGGCTCATAACCTTGAAAAAGTCACCACATAAAAGCGTCACCTTGATGTCTTTAAAGCCTTCTAATCCCACTAACTCGAAACTAATCATATTTTACATCAATAAATTTGGAATAAAGCTATTTAATGACACCTTCAGATAAATTTTACCATAATACATTTCCAAGAAAGGGAAGATTTAAGCTAATTTTCTTGCTGTTGAGCGAGTGTCTAATGACGTCACATAGACTATTCATTCATATGACGTCACCATCTTTTCAATGGATGACGTAAGTTGCGTTATGAACCTTGCTTTCAATGTCTCATTAAAGAGGCTTCAGTGCATTCCCAAAAGTAAATCTTTGATTCATAATATTGCCAGTGCTCATTCCTGAACAATTTATTATTTCCTGTTGGGTTGGTTGGTGCAGTTGAAATTTACTATCTAGATTGAGATATCCCAAGTATAAGTTATAGTTAAAAGTGAGCCAAAAAATCCAGTTGTTTGGTTTGGTTTGCAATGACAAATGTCACATTGGTTACAATATAAGTTGATTTAAATCAAACCATCAACGATAAGCAAAACTGTTGTATTACAATCCAAGAGGAATTATTACATCTACTAGTTAAAATAACTAAGTTAACATTAGGTTAGAAATATAGTAGAAGTTCAAACAAAACTAAACACTAAAATGACAGAAATGCAAAGCTTGATTTTGCAATGAATAAAGGTTGACTACGCAGTCATTCGCTGCGTTTAGACAGCCACAAATTATCAGGGCCGAGTCAGGTGGCTGTGGCAGTGTAAACAGGTTGAGAGGGCTCGGCATCATGCTAGTTTCAAGTAGGCAGAGTTCAACAAGAAGAGATGGACTCGGTCCGGACCGAGTATGGCACTGCTTAAGATCATTGCAGTGTAAAAGCGCACTTACCCAAGGAGAAGTGCACATGTGCAATAATAACTTTGACCCTATGACATGTAATGTCGTAATAGAATACATCGTGTTTGCAATGGCTTACATCTCCAATATTCACGTAAACATAAAATTCTATTTCTTTGTGTCTCAAAAAACAAAATTAAAAATTTTTAAAAATCATTTACTTTGTGAAAATTAATCACAACTTTAAAAATCATCTGCTTGTATATGGTTGGCTGCCTTTTGAATGTCCAAGGTTTTTTCGCCTCCATTGACTGGAAAGCATGTGTATTCTTGATGACTCACCATTCTGGCCCAGTGAAAACAGTGCAGTCTAAACAGTACTGGCGAGCGGGGCAGAGTCCAGTTCACTTCAAGCAGGTCAATTTTTATGCATTGTGAACGTGGCCATTGTGTCATTGTTTTATCAACTGATAGAAGACCCAATATTAGCCATCAGTATCTGGATTCACATTGCATTATATCTTTAAAATACATGCAAATTTAATGAGAAAAACTGGTATACTTGAATTTTTTTCAACCCTGTCTTTTCAAACGAATTTAGATAAAAAAGTTAGATCAAAGAGGCAAAGAAACAAGCTATGCAAAACTGTCTAAAAACGAAATAATGAATTAACTACCTGTAACTGTGGGATGGAATCGGTAGAAGTTGGTTCCACTAAATTAGCTAACACCCTGCCTTTTTTACTAGACTCTAGCTGACCTCTAATAGGTTCTAGTAAAGTTAACCCTGTTACTGATAATGGCACTACCTGTTTCTTTAAACCAAATAACTGCAAAGAAATAAAACCATCCATCAATCATCCAATTTATCACTTAGTCATCATACAAGTTTTATATGGACTTCTTTGATGATATCTATTACAATATTTCCCATATTTCAAAATTGTTGATTTTGGATTTGAAGTGGAAAAGCGTAAATGCAAGCTTGTTTCCAAACGCCCAAAAGTATATCATTTAGTTGAAAAGCGATTTTCATAGTTTCTATGAAGCCTACACCCTGCATAAGCCTGTCCAAAAGGTCTCTTCAAAGAGGACTTTCAAAAAAACGAATTTTCAATATTAACACAGCCAAGGAACATAGCTTACAAGAGCCATACTCTCAAAATGAACAAAATCAATGCTAAGATATGAAGCCAGTGGTTCCCATCTCTTTTCAGCCTTCACACCCCTGAAACAATCATCTTGACCTTTCACACCCCCAAAAATTTGTTTCATCCACATTATCAGCATGGGTTGATGTGAGGTGCTCTCTCAATTCAAAACAAATTCTGCTCCTACACCATTTGGCCACACCCCTGACACCCTAGTCCCACATCCCCAGCGGGTGAAAACATCCCAGGTTGGGAACTGAGGTATTAAGCTATAATAACTCACCATATTCTGTGTATCTATTCTCAATGTTTTAAACAATCTATTATTACTATGTGATTTCTTCCACGAATACATCAAGGCATTCGTATTATCATAATCTTCTATATGTTTTAAAACTTTCTTTAATATATCTTGGCTAAAAAAAAGGAAAAATCACAACAAATTATAATTGAAATTTGGCACTTATAACATTATCAAATATTAACAATAAACAAACTATCATTAATATTGTCATTATCATAAATATCAACAAATTACCAAATATAAACAAATTATCATAATTATCATGAAACAATCATCTGACGGACAAGAAAAGACTATGTCTGACAATGATCATCTGACTGACAAGAAAAGACTATGTCTGACAATGATCATCTGACGGACAAGAAAAGACTATGCCTGACAATGATCATCTATGAATGACAATGATAAACTTTGTCTGACAATGAGAGACTTGAATATCATCAATGACCTACAATGATAGACTGAGTCTAACTACAATAGACTGTCTAACAATCATAGAATATGTCTGACAATGATAAATCATCAATGATTTTATCAATGATAAATGGGGAAAGCTTTTTCTGAGAATGATAGACTTTGTCTGACAATCCATAACAGTAGAGTTTCAAACAAGTTGAATTATTAATAAATATGTTTATCTCTGTACAGTGTAACTCTCTGTATTTAAATTATATTCAATTCATGTCCTAACATAACTAATGTAATTAAACATGATTAAACATGTATAACCAGTAACAGATGTCAATAACTTATTCAGAAAACAGATTTCTTTGTCATATTCAATATTCATATTCATATTATTGTCTACAAATCTTTTAACTGACATAAGGTTTTATAAGAGATACTCTCTTATAGAAGCACTGGGCTAGGTCACAAGTAGGGATTGTGGATTTCAGCATTAGAATACATCAATTTGATACGAAATTACCTACTTCTGGAGAGATTTACAAGATAAATAAATAATTCAGAAATACAAGGCGCTTGTTTCAAAGAGTTAATGAAAGGGGATCAAATCACTTTTTATTTGTATTTCTTGTCCGTCTATAATTCACGAAATTCTAATACAAATTATAACAAAACTATAACGAGGAAACATTGTGCTTGAATGGTTTGGCTATAGTGACAGCATAATCTAGTCAATATATATGTTAAACAGAACAGACGATCTGATGTCCACACATTCTAAAGCAGAAAATCAGATCAATATAAGAAAAAATGTAGCAGTACTGTAGTTTAAAGGCGTTTTTGTGGGCCAATTCGATTAGGTAGTACGATTTGATGCAATGTGGTTAAGATTAGCAGTGGTCCATAAATGCGAAATTCAAATCGGCGATCTGGAAATATGGCTGCCTCTGCTGACAACCAATGAAAGACCGCTATTTTGATTACATTAGCAACTTTCACATGCCGCCATCTTGGAAAAGCCTAATCGAATCGCCTAACTACCTCCTGGGACGATTAGCCAAATCAGTTTAGGTAAACTGGCTCACAAATGTACCGATTAGCCTAATTGTCCTGGCTCACAAATGCACAAAATAGCTAATCTACCTAATCAAATCGGCCCACAAAAACGCCTTAAGTCGAGATTTCTAGTGATATAAATGAGTAAAGGTTGTGTGGTATATTATATATAAAGTCAATACATATATCTCTACTATAAAATCAATAACCATAATGTAGTAGAGTAAAACAGTCTATATTAAATACTATAGTATGTTTTATTCAACTGCATTTACTTAATGTCTATTAAAGGGACATTCCGCTTTTTGTAGGTTGGATATTTTTTATCAGCATCAACCTGAATGAATCTTGCCTTCCATTGCTTTAAATGTTGTTGGTTTGAACACGAATATTTGCTGTATTTTTGTTTTGTATAATCAAATTAAAGAATTTAAAACTTTAAAATCCTGTGCCTGTGCTGTCGTAACTTTGTCATTAGATCAAAGTTACAACCTTTACTCCCAATTAGATCAGAACTGATGCTTAAATTTTCATAATTTAATGAGCAGTTACAAGTACAACACACAGTTGCAAAATCATCTCCAATTTTAGCTGTTTGACCTACTACAATATCAATTAACGAAATAAAGCACTTTTGTTACTAAACAGAATCAAGTCCCAAAATTTATGCCATTGCCTTATTTTGTTATTCATTATTCTATTTTTTCACTATAAGTTATTTTGTCTTGTTCTGATATTTGTTATTACACTAAGTAAACATGAACAAATTGTTAATTGTAAATAGTTTCTAGTCTAACAGAGAAATATTGATAATATAATTACATTTTTGACCAATCAGATGACTGGAACACTAAAATCATTTGAAGTTAAGTTTTTAAGAATAAGGTCCCTGAACAAAAAAATCAAAATTTCTGCTTTTAAAGATGGGTTTTCTCATTTTTTACTCTCAAATTAAGCAAGCTATTTGATCAATTGATGTTTCTAATGAATTATCATGAATTCTTAATCATATCATTATGTTCTTATTGCATATTATTAAGAGTTTAACCAATCATAAATGTCCATGTATGTACAGTCTAGATGAACAAAAAAAGACTTTTTGACCTTTCTTGATCCGTCACTCATTGAAATTCTGCTGGTAATTATCTTCTAATTTAGTTAATTATGAATTCATTATGTACTGCTGTGAGACAAACTGGTATTATTCCAAGTCATTAGAACATCTCTACTTTCTATTCAATGAAAATAAGGAAACCCATCTTTAAAGCCATTCTTTGAGGAAGAAAATTTATCTTATTATTCATGTAGACAGAGCTCTAAATGAGCATTCAGATAATATCTCGATATTAAGAGGTTTGGCCCAAGGAACAGCAATTATCCTCAAACCATCCTATCAATTTCAACTTATACATGTAAAACCATAGCAGTCATTTTAATGGAATTTCAAACATTTTAGACCTGAGTGATCTTTCTAAACTTCCTACTGACATTATGTTTTAGACTAATATACACCATACTGTTGATGTAGTCAAATATCAAATATTATAACACATTGGACTAAAGCTTAAATATAATACACAATAAAAAATATTGTTATAGTACTATACAGAGGTTTTAAAGGGATTATAAAGAGGTTTTCTAAACTTTTTATGTGTATCGGGGACACTGATAGCATCAAATTGCACCATTACAATTTCCATTCTGACGTCTGTGGTTCTTGCAATTCCACTCAAACGCGTTGTATGATGTCACTAGAGGGGAACTGATATCAATAGTAGCTTCCGGTAGCTCCCCGGAAATTGGAATGATACAAATTGATGCTATCAGCGTCCCCAATACACATAAAAAAGTTTAGAAAACATCTTTACAATCCCTTTAAGGTCATTTTCTGCCCGGCAGCAAGACACCAGACATAGCTTTAACCACCATTTTATATTCCTGTCTGACGTCAATTGTTTTAATAATTTCAATTTTTTTTTACCAGATTTTGATGTAACAGTAGGAAGGGTTATTTAGACAGGGCATGTTCTTCTAGACACCTACTACCACTTTTCATTATGAAATACTTCCTCATTTATGATTGATATACTTCCTCATGTGAAAAGTTTATTAGCTGCTACCAATGTTTTGCCAAAATGTTTTGGATTTTTGGTTCCATTTTGCGGTTGGGATCATTAGAACTTGTCTTATTTATTCACGCCATCAAATGGAATTACAATGAATCTAATGGCCTCTTAGTCTAAATTTTCTTCAATCACCGACACCACGGACATCAGACAAACAGAAATGAAAGTTTTACATTCTCCTTTTCTGCACTGTGGGCTAATAAAGGCGGGTGACGCGATGCGATTTCCAACTGTCCAGGAATCCTTGCACAGCTTGTAGCACATGGGGTCTCGGTTATTGTCTCATCCGAACAGCCTATAACTCATTGAACCACCGCGGCTCCCAGAAACAGACATGGAATGGTGTAATAATAGGCAATATGTCCTGAAACAAATTAAAGCTTAAAACCTCTAGCATTCCCTAAAAAAACAATAACTAATGAATACTTACTGTGTAAGAGGTTTTGTAGTCTGTGTATATACAGAACCCTGAAGTAAACTATCTAACATTATAATATTACAGTTCTTCCCATCAATATCTGATTGCAATTGTCGGGTAAAACATGTCTCTATAACTGTGGCAATCTTCTCTAAACCAGGTGTCTAAAAATACCAATTAATCCTGTCTGAGTGGTCAGAGATTTATCATCTGAACCAGTAGAAATATTGGCTAACTGGTGTGAAATTATGACCAAGATGGACAAATTCATAAAGTTAATCAGCTTTACCAGCTAACAGAGCTTCTTATGCCATATGTAAAGTTTGTTAAAGATGTGTGGATATCTATCCGTATCACGTTTTAGATTTTTGTCGCTGACTAGAGTCTTCTCAAAGTTTCACCAACAACAAAAATATCTTGTCGGTCGTATTCCATTATGTTTATATCACGTGTGGAGCATGCAATTGAAAGGAAAATGAATCTGATTGGATGATGACGGTCTGTCTTGCAGATAATAAAACTATCAGAGACAGTAATCAAACTTGGTTGATACCATAAATCCTGTCATGGACACGATAATCTTGTCATATGCCCTCATCTTTAAGAATTAAGATCTGATGACATCCTTACTTCTACTAGACTTTCATGTTGTAACCTTATTGCAGGAGATAAGGATGTAGGATTCAAATTCTGAAAAGTGACACAGTAATCTGAAATTATGATCTGCAGCTACTAAAATTCATAGTTAGTCTACTATACTCCTTCAAACTTTCCTTCTGCAAGAACATTTTATTACCAACGAATATTATTTTTACTTACCCGAGAAACAGTTGATGCTGCAGGTTTGGGCGCCTCTTGTATCACAGCTGATTCATTAAAATTACCAAAATCATCATTATCATCATCAGAAAAATTTCCCCAATCATCATTTTCTTTTTTACTATCAAAATTTGCAAAATTTTCTGACTTACTTGCTGAACTGAAATCAGCAAAATCATCATCATTATTATTGGTAATATTGTTCTCAGTAAAATGTTGCGTCACACTTTTAATTGCACTATTATTTTCAGATTTGGCACTGCTGAAATCAGCGAAGTCATCATCATCATCAATTTGAGATGGTGAAACACATTTATTCTCACTCGTAGATTTTGCACTGCTGAAATCTGCAAAGTCATCATCATTTTGATTTTCACCCTCGGATTTTGCATGACTGAAATCAGCAAATTCATCATTGTTAGTAAGAGGGGTTGAAATTGCACTGCTGAAATCAGCAAAGCCTTCTTCATTCTCTTCAGAAGATTTAACTTTAGCACAGCTGAAATCTGCAAAATCATCATCACTATCACTTTTAACCTGATTTTCTGTGCAATTCTCAATTACTCTATCATTTGCTTTGTGGAAATCAGCAAAGTCATCATCAGTGTTAAGTTTGTTATTCAACACATTATGCTTGTCAGTATCGTTTGCCTTATTAATATCCACATTTTCCACTTCTGTCTGCCTGTCTACACTATCATGCGGCACTTTTTCACATACAGTGTCACTTTTGAGATCAGTTTGATCCATTTTTTCGCTTGAATTAGGAAATGTCTCGTTGACATCATTTTGGCTGTCACTAAAATTAGCATCTTCATCCTCACTGAGATCATTTAATGGGCTGTCATTTTCGGGATTTTTGCCATCACTTGAAGATTCTTCAACTTTGGAAGGAGAATCATGTATAGGTCCTATCTCTATGGCAGTACCTGAATTGGAATCAGAGTTTTTGACTGAATCATTTTCTTGAGGATCGGACCTATCCTTAGAGTTTATTTTTACATGATCTTCTTTTTCTAGATCTGTTAGGGGTACAGCCATGTCACTTTTGGTACCGGTATCAGTTGTTGCAGAAGTGACACCAGATTCAACTATGGTTGTGGTTTTGGACTCATTTGGTAACTGCTTGTCTGAAAATTCAGCAAAATCACCAAAATCATCCTCATCAGCGCTGCAAGAAAGTTGAGAAGTTGGTCCAAGACTAGGTTTACTATTTACAACAGAATCATCACATTCAGTTAATTGACTGTCACTATTAATTGGAGGGTTTATAGAAGATTGTGCTGCATTTGAAGATAGTGCTTGAAGAACATTAGAACTATAATCATCAAATTCTTCATCTGAATCCACAAGGCTTCCATCCTTTATTGAAGTTTCATTATCTAAATTATCATTTACCAGTACATCATTTTCGACTAAGGTGGGTAAATCCAAATCTGCTTGAGAAGGAATTTCTTTCGATCCATTATCATGTTCTGAAATTGTCATTTCTTCAGGAGTTTCTGGACTAGAATCATTGAGTTTTATAGATTCAGGGTAATCATTATCACAGTTTTCAGACGCAAGCGTCTCCTTGGCAACAGGAATGGGTGAGAGGTCGGAACTGAACATCCCTGAATCAGAATCTCTCTTTAAAGTTGTTTGAGTACTATTTTTTTCACTCAAATCTAAACTCTCCACACTTTCAGACATTTTGTTTATGTCAGATGAGGGCGACATTTTGTTGTTTGATATGATATTTGAATTCAATGGTAAATCGGTTACATTTGGTTTTGATCCTTGAATGTTGTCGTTGAATGTTTTGAAGTCTGCAAAGTCAATATCTTTGGAAGGACTTTCTTCCGGTGATTTTGGAATTGTATTGGACCAATTCTTGTCGGTTTCAGAATTTGTTTCCTTGGAACCACTATCATTAGCTCCAGTAAATGTTCCAAACTCTTCATCATCTTCCCATCCAAAAGTTTTCTCATCCTCCATGGGAGGCGGTGATGCTGACACCATTGGAATAAAACTAGACATCTTTATTGACTACTATATTTTTCTTCAGTCTATCTGTTTAAAACATACATGTACTTCTGAAAAACAAATTGTGACCTTATTAGTATTACTTTTATATTTCATTAAAGGATTCCTTTTAATTGCAAAATAAACAAAGATCTGATCTCAATTCCAAAATTACTGATAGCTGAAATTGAGGTCTATCTGCCGGTAAAGCTAATATTAAGGCAATAACATGAATAGAGGACTACAGATATGGCTAATTGGACGTTTAGCAATAATTATTAGTCATTATAAGGTTTTGAATTGGAATTCTAGACAGGTGAAATTAAAATAAAATAGGGTGGGCAAGAGAGAGTGAGTGAGAGTGAGATGGCCGTAGTCCTACCAAATCCTGTACTGTACGAAATTTAAGGTTTTCAAAACAAGAAATTCTAGCCCTGATAAAAGGAAGAGGTTTCAAAAATCAGAACAATTATGACAAAGTTCATTGACATTCGTCATTCGTACCATTTTTGTGACATTAGCCTAGTTGTAGAAATAGATAGAATGATATTATTTGTGTAGTGATATTGATTATGTCCTTACTGCGTACAATATAAGTAATAAAATGGAGCCCGTACAACGACATCTTCTTGTACTAAAAGATTACCTCTAATTTCGTCGTTTTGATCCATCTTCTATTGTTTAAATAAACAATTATACATTGGCATTGACATTTTAATTAAAAAATATGTGTACACATAATCTTCATTACATCTGTAAATTTCCGGTCAGAAACGCCACCTAGTGTAAAGCGACAACACATTAGTAGGATCACTTCGTTTTGTAGTGATGCTACAGACTACAATTCTGTTTTGATATTGTCGATATTTCCACCAGATTCAAGTCGGCAAAGAAACTCAAGAAATCAAAGTGATCATTGACCTATCAATATTATTTGCCAAGTCACTGGATGTGATCGGTTTGTAAATTGAAAATAATTTTATATCAAATATAATGTGTTTGACTTCTAAACACCGAACAATGTCAGTATTATACGAAATTATATCATTTATATAATATAACCTCCACCAGGGGGATAGGTCAGGATGATCGTATACTAAAATATTCGAATTAAATTAAAATATAATTTTGTCCCCTTCTTTCTTAAAAATTTTCGTCTCCTACATAGAAATCTGCCATGTTTTCTATCACAGTCGCGTTAGAATGACGTCATTTTCAACCAATCAAGGCATGAAATGCGTGTCTCGTTTCTTACTTACAATGGCGATTTGTGGAATAGTGAAACCAAAATGATTTTTAGATACATGGACATGTAAGTAAGTATTGCTATACTTTGGGATTTACTATCTAACAATTTGTCATTAAAACGGGGCCTGTGAATTCTTTTTTTGACTGAAACAGATGCAAACACGGAGAGGTAATTCAGAAATCAGTGGAATAATTTCGTATTGGACATCAACATGGCACGGTCACAGCGTAGAGAAATTCTTGTAGCCTAATTCCATTAAACTACCACTGTACCAAGAACAGTACACCATGTTGGGTTTTTAGAGAGGGGCACAGGCCTGCATCAAAGATGAAGTATATGAAGCGTTTTCATATTATCGCAATGTTGATATGATTCATCTAATCGGGACCTTGTAACATGTGTGTCCAGAATGGTGCGCGTTTTAAAGTTCAAATGACGACTCGTCTTTTCTTGGATTACGCCATTAGAAAAAGAAATATAGAAATAGAGAGTGAAATTGCTTGTATGAGCTATAATTAAAGGGATTATGCCACTTTCGCAAATTTCTTGTACTTCATAAGACTATTAAGATTATTCAATACCCTATCATCCTTAAAATGAATGGGACCGTAGTTAACTTTATCCAAATAGCTAAGTAGTCTACTTCCACATAGGGAGATGTAGATTGGATTATTATGGTATTATAGGAATATGGGATTCTGAAATACCGGAATAATAATATAAAAAATGGTAAAATAATGGTTATAATATAAATTTAATGTGAACATTCACATTGGTGCCATAATCCATAAGATGGTGTATTGGAACCCTTGCAAGGTACAAATTCCCACGTGACTTCAGGATTGTCCCATCCTAAATGTGATACTTGTTTAGCCCCATTTTCAACATCAAAATGAACCTCATAACCATATTTATTAGGATGGCTAACATGTCCAGGACCACCTGTCTGTGCACACCAGTCTTGGTTTGGTGCCCAAGGTGGACATAAGTTGGTAATCATAAAAGTGTGTGAAGCTAAACTTTTTGGAGCAGTTCCTCTATTTTGAACGAAACCACCTGCAAAGCAAAATAAAGTAGGCTAGTGGTGAAGCAAAAAGTCGCAGACACACAAAATTGCTGAGGCAGGAAAACCTCACCTTTTTGGAACACCTACATCTGTTCTGTAATCTGGATCGGATCGATAGGTCTATCCCTTTCTGAGATCTCTACACATGACATACCAATAGGCCAATGACTCTACAGATGGACCCAATGAAAGTTGCGATGTCAATAACTATACAGATTCTATATGCACGTGTATATCGTTCACTTGTTAATGTAAGGTCCACAAAGGGAAATTACTCTCGTGGAATTTACGTCATTACGTCATGCGAGTGAACAAAAAGTATACTTATTTAAGAATTGAAGTGTGAAGATACTGAAAATAGAACTACACCAAATCATTGAACATACGTAAGTTTATTTTGCTGAACATTATCAACCCCAATTAGTTTTATAAAGAGTACAGTCCGAGAAGCTCTTGCCCTTTCGACAGGTTGAAACAGATAATTGGCAAGTGGTATCCACGAAACGAAACGAAACATTTCGATCTGTATTTTAACCTAATCTAGACTCACTACATCCATACCTGTAGGGGTAAGCTTTACACATTTTCCACAAGATTGACCACACCATGTTTTCTTGCCTTGAGTTGTATCAAATAAGTTCTGACTTGCTGCTACGACTAAATGATCGTGATTCCATGAAAACTGCGTATCGCCATGACCACAGCCGCATGCACCCTTATGATGGTCGATGTAGTTAGTGGTAGAAGCACAAAATTTCCCATTAAACATTCTTACCCCATTATGCAGTTGACATTTCTGGTTAGCGTGGCTGAATGCTTGAAAGAGAAAGTATATTGGACATTCAATTTGTTGAGCAACTTTGCATTGTACTGTAGCATAATTTCACGAGTATTTACTGTGGTTTTAACTGAAACAATACAAGATGAGCATCTTATTTTGTAACTAACTTTGGACTTCTTAAAAAGTATTCCATTCCTTACGTCATATCTTTCCAACTTTATAGGCCTATAGCTAGCAGACGACAGGTTCTGGTTAGCGTGGCTGAATGCTTGAAAGAGAAAGTATATTGGACATTCAATTTGTTGAGCAACTTTGCATTGTACTGTAGCATAATTTCACGAGTATTTACTGTGGTTTTAACTGAAACAATACAAGATGAGCATCTTATTTTGTAACTAACTTTGGACTTCTTAAAAAGTATTCCATTCCTTACGTCATATCTTTCCAACTTTATAGGCCTATAGCTAGCAGACGACAGGTTCTCTTGTTAAAATGAGGTTGTCAATTAGTTCTAGAGGGTCTTTCCTGTTCAAAAATGGTATTAAACCAGTCCATACGATACGAAAATAAAAACAAAAGCTTGCTTAAAACATCGGCTGTCGAAATTTCAGTGGAAACGCTGTTTATGATGTCACACTTACCCACGAAAACAGCCAAACATAAAAGTCTGCTTAACATCTTGTCTTATGAGATCACACGAAACAGAAGTGATTGTATATAGTTCCATTCTTAAAGATAAGATAATGGATTCTTTTTTATCATCGTCGGTTCGACCTTGCATAGCTATATACTGTTCTATTTACTTTTTTTTTATATATCTTTTTTACTTTGAAATGTATTCTTTTATATGACGTATATATGTCAAATTCTTCAATCCTTTTACATCCTTTTATCTGATCTAGAACTAAGTAGACCTAGGCCTACTAACATACGAAGTATCTGTTCGTATCTGAACACTTTCTCTTGATACCCTTTGTACAAACTGAAGGTCACATTACACGAATTTGTAGTGTGCCTAGCTGTACATCTGCGTAAAGACAAGCTATTACGAACTTCGTCCAATATACTAAGATACCTCGTGACAAAAGAATCTGTGAATGTTGCAAGTCAAAACATTATATAGAAGATGAATTTCACTTTTTGCTTTGTTGCCCCATCTATAGCCATCTTCGCCAGAAGTTTTTTCATAAACAATTTTGGTCATTTCCTTCCCTTCTCAAAATGAACATTCTAATGAATCCGAAATCCCACTCCCAAGTTCTTTCACTTGGTAGGTATCTCTACGAGACTTACAAACTCCGAGAAACAATCGTAATTAATCTGTAATGTATTAAATATGCATTAGCTGAATGCTATTTTAAATGTATTGTATTGTTCGTGTGTTACTTTTCCAGCTTGTCTTACCATATTTGCGTTTATTGTATACCATGTATATATTTCATGTATTATTTTCCTATTAGGAAAGCTATACTACTTATGTTTATATGTTTTTATGTATTGTAACTCGAATGTATGTAAATTTAATTATGCAGGCTACGTTTTTTTCTCTGTATTTGCTATAGCAAGTATTTGCTTGTCAATAAAGTATAGTAGTAGTAATATTCAATTGTCATGGTTTATCTAGAGAGCGGATCATCTCTGTGATCAGTTGGTTTGAACTTTTTTTGGCAAGTTCTATCAAAGGAAGGATATATCAGATACTTTTTATACCAAATTTTAGGTGTTAAAGCTAGCTCAATGGCAAAACGAGTGTGAATCCTAAACTAGTATTTAAAGTGGTCAATGAGCGTTGCGATTTGTGAAAAATTAATTATCATTTTCTGGAGAACAAAACAATATGGTAAAGTCAGTTAGGCTTTGCAACTCCTTCGGCATGTTCCATCAATGACAATGGCGGTGTGTGTGAGAGGGGGGGGGGGGGATAAATTCACTACATTAACACAGTAATAATTTTCTCTCATAAACACACGTTTAAATAGATAAACAGACAAACAATGAAAGAAACAAACAAAAAATCACAGAAATTACATATCAGTTGTGTAACTTTCAAGGTTACTTAGTACGGAACTTCGCAAGTCCGAGTTCTCTTACGTAACCTGTCCAATGAGAATTTATTGCAAGAGTTTATGTGATGGTTTTGACAATGATTTTCGTTAGCAGCAAACAGCAGACTTTTGTCTTGGCAACCGCCAACGCACACACGAACCACAACATTTCCTAGAGAATAGAGGTGCGAATGGACGTGGTATGGTGTCCGGAGCCGTGTAGGATCCGTCGATCCTGTACCTTTATCTAAGAGTTAACAATCTACAAAGCCTTAAGACTAAGCTTTGCAAGTTTCTCATGCTATTCGTATCGCTACAATCATGCCTTATCAATTGCTCGCAATTCTTTCACCAGTCTATCTCAATTCTTTGATATATTTAAGCTCCTAACCAAATGACATTGCTGGTTACAGGCTTGTAGAAGCAAGATAAACGCTTCCAGATAAACACAAAGCATAATGATGATAATTCAACAAATATATGGCAATTTACATATATAAAATTGTCAACTGAAAACTCATTCTTGAAAATAAACTGAAAAAACACACATTTAAATGGTTCGAATCACAACAGTAATGCACAGTGTAGGTCTCGTTATTGCGTAAGAGTGTCTCCACCGAACTTTATTTTCAATAAATTTACAAAAAATGCGTGTCAGAATGCACTAATGCCGACTATGCCGCTAACACAGCATTTTTTAACTCAGCCCCGAAATTCGTCGGACAAAACACAATATATTCACATCACAATAACATTCTGAGGATCTACACCCGTCATGGTTATGTTAGGTTTCATGATTACCAATTATTTCACAAGTGACTTCCACATAATATGAACATATTTGAAGTTTGAACATCGACTTCTGAGTTTTGTAATTGAATTAAGGTTATTACTGTACTGTGCTTAAATTTTACTGTAGATGATCACTTATTGATAGATGAAACACAACCGGAAGTAGACGCCAAACAATGATCTATTATGCTCTATTGGTGATGATAAAGGTTATCTGAAATATAAAACCGAAACAGTTTAATGGCAAATAACGGACTAAGGCCATCTTCACAATGTTAAGCTATTACGATTTTCGTATTCTACCTTGCCTACAATAGCCACCGTTCTTGTATTACAGAAGTTTGTAACTGCAGCGATTTGATTAGACTTGTACGTTAGCGAAGGTGAATACAACCAATCAGAGGCCTCAACAGAAAGTCTGAAAGCAAGAAACTATAACTTTTACATTCTTTCTGTTGAGGGTGCTGTATTCTCTGACGTACAATCAAATCAAATCATAATACAGGAATAGTGGCTATTACATTCAAGGTATAAGACAATGTTTCCAATAACTTGACATTGTCAAGATGGACAAGAGCCAGCTGGTACAAAAATTATTATGGCCCTACATGCAATGTAAGAGTATTCTGTTTTACTAAATTTTTATAGATAAATTTTAAAGATAGAAAAAGTACGTTTAATTCGACTCATCAGAGACCTTGACATACAAGTCATTGTAGATTGTAGTCTGTAGACTTATTTAGTAATGATATTTTCTAGTCAAAGTTAACAATAGTACAAAAACATCAATTATTAAAAAAGTTCTAGTTTCGAATTTTGTGAATCGAATTCAATAGAAAAATACGGTTCAACAAATATTTAAAAAAAAACCTTTTGTTTTCAAATCCAATATTTGCATTATTAGATCAACAGCAATAAAAATAGTTTGTTTAAGGAAAAAAAACCAACAAAGATCTCTAAATTTAGTATTTCAGGACACACTTAGGATTCACCTTGTATTGATAAAAAGAACTCTATTAGGGTAACAGTCCCTAAAAATAGGGAGTGCAAAACCAATAATTTATACCAGATTCTCCATCTTTCGGTTTGTGAATAAAATAACTACGGAAAACCCCTCACAGATATCCTTAATCAATTGACCCCGAGTTAAAAATTCTTACCATGTTGATCGAAGTCGTAGACAGACGGATAGTCGTGGTGAATTGGGTCATCACCATTCTCAAGTATTCTTGTTACAGGTTGTTTCACAAGGCTAGGGAATAGCGTATTCGGATTCACGTTCGGCATCGTTAAGAAATGTCTGTACAACTTGGCACCGGAACTAGGAAGTATAGCAGGCGCCATCTTTGTTTTGGTATGGTAGACACCCGGAGCATACATCCTACTGTTGGTTCTTGATAAATCATGGCTGGATTCCTGAAATATACTCGTCTCCGATCCAGTACTGGAACGTCGTTCAGACGGCACACAACTTCTATAAAAACAACTTTGTCTTATAATCTTTTTGAAAGCTGCTCTAAATTCACTATTCTTAAAGGCATACACCCAAGGATTCAAACCACTATTCAGAAAGGCTAGCAAAGCCAGATAGTTTCTCAACCACTCATTCATTTGCTGCTCAACACATATGTCAATGACTAATAAAGCTAGGTAAGGCAACCACAAGCAAAGAAATACACCTATCACCAGTCCTAAAGTTTTAGCACATTTCGTGTCTTTAACAATGTACCTCATTTCTAGGTTGTGTCGTACTGATTGTTCAACAGCTGCGATGGCACGTGCGTGATGTTTGGCAACGGTGTAAATTCGTGAATAGCAGTAAAATATAACAAAGCATGCAGGACCAAACACCACACTTAAAAACAAAACGTGCGCAGTACTGTATAAAAGATTAAATGAACAAACACTAAACTTGTCTAAACCATCATGCCAGCGTAAAAATAAGGGCAACCAAGAAATGACAGCCGAATATACCCAGGATAGGAACACCAGAAACGCTACTTTGCCTTCTGTCATAATATTGACATATTCGAGGGGATACAGAAGAGCCGAGTATCTGTCGTACGCGATGATTGCTAGAGTTAAAATAGACACTCCACACACCATAACCAAGACTCTACTTGGTGCTAAACACACGTAAATATTTGGAATTTCATTCTTCAAGACTTCGACAGCCATGAAAAATGGTATGATTAGACCAATGAATATGTCCGCAGCGGACAGTGAAACGAGAAAATAATTTGTTGGAATTTGTAAACGTTTGAATCTTTTCACCGACAATATGACCAATATATTACTGATCAGAATAAATGGTACCATAACAGCAGTCAAGGCGATACCGAAGATTTGTTCAGGACCTATATCCTTGTCATGGTTCGACTGTGGATTGTCATAATCAAAATTAGAATATTCTGATAGAAATGAAATTTCTTCCAAAATTTCATTGTCAGTAATTATCTCCGAATAATCAGCTAATACGACCATATTACAATTGAAAAAGAACGCAATCAATAACAACCTTATATTTATCAAGGTTGAAGACCAATTTGAATTTTCGAAATACGCCATATTGAAATGAATTTTGCCGCGAATACCTGATGTGCCCCTGACCACATCGTTAGTAATATAAAGTAAACAGAACAGAGTTATGTCTTTGTGTTGGATTAGTTACTGTTCAAATCTTGTAGTTTCCTCTTCGCTGATTGGTGAATCTGAAATAAATAATACAATAAATCAATTTTTAGAATTATACACATAATATAACACGGAAATCATGTACCTAAGAGAGCATTTGAGGCCAGATTAGATGCAAAATAAGTTCCTCAGATCATGGCCAGTTACTCACTAAAGAAACATGACATGAACAATTAACTAAAGTGATGTCAAGTACAACCAATCTGAATGAACAATTAACTAAAGTGATGTCAAATACAATACAACCAATCTGAATGAACAATAAACTAAAGTGATGTCAAATACAACCAGTCTGAATAAGCACGTAGATAAACTACTGCCAAATACAACCAATCTGAACAAACAGGTAACTAAACTGATGTCAAATACAACCAATATAAATGAACAAGTAACTAAACTGATGCCAAATACAACCAATCTAAATGAGTAAGTAACTTAACTGATGCCAAAATACAACCAATCTGAATGAACAAATTACTAAACTGATGTCAAATACAACCAATATAAATGAACAAGTAACTAAACTGATGCCAAATACAACCAATCTAAATAAGTAAGTAACTAAACTGATGTCAAATACAACCAATCTGAACGAACAAGTAGCTAAAATAATGCCAAATACAACTAATCTGAATGAACAAGTAACTAAACTGAAGTAAAATACAACCAATCTGAATAAGTAAGTAAATAAATTGATGCCAAATACAACTAATCTGAATGAACAGGTAACTAAACTGGTGCCAAATACAACCAATCTTAATGAACAAGTTACTAAACTGATGTCAAATACAACCAATCTGAATGAACAAGTAGCTAAAATAATGCCAAATACAACTAATCTGAATGAACAAGTAACTAAACTGATGTCAAATACAACCAATTTGAACGAACAAGTAGATAAAATAATGCCAAATACAACTAATCTGAACGAACAAAACAAGTAGCTAAAATAATGCCAAATACAACTAATCAGGAAAAAATTAAAAAGAACGTAATTTGCCACCGAATCACCTGAGGAATGTCAGCAAAAACATGTACATGTATATTAAAAAATTAATAATAAACACACTTTTTCATCAAGAATATGAAAGCTCAAGGTTAAGTTTATAGAATTTTAAATGGAACAACCGTTGATTTAAAAATTTAAAATCTTTTTAGGTTAGGTCTACTGAGAGGTTGTTGACCTCCTTGGTAGCATATTCTAAAAGAAAACGATCACATCAGCTGATAATTCACCGGAATTATAAATCTTGAAAGTTCGAGTTATGTGACTTTCGAACTAATTCTGAAACACTTTTGGTCATATCATAATAAAATTTCTTTGATGTTTGTCCACATGCAGTTTTAGCACAAGTGAAGACATACAAATGCAAGTAATCACATTTTGCTAACATCCAAATTAACCAATAATCCAACTCTTGTGATTCTCGCACTATGAAAACTGCACAGAAAAGGTCTTACAGAGCGCCATTTTTCCAAAAATATTTGAAATTCCCCATGACATATATCTGATACCGCGTTCTAAGAGTGATAATTTTCACAAGATAATAGCAAAAATTAGAAATCACACTTTACGTGCACAACCTTGAAGACCTCTTTCCATAGGAGGAGAAGATCCGTAATCCAAAATAGGTGAACAGCGAAACATCTACCGTTATGATTCTGTCCAAAACCTCTATATGAAATGGAACAAAGAATTATATAATGGCCTTGTAAGGAAATATATCACGTGAACACAGTGAAGACCTAAATATTAACCATGACGATATATAGTCGTTCTATTTATTACTGACACATGTGTCCCATACATTCCCACCTGCTTTTTATTACGTGGATAATTTCCAAGACATTTTGCCAAAATAACTTCAGGAAAAACAGAAATGTATTTAATTTTAACTCTCTCAAACAGAAACGGGTCGTTTCGCAAACATAGCAAAAAATGTTTATAGCCAAAATAATTCACATCAATATTCTTTTTAGGTTCAGATCAAATAAAATGCGATCAAAATAGAAGTAACGGTTTACATTCGATATTAGTTTTAAATATTTACTATTGGAATATTGAAAAGCTAGTTGACCAAAAAGATTGTTGATTCATTCAACAGCATACCCGTATCGTATGAAATAATCGTAATGTTAGGCTTGTGCGATTGCATTGAAGAGTCGGAATTTAGATTGCAAGGCCAGGGTCTGAGTACATTGCAGTTTTGCCAATTTCTTGCATCGCAAGGTCGGAGTTTGATTGTATTGCATGGTTGTGAACTGGTTGTAATGTAATGCTACAGTTTTGTTGTATATCTGGGTCGGAGGTTGATGGCATTTAATTGCCTTGGTTGTTGTTTTGCTTCTATGGAATGTGGATGTACTGTACAATAGCAATGGGATTGATGTACATGAAAGGGTCAAATTTTGTTTGAATTTTATTATCGGGGGATGGTTGTATTGAATTGACACGTTTAGCATTGGTGATTTTGCAGAAATGGAACGTGTTTGTGCTGCATTGTTTGCTGTAATGCTCGTCAATATTTGGTTGTAATGTAGAGCTGGGGTTTGAAGTGGGTTGTTTTGATGATCAGAATATGCAGTTAAGAAGTTCCGGAAGTTGGTTGTATTGCACGTACAGAAGTAAATAGATGTATAGCGCAGTCGGAATATGGTTGTATTTGTGCCATATTTGGATTCTGGCTATATATTGCATATTACACTGACTGACTGACTTATACTGAAGTTAAAACCTTGCTTGCCGATATTAAAAGCTTAAACTATCATTTACGTCAGAAATGAAATCTCCCAAATAACAGTCTGTTTCGCCTGTAACACTCAAAGTATAACATAGTGATTTGTACTCGATGTCACTCGGCATGCAAGTCGGAATCCCTATTGGACAGCCCAGATCAGTTCCATATCTAAAGTTATAAGTAATATGTACACCACAATAAGGATAAAATTAGAATCAAGGAATATAGCGCTGACTGACACTTCCTCATAGAAAATTCGTTTCACTTACCTGTTTCGCTAATTTACATCCAAATAAACTGGTCTGAATAGGCTTTGGTGTCACGAGAAATGTAGAACGTGGCTAGAAGTTGGCAAAGAAATCCTTCAATGGTCCTAAAATAATCTTTGATTTGTTGTGGACGATGTCTGAATTTGAAATGTAAAGATTTTGCTGGCGAGATGAAGGAAGGTGTGTTTAGGAGATTGGCGTTTGTTTAAACCAAATAAAAGAAGAGAAAACATGGAGACTTAATGGATTTGGTGGGGAGAACATTAGCCGATAGTCAACAATAACATTACCTAACATTAAACATTAACACGTTGTTTCTAAAGCCCAAATCACACTATCTTCATACTGAGATTCGATTGACGTGAGACCTGAAGAGCAAGCATTATGTTTCTTGCTCATTTTAATCCTATCCATTTTGGAACCTCTTGACTTCCGGGGTGTTTTCACCCCTGGGGTGTGGGACTAGGGTGTCAGGGGTACGGCCAACTGGTATTGGAGAAGAATTTATTTTGAGTTGAGAGAGCACCTCACATCAACACATGCAGAAAATGTGGATGAAACAAATTTTTGGGGTGTGAAAGGTCCAGGTGATTGCTCCAGGGGTGTGAAAGCTGAGAAAAGTTGGGGAACCACTGCTCTTGACGAAGTACATAAACAACGACGTTAACATGTTAGCTACGTGGATTCTCTGAAATAGATTAAATCCACAAGCTGACAAAACCATTGGGTGTTTTGGAAACCTGTCCTGGCTCCCGAGAACATAGATCTTTGAAAGTGGTGCTCAAAAGCAAAAGCTTCAAAACATATTGCCGAGGTTGTAAGAGGTTGGTTTGTTTGTATCCATTGACTAAACTGAAGTAAAAAAATAATCTCTGACCTCTTTTGTGAGATTTGTGACGTCACAAAATACAACGTAACGTATATTACATAAGGAGTATTCCATGTATATGCATAATACAAGATCGATACAGTAGCAAATATTTACCTTATTTTTCTGTACAAAAAATTGTCCAATCATATTTGAATGGGACTAAAGATCACGAAAATAAAATTTGTGAAACCGTCTTTCTGGAAATGTGGGTTAAAGGTTTTTGATCGACTATACAATTTGTCTGTGTTTACTGAGATGGTCAAACATTTCTTTTTAATCAATGGTATTATCGGAAAAAGACCAGAGGAACATTCCTTAGGCACTAACTGGACGACTGTTCTATTTATTCTCAAAATTACAGCGGACTATCTCAAATAATAGTACATGAGACAATTTCCTAGGAGCAATTTTTCCATAAAAGAGCTGAGATGGAGTACAAATATCATGTGATATCATACAAATATCAAACTGAAAAACAAACTACATCCGATATGGCGTGGTGAGCAATTCAGAATTGCAACATGTTCTCATCAAAAGTTAAAGAATTGCATACAACCACAATAAACAGTTAATAATTTCGGAGCAAAAATAACCCATGGTTGTGTCTTTCGCGGCATACACACTTCCATTTTAAATTCAGAAAGTAAGTAAAAAAATTTACACTAAGTGGTCATAGCTAAAAGTGAAAGAAAAGTGCAATAAACGAACGCACCAATTGACCAAACGAAAGTTTCATTTCCGGTGATAAAATGGCAGACGTAAACAAAGAATGTCCCCAAACATTTCTCTCTTCTAGAGTGAAAAATATGATATGTCATGAAGGTGTCATTGCTAGAATAGAGCATACATCACTCACTAATCACTACACAATAGATTGGGTGCATTTAGAATCCATGATTAAAGACTTATTGCAAGGTATTAGAGGTGGACAATTTCGTCTGATTCCAATTGGTCATACATACAATCTAACACAGCACTAAATACTAGACACAGGCAATCATATCTAAGTAGGCCTAGAGCTATACTGTACTAGGCCTACTTAGATAAGAGTGCCTGTAATACAAGAGCAGCCTATTTTTTTTTTCCCACATCAACCCTTCCCATATTGCATATTACCTTTCCCAATCCGATGCAATCCATTCCTATTTTGCCCCAACCCATTTTGTCCCATCCATTTTTCCAAGTTGCCCATTTACCATAACTTATGACACCTTTTTCAGATTCAGACCTCTTCTCTTAGGCCTCTTATTCCCAATTCATCCCTTTCAAATTCGCCTGTTTCTTTGCAGATTTTTTTATGTGGTTAGGATATTTTGAGCAAAGATTTTGAAAACAATGTGGTCAGAAAGTTGTAGTGTTATATGGCTTGATATTTAAGTTATTTTAACATAAAGCGTATTTGGTATAACAGAAAAAATATTATTTTATTTTTTTAGCAGATGAAAACGAAGAAGAATTGCTGTTAGAAAATACAAGACAAATGTCATCATTGTTTTTGGAATGTGAACAGTTGCTTGAGAACCAAACATGTGAACAGTACAGAGTTACATACAATAATTTGTTAGATTGGATTGCCAATAAACAGGTTTGTAAATTTGATATTTAGCAGATCTCAACTTGAGTCTTAATCTTTATTATGTACTCCTGTACCTTATACCATATGGTTAAAAGAAATGAGGAAAGAAACATCTATTTTTACTACTCAGATTCACAAGGATCTTGAGGACCAACTGGTCCTAAGGCAAACCTCAATGGCATTGATTTATCCTAGACTATCCATGCCATGCCCTTTTTCAGCTGGTAGAACTGAAATAATGAGGAAAGATATTGACTTATTCAGGGTCACATTCTAATGCTTTTACCAACAGCTAAAGCCTGTTCTCAGGATGATAAGAATGGGGCTTAGTCTGCTACATTTGAAAAGACAATGGTTTTCATTCAGTTTAAAATTTTCATTTCAGATATTTTTTGAATGCCTTTCTTTGGTTTTGAAAACAAATATTGAATCTCAAACTAGGGAGCATTGTGATATGAGCCATCATGAACAGAAAAGACAAAATTGTTGTACAACTAACAGTGATACTTATTTTAGTCATGACGTAAAATTCAATCAAAAAGACTTAATGAGACTAAAAGATTTGGATAAATTGTGTGATAATGCTTGTGGTATTAATACTGACAATGATAAGTTGTATGATAATGTCAATGGTACCAGTAGTAGTAATGTGACAAGTGGTGATCAAGCTGACAAAATTGAGTTCAATGATAATGTTAGTGGTAATGATAATGATAATTTGAGTGAGAATGGTAAAGATGATAATGAATGTTCTGATAATGATAATGCTGATGAATTGCTATCACTCTTAGTGATAACATCATGTTTGGAAAGAAGTTTAGGAGATGTAAGTCATTCCACATATTATAATTACCATAATTTTCAAGATAAATATTCCATTTTGATTTCTTTTATGTAATGATTTTCATTTACTAGATTTGGTCCGTGAATGTATACTTTTTGGGATTCTAAAACAATATTTAACTTTGTTCTATTCTGGAAACCTCTTTTGAATCTCTTTAAAGGTAACATTATACATTCTTTTATAGGTTTACTTAATGAAAGGAAGACAATGTCCATCAATATTAAAAGATTTATTGAATACTGAGGAACTTAAACATATTCTAGGTCCTGTAGTGGTGAGTGAGTTTTCCAGTTTGTGTAAGTCACAAGAGAACATGGCCCCTGTCTCCCAATTAAGAAATAATAAACATTTGTCTTCTTATAAAAACTCCAAAATTTTCTTTTTTTAAACTGTGAATATATGCTGTTGTTTCAATTCCCCTGTGCCTCTCAATCATTAAGTGTGTCATAAATTTTTCAGCATCTATTGAGTCATAATGATGCTTTGTTTTGCTAAATGGACTAGAACTAGATCAGTACTTAAAACTGACATAACCTTTTTTTCTTATTTAGGTAAATGTATTGAAGGTTATAATTGGTTCACCTAAATCTTTAAATATCAGAAATATTGCATGGCATGGATTTTTCTCACCTGGGGAATTACCAAAAAGGTACCGGTAACTTGTATAATATGACTTTTCTGAACAATGATTAGAAATCAAATCAATGGTTAGATATTGAAGACTTATAATGCTATTAGATATAGATGCTTGACTTGAATAGCTAAAACCACTGAATAGATACGGAATACATGTATATGAATTTCTTAATATTTATTACTTTGTCATAATGGTTTTATTCAATAAGATTGCTGCTCATTTATTTTGTAGGTATGTATATTTTTTATTGGTACTTATTCCTAGTATTGGTGAAATTCTTAAGTATAAAAATGTTAAGCCAGAGACCATTCCACATAGACCACCAATACAACTACCTCAAGACATGTATGCTATATCAGTTAGTAAGTTGTTTTCTTTAGATTCCTATAATTTAGTCATGATATTAATGTGTGAAATGTTGAAGACTAGTTTTCTGATAACTGATTAGAGGCAATTGACAATGGTACTTTCATTATGTAAATACCATTTCAACTTCTTTTCTAGATTGGTTTGATGGAATTAGAATTAATGATATGAATTGTTTTTCTTAAAATAACGTAAAATATTATCTATAAAAGACCTTCTGACAACTAAGTGTGGTGGGTTCTCTGAATATGTTCAAATTTGTTAACTTTTTGATTGAATCTTTTCTCTTCAGATTTCACACAGATATATGAATGTTTGAATAGTGTGATTGGAGAAGATAATATATTTATACTTCACTGTATGATGCCATATTTACAACGATCTTTATTTTATTATGAAAGACAAAGGTAAATCAACTAAATTTCTCTATCAACCTCCTTCCAAATTGTTTGTCAGCTGATCATCTTGATGTCAAATTGTTTGTCAGTTCATCTTGAAGTCAAAATTTGTCAGCTTATCATTTGGATGTCAAATTGCTTGCAGCTGATCATCTTGAAGGCAAATTGTTTGTCAGCTGATCATTTGGATGTCAAATAGTTTGTCAGCTGATCGTTTTGATGTCAAATTGCTTGTTCTTATCTTAGATCATAACGAAATACTTGTACCTTTCTGTGTTGAAAAGTTTGTCAGCAGATGTCAAATTGTTTGTCAGCTGATCTGTTTGACTTCAAATTGCTTGTCCTTATTTTAGATCATAAAGAAATACTTGTATCTTTCTATGTTGAAAAGTTTGTCAGTAGATGTCAAATTGTTTGTCAGCTGATCGTTTTGATGTCAAATTGTTTGTCCTTATCTTAGATCATAACGGAATACTTGTACCTTTCTGTGTTGAAAAGTTTGTAAGCAGATGTCAAATTGATTGTCAGCTGATTCATCTTCATGTTAAATTCATTGTCAGCAGTTCATCATAATGTTAATTTGTTTGTGGATAGCATATGAATTTCAAATTGTTTGTCAGTAAATCATTAAATCATATTGGTAGGTATAATTTTTATAAACTCAGATGATGCTCTTTATGCAATGTTGTTCGTAATATAGATGTCGAATTGTTTGAATTGTTGTCATAATCTGACATTCAATTTTTATCCTAATTTAGATATGGTTACAGTCTGTGTTTATTGTGGCCATTATTAGAACACAGTTTAAGATGTGTGTTTGCTGATGCTAATAATTGTCAGTATAGAGTTTTAACTGCTGAGGTATGTCCTTTTCTAGAATCATTTTTTGTGTGACTGCTTTAATCTAGCAAATGCAGCTATTTAAACAATACTTCTCTGATGTTTGATAACACCTTGTTAATTTAATGATTTATTTTTACCACAATGCTGTGTCTTAAACCATATATGGTAGTGATAATGTTGTATTTGCCAAAGTAAATTTTTGTCGCAAGTCACAACTACTTGCTTAAATTCAGAATTGATTGAAGATAAGAATTAAACATTTCACATGATTAATCTCCTTAAATATCTTTATATTTTTCTTATAGTCAACAAGTTTTTACACTACATTTGAAGAGGTAAGTCATCTTTTAGACTTTTAACTATTTTTTGCAAAAGAGTGAAAAGTGTATTTGAAATGAATTTTGTGGCTGTAGCATGAATTTATTTTTTTAACTTCATTTACTTGGTTCGACTTGAAATAAAGTGGTCATGAGTTCTAATCTTTGTCAGTGCATGGCCTTGATTAAGAGATCTTTCCTCACTGTTCCAGTATACCTTGCTGTAATGGATACAGATACCAAAAACTATTGAGAGTTTATCTTTTTTAATAAACAATTTTAATTTGCATTATTTCAGATTTTGTGTAAACATATAAAATCAGATGAAGACAATAAACTAGTAAAGATAATTGGAGAACCATGTATGGTAAGGTTTTATTGTTAAAGATGGGTTCCCTTATTTTCATTTATAAAAATGAAAATGCTAAAACTTATATGAATAGAAAGTAGAGGAGTTCTAATGACTGGAAAATACAAGTTTGTCTCACATGTCCATTATTAATTCATAATTAGAAAAGAAGTACCAGCAGAATTCCAAGGAGTGACCGATCAAGAAAAGTAAAAAAGTCTTTTTTTGTTTATCCAGATTGTACTTACATGGACATTTATGAGAGATGACAAGGTGACTTACCCATATTTCATATGATATCCAGAATATTCTTAGGAACACTGCCATGACATTAATATCTCAGAGCTTGAGCCTCTTTAAAGGGAATTCTTGTCCGTGAACATGTCTGTGGACAGACTGCATCTTTGCTTCAACTTCAGGATTTATTATATGATGTATTAATGTATCTTGATGTATATTTCAGGATTTATTATATGATGTATTAATGTATCTTAATGTATATTTCAGGATTTATTATATGATGTATTAGTGTATCTTGATATTTATATTTCAGGATGTATTAATTTATCTTGATGTATATTTCAGGGTTTATTATATGATGTATTAGTGTATCTTTATTTATATTTCAGGATTTATTTTATGATGTATTAATGTATCTTTATTTATATTTCAAGGTTTGATTATATGATATATTAATGTATCTTTATTTATATTTCAGTATTTATTATATGATGTATTAATGTATCTTTATTTACATTTCAGGATTTATTATATGATATATTAATGTATCTTTATTTATATTTCAGGATTTATTATATGATATATTAATGTATCTTTATTTATATTTCAAGGTTTGATTATATGATATATTAATGTATCTTTATTTATATTTCAGGATTTATTATATGATATATTAATGTATCTTTATTTATATTTCAGGATTTATTATATGATGTATTAATGTACCTTGATATTTATATTTCAGGATTTATTATATGATGTATTAGTATATCCTGAAGGTCCTAGATTAAGGGATAGATTAAGTCATGGTGAAACTGACTTATCTGATGTATCTAAAGACTGGATAGATAAGACATGGTATATATTGATATATTTAATATATGAATTTCAATATAAAGACAAGGTAAATTGTTAACTTTTCATCTATATACAAGTTTTTTTTAAACTATCCAATTAATCTCAATGTTTATTTTTTCATAAAATTTTACCAAATACCTTTTTTTTTCGTTCATTTTTGAACTATATGAAAGGGACAGGTTTGCCATTTGTTTGACCATTGTACCTTAGTCTCATAAACAGGATTTTTTTCAGCTAAGCTTATCAGTTATCGTGCTCACAGCTCACCATTATGATTTAAGCCATCAAATCCATGTGTCTCCAGAATTACCTGTGTTAGACAAAATTTAACTGGCCTTGATGCAGTACACATTTCATGATATATGACAATTAAACATCTGTTAATTTTCTTTAGCATAAAGTTCCTGAAACTGTTACTAAGTTTAAAGATACAATAGAGAAATATGAATCTCAATATCATCCTATTGCTTTACTCAAGAAAAAGGTATGCATAATTTCTACATTTGCATATTTCCATGATTTTACTTACTGGAAAGTTTGTTCTGTTGTCTAAAATAGCTGTCCTGGACGTCTCTATTGTTAGTATTAGTTCATTAACGTTATGTTAAAATCTTAGGTGATACACGTATTCGAGTTAATTAATTAAGGAATAGCCTGAACATTTTTTCAGTTCATTGATGTATAAACAGAAAAAACCTGTGTACACTTGCGTATAAACAGCTACGCGGATACAGTGTACACAGGTTTTTTCTGTTTAAACATCAATAAACTGAAAAAATGTTCAGGCCATTCCTTAAATAATTTCTTAATTCTGTAGTCGTTTTGTTTTATTAGTATGTGTCCTTCTGTGAAATTAAGCCAATTTCTTGGTGCCATTGTTAAATGTTGTGTTTTACAATTTCTATAATCAAAATGATCAAATTAAAACCACATCTTTTAAAATTATAAAGTGTAAAGATATTCTATCTTCATTTGTTCGTTAAAATGTATCCTTCTATTGTTTTTCTGTTCCTGAACATTTTATGATCAACATGTTTTATATGATTTTAAGATCCTGTGTGTAGTTAATTTAACTTGTAATATGATAGAATGGATAAAGATAGATCCAACACTCAAATCTTGGTAAGATCCTAGATTTTTTTTTTATACTGTAAACTGATGGGTCGACTGTATCCTTTCTTATGTTTGACTTGGATGACAATATGCTATTTTTCTGATATTTTTTTTTACATTGTAATCTAACAAGTTTTCTACCACATACAGTTCTAATAATGTTATTTTTATCCAATCAAAGCATCTCATTATGATCTGTTTCTTGATAACAATGACAAGTTGTGGGAATTGACAACCATGATAGGCCTTGATTGGATAAAAATAACATCATTAAAAGGCAATTGCATTAGAAATCTTGTTAGATTACAATGGTGATGAAAAATATCAGAATAAAAATGAAACTATGTTGTAATCTAATTTTGATTAGATTTAAATAATCCATATGTTTTTGAAATTTTCATCATAATTGAATTTAGAATTACATTTGCTCTCAAATTTCAGGAAATCAACAGCTGATGGTTTTGAAATATTTATAAATGATAACCCAAGCTATAAAAAACTAGAAACTGGAATCAAGCAATTTATTGAACATCAAATATCTGATGGTTTTGATGCTCATGTCTGGTAAATATTTATCTATGTATCACAGGGATTGATTTCCATTCGTTCAAAAACTGCTGATTGTATCTGGTTTCTGATAGTTGTTGATTGGCCATGAGTCCACAAACGTCTTATTCAGATATTCTTAAAGGGACAGATGCACCATTCATATTTGATCAATCATATGTTTGTCTCAGAAACAGGAATTTTTAAGCTAAGCTGATTGGTTATAGTATTCACAGCTCACTGTCGAAATTTGAATTCAAATCAATTGTGTGTCCAGAATTATCTGTGTTTGAATGTTAAGATTTTAAGATACTCTGTGATATATAGAAAAGACATATATAGAAATAGTGAGTAAAATTCATAGTTTGAAGTACTTTTAAAGGAATTATGCGATTTTCGTACATTTCTAGTACTTTGAAAACTATTAACATATATTCAAGACTCAAAAAATTGCGCATCTGTCCCTTTTAAATCTGTTAGTCTTTTAACTTTCAAATTGGAAGAACTGCAAAAAAAAATTGTTAAATGTAAAGGTAGCATCTATAGAAGAATGCATAGTAACTGACTTTATGAAAATCCAAACTTAGCTACTACTGTTACAATTTATTTAGCTATGTGTCAGTGACCCCAATGAAATTATCAGGGGTTCTGTTAGGCAAATTATATATTGAAAAAGCTGACGACCACAAAATATTTTGTATTTGTTCTAGGTATTGTGAAATATTCAATAATAACAAAGATATAATAGATCAACTATTATCAAGAAAAATATCAACACTATATAGATTTGATGATGTCATACAGGTACACTATGTTTTATTTATCACTTTATTACAGCTCAGCACCATTTTCATAATGTCAAGGTATTATGAACTCTGTCTAGTACCTTGACATCCTATGTACTTTTCTTCTAAATATTGCATGCATTTTGATTGGGTTGTTTACTAGCAAATGTAGAAAATTCTACAAGGTTCTTATATGTTTTTAGATAATGTCTTTTTGTGATTTTCTTGATTCAAAAGTCATTTCTGTCCTGTGATACAGTATATACTGATGGACTTATAATGTGTAATATGAGGCCCCCTTTTACCAGTCATATACAAAATAAAACCAAAAGCAAGGATGTACACAATATATATTTTATTATGCCACAAGATAATGACACAAATGTAGAGTGGCATTCAAAGTTTCCATAATGTAGTATTGTAATTTCAGGATGAAGAAGTTCAAAGTTCAAGGAATACGATCAAGGAATCAGAAATAGTTACTTTATTACTAAGAATAAATATAGAGCTAGAGACAGTGTTGATACAGTTACAATCTATAACATTATCAAGACAAGAGAAATTATACAGTAAACAACTACGTTCCAGACAGAGAGATAACACACAGAAACTTCTATACTGGTAAGCACTTTCTCAAATAAAAATATATTAATAAGAATGTTGAGTTCTGAAAAGTGTTACAGGTAGCTGAAGTTGATCTATTATTAGCTGTTGAATCATATATTTAGACAAGGCAGACCCGTAGCGCCAATTGTTCAGGGGGGTAAGTAATATATGGAGGGGCAATGGTGTATGGTGTTTAGTTGCAGTAACAGCTATCCATTTTTTCTGCTTACCCCTCTGTAGTTGTGTCAAAAAAGTTCTGATCTAGACTTGTATAGGAAGTTAACCTATCAGTTTGTCCTCCCATTTGAATTTTGCAAGTAAGGCATCAGAACGGGTCAATCTCAATAGTTGATAAATTCGCTTATCATTGCATTTTCATTATTCATCTCATTGTTAGTTTATATTCAAGATAATATTACAAGTTTTTAATCAAGAATCATCTCTATTCAACCAAGCTGTGAGTGGTTCTGTTTGCTTAAGTCAGAAAAGATCTTTTTCAAACTGTTTGGCATTGGAAGACAGGATCCCCACATTCTGTTATGCTTTACAAATAACTATTGGTATAGTAAAAATGTTTCTTTCTTTTTGAATATTTCAGTTTGCCAGTGATTCATGTATCAATACATTTTATATGTATATTTACTGTGTATCAATTATATAAACTACAGAGCTATACGCAGAGTCATCTGAAACTATTACAGAGGTAAGATTGTTATAATACTCAATAACCATACGTCTTTAAACAAACGTTCCGAATGCATCTCGAAACATAGACATGAGAATAAGTTCTACTTGTCCAACTTCATTATGGTGGAAAAAGGTCAGTTGTCTGAAGATCACATAGTGTGAAACTCTGAGCAAAAACAACATGTTTTTTAGGTTCTGTTTTAATATTTCAATACTCAATTATACATAGTTGTACATAAACCTTTATAGATATCACAAAATTGCCTAAGAACCCTTAACAGTAAGAAAGCAGACAAATGTGGCTGTCCTGGCAAAATGTCCTGTGCAGCCTGGTGCTGCCTTTAAGTTTAATCCAATGGTTCCAAATTAGGACATGAAACTATATTTCAATTCTGCAGACACCAATATAAAATGAAATTTATTTTCAATAAACATAAAGTCATACAGATCTATTCATCATATTATTGCTGATTGAAGAGTTTCATTCACACTATAATATTTTTTGGACACCTTGTATATACCATAAAACAACATTTTAGCGAAATATTGATAGCAGTTTATGAATTTTTCACAGGAGTTCCTCATGAGCTGATAAATGTTAATAAATCAATATGACCTTATTCATACCAGAGGGTATTGTGATAAAAGATATTTTGCGATTAGTTATGTTATCAAACTCTTAGTTTAAGTTTAAGGAACCACAGACATCTGATTAAAAATTGGAATGGTGCAAATTGATTATATCACTGTCCCTGATGCACATAAAATATTTAGAAAACCTCTTTACATTCCCTTTAAAACACAAAGAGTTAGTTGTATATTAGTTATTCATAAATATAACCATTTGATCATCAAAGGGATAGCAAGATTTTAACATAGATAGATTCGACATTCAATTCAAAACATCTAGATAATGTTTTAGTTTACAAAACTGCCTACATCACAAATGCCAGCAGTCTGGGGAAAATGTGATATCAGAAAATAATAGTTTGAATTTTGGTTATTTACTCGTTTATTTCAGATGTTTAAAATTAACTCTTAAGTTTTCTGAAAATCTACGAACTTTTACTGGAAGTGATAAAAATAAATGGCAGGAAGCCATGGAACTATGTGTCAAAAATATTGAAAAACTGTGTAACTTTCTAATAGAATTTTCTAAAAGCTGATTAAACTATTAATTCCTGGGCAAAATACAAATCTATTTATTTTAAAGATTAAAAGGTGTTGTGAGAACTATTGTAATGTTACTTGATTTAAGTGTGCCCTGGAGTTTATCTTATTTTGTTATCTCCCTTGACATGAAAATCATTCGGTATCGCAGAGGGATTTACGATGCAGGCAGATGTTTATAATCTTCATAGTAATTGACCTTGTATGGAAAGTTGTGTGTCATTGATTAAATTCGTTGTAAAAATGTCTTATTTATCTCCAAACTTCCTTCTGAAAGTGCTGGGAAATCTTATTGTTTTCAACGGGAAGTATCGAATTAAATAATAGCGTCTGGATGTAAAAGAATATTGCAAAATGGCCGAAATGTGACGAAAATAAATGCTGAAGTTTAAAAATGACAACAAATTCAGCCAAAACTGAAAACTTTCTAGAGAACACTGAAAATGCATCGAACAAGACTCATAAGAAAGGGTTCAGCCGCAGCGAAAAAATAATTGGAGGCTTATTTCTTGGTTCTTTGACCTCATTTTCTCTGTTAGCCGGGTTCGGGGTGACCCTTTCATCAGCAAGAAAGCAAGATCCCGAATCATTTGCTAAAGGACTTATTTCATTCTCTGATAAAGGGCTAGCTGAATCTGGTGGTACATTGGCTCTACGTGCTCTTGGAAAGGCCACATTATATACCGTAGGAACCTTTGGACTCTTGACTTTTATTGTTGCTAAAACGATGGGTGTTAGCAGCATTCACGAATTTTATGTCAAAGTGGACGCTTTTGTGCCAAAATTTAAGAAGAAAGAGCCAACTGGACGACAAGAATTTGACTCTATACGGGAATTATTTGAATATATTATTGATGAGGATGAGAAGGCCAAGAATGACAAGAATAAATGAACTTAATTTTCGGATAACTAGAAAACTAGATAATAGTTACGTCTGTGCCATACCATATATAAAAAGGCTAGAAAATAAATAGTTTGCCACTAGTTAATCGTGTGCTATAACTATCATAACTTTGTGGTTGAATTCAACTGGTGCTATTTCACTCGAAAAACCACGTGCTGTTTGTTATGGCCAAAGTTGAGAAATGTTTTAATTGTGGGCTGTAGTATAAATGGGTTACCTCTCTTTAACTATCAAGAGAGACTAGAAATCGCATCAGGTAGACCTTAAAAACTGTTCATCTTGAAAACCTAAGTTGTTTTATCAAGCGTATGGGGGAGGTATTTGCAAGCCAACGGACAGCTTAGTCTTGTCATATTCCTTATTTACTGTGTTACACTTATTAGACAATATCTGGATTAAAATGTATACATATAGGCTCTATTGTCATTTTGTCAGTGGATAAGTAAGTTATCGCTTTGCCCTTGACTAAAATTCCAATATTAGATTACATCCGATAGCAATATGATATGCATAAAAATGTATGCTGTCGGCAACTTTTGTAGTTCAAAGACATGTAGGCTATTAGCCTATCGATACGGCCTGATAAACTGATGAAGACTCGGTTATAATTAACTTCCAACAGTTGATGAGAACAACTTATTTGTAGCAACCGCCAATTATACCGATTTTAATAGATTTCTACTTAGATGTCGTATAGCCTATTACGCCACAGAACAAAGATAAACCGTGGTAATCACAATGTAAAAAGGGGATTTCTCACATTTTGACCGCCACTTGAGATAAAGAGGGGTAATAGCGGGGTGTCAATGGACGGTTATTTAATTGTTTAATGAAGGGTACATCCCGTCGTGCTAATCAATGCTAATGTTAAAAGACGTTACACATTAACAGTAAAGCGATAATAAAAACATCACAATTTCTGTCTTATCTCCCGCTACGTTCCACTTGACTACGATTAATCTTTAATCCGATTGAATATTTTACTATCGTTCTTTGTGCTAATATTCTATAATAGTAAATACATTGTCCTGAGCAGACGTTTTTATAACGGGTTTTTATAATCAGTAACTGCCATAGAAAATGATAGTTCATAGATTGACATTAAAACAACTTTATTTCAATAAGCATTGCTATCTGGTTTCAAAACATTTTAACATTGCTGTACAAAATACTATAGTCATATAGTTGATCGGTTGATCTGTGAAAAAAGTTCTAAGCTTTACCACTTATAAAAGTACTACGCATGATTTAAGGTGCCAAAAATTGGACCTTAAGCTTTCCCGAGATAGATGGGGCAGATGGTTTCAGAATCCAAAAATAGTTTTGATAATTACTCTTTTGCTTTATGTGTAATTCTTCAAGAATAGGTTTTGAAAATTTCGTTTTTTTTAGAAAACTTTTTAATAATCCCTTTAATCTGATCTTGACCTAACTGGATATAACAACAAATTCGAATGCAACATTTTGCATTAAAAAAATATACTCGTGTCAGACCGGATACGAATTACCTACGAAACACCTGAATGTCGGTTCAGTTATGAGAAATATGAACACAAGTCTATCTCACCTGTCATGTTGTCGAAACTTTCAATAACATTTTTTTATCTATATCTCGAATAAAGAAAAGAACAATCTTAATTGAAAACATGTTATTTGGCCTTCGTATATTATGCCTATGTGCAAATAGAGGATACAAGGTACATATGTGTCCAACAAACATACAAACCTTTTGTATCTCTATAACCTTTCAGGATACGGGTTGGCATTCAGTCTTAACCACTACACCATACAAATATCCCTAACTGAAGCATCCAATCTAAATTCCCGAATGTTGGTTATGCTTCTACCTTAACGAAATAAATGTATTAAAATTAAATGAACCATCCTTGATGTATCGAGGATTTAAAAATGAAACCGACGAACAAATATCTAGTTTAAGATGGCGTTGGCACCATGAAGTATTTTTCTAAATTCATGTACTCGGACCAATGTTTGGAAATTTACGATCCGAAATATTAGCATTAGCTTTACGTAAGAGGCAGGGGGTGGAAGGAAGATTTTAAGATGACCATTAAAATTTAATCTTAAAATTTACTTTTTCAAAACAATTCGATAAGAAAGGAAGAAGGTCCTTCTCGTTTCTAAACTGCCATTTTCCGATGGGAAATAGGTGTATTACATTCTAAGGAAAGTAATTTCCTTGATAGATTTGTTAACAGGCCTATTTTAGTAGCATATGACAGAGGATAATAGTGATTATGAGTCAAAAACAATAGAAAAAGAAAAGATGTAATTTTTCGTTATTTTGGTGACAGTGAGTAATGTGTAGTTCAAGTCATATGATCATAACCAGTTTAGTTATTTACGATTCATTACACCCAATTTAACCAATATTCTCATTTGCTCCAAGTCATAATTCGTGAGTAAGTAACCAGGGCAGTCGCAACTGTCGTGACACATTTGATTTGCCAACGTGGAGGCCTTCATAATACTATTTCATCAGACTCACATGACCATGAATCGACCCGTTTAACCTACCTTTATCAATGAGTAATTTAGAATATATATATAGATTTGTTTGTGGTTTTCCCCAACGACCTTCGCCTTAACAGTCTTTTGTGATTAATCAGAGCACGTTAACATTGAGAAAGATTAGTTAAATATAGGCGGTTTCGAATTATGATACCTAGGGAACCTAAATTTCGAAATAAGATTGAGTCCATGATAAGATGAAACATTTCATGCATATATCACGTGTGTAAGAATTTTTTTTTAAAACAACGTATTCAAGGGCTGTTTACACGAAAAGTCTGCCCCACACCCATCTTTTTAATCTTCTCATCAGCTTACATAGAGATTATGGTGGTTGAAAGGTAACACGTTACTATTCAAAACAAGACAATGGCAGACTTAACCATAGAGGGAGAATTGCCTTTGAGCCCCCTGACAATTTTGTACTCTCGCCCCTCTCCCATAGGGTGTATGATCTGACTTTGCGGTAGTTTAAATTCTTTTCGTGTATGGAAAGAGGGGTAGGGTATTTTGTTATTCTTTCTGTATTATATATAATTGAGTTTAATTATCTAGAATATCAAAAACATTCTCGAATAAATAGACCTGCCATGAAATAACTAATTTATCTAATCGGTCCAATATCAAATTTGAACCGGGTGATATTATCTGTTTAAATACGTGTATTGAGTAAGAGGGAGGGGTAATGCAGGTACAGATCAATAGCTGGTCTAATTATAGGACAAGGATAATTACATACAACATCAAAAGACTTGTATCCATAATTACATGCCCAGATTTATAGTACACAGGATGTCATTTTTAACAACGACAGACTTGACTTTGTACAAGTGTCCACTTGACAGGTTTTAATGACTTTTTAAAATACCCTCAATCTGTTTTTAATGAGCGCTATTTGGAACAATGAGGTTGTTATTAAAAGATAAGATAGAATGTACATGAAAGCAACTTATTATGAGTGGAAATATCTGATTCCTTGATAATAAGAGAAAAACATTTATTCATTAGATGTGTTTCCTTTTTCATTTTAGTGTCAAATTAAGCAAACTGGTGTTTCTAATGAATTATTGTGTATTCTTAATCATATCATTATGTTCTGATATTGCATATAATAAAGAGTTTTCAATCATAAATGTCCATGTATGTATAGTCTGGATAAACAAAAACTAAAAAAGACTTTTAACCTTTCTTGATTTGTCACTCATTGGAATTCTGCTGTTATTTGGCTAATTACGAATTAATTATGGACACGTGAGACAAACTGGTATTTTTCCAAGTCATTAGAACACATCTACTTTCTATTCATATAAGGATTACCATTTTGATTTTCAAAAATGGACATAAGGGAATCCATCTTTAAAGGACATAACATTTATCTGTCGTAGCTTGGTTGGGAATTGAGCAGGTCCTTCTTCGAAACTTTCAGTAAAAAAAAATTCGGGAAATGGAGGATTATTCCAAATTCTTTTCCCAGTTTGTCATTCGACCCTTATAAAATCACAGATTGGCTTTTTGAGGGATCGTTTTCTGTTGTTCTTAATTGTTTCATGGCTGTGGCTGTGGCTGTCCAACTGCCGAGATACTTGCTATAAGCAGAAGATTCAGAGTAGTCAAAACGGTGCGATAAGATTTTCCAAACAGATTTCCCTTCTCAGCAATGAATGTTTAAATGTCGACTTGTAGTAGATGTTTTGTATCTTGAGTTAATCATGTGGGTTTATGCCGATGTCTTGGTAACATTTACCTCTTTGACACAGCTTGGTGGTGTCCGCCTAATATTCAACATTTCATTTCCAAACAGATTCGTGCCAACGGATCTCTTTTTTCCTCGGTACATAAACATCTTTATACTTGTGTTGATTTCCATGTCACAGTGAATAGTTTATTCTGTTCGAATCGATCTGCTTTTCTTTATTTGTAATATTGTATTGAAACGAACTGTTTGAAATGTCAACACGTCAAGGTCGTCTTAAATGGTTCTGACAATGTCAGGTATATTATTCGATTCACAGGGTCGGTTTCATGAATATCTTATTGATAATCCCAGCGGTCGAGTACGGAGTCGAGATGTTGAAAACAGTGCTTATTTGTATTCCCCAGTGGTCGTGGAGAAGGTCGAGATTTCAATTAACAACGCCTGTCATTAAATATTCCAGCTTCAGTTGGAAGTATAAATTGTTTATCAGCATCTGTTCAATACATCGTGTCATGAATAGAGGAAGCTCTCTAGGGTGCTATCAACTATTAATTTGCTGCGTGATTTGAACTTATGGCATCTCCACACGGTGTCAATTGGACTAAAGTAGACTTATTAACACATCAAAACCATTCCTTCCTTCTTGTGATACACAAAAGCAACAATATGTTTAAACGCACAAATATGTTTCATTTGCGATTCTTGTTTTTCATGACCTCCACATGATATCGTACGTCAAATGTCATTAGTAATTCACAGTTCTTCATATCTGTAAAATATTATTTCAGAAATAGTGAGCAAACTGGATGAAAATTTGCATATGATATTGGCATTCAATCCAGTCGTTTCCTGGATTTCTTGTTTTACTAATTCCTGTATATTTTTAGTGTTTAACATTAAATTAGCATAACCATCAGTTGTTGTTCTATTTAAATTTTGATATGATTGTTAAGATTTCTTACAAATGGTTGATGCACGTGTAGAACCCAGAATGCATTCAACAAATCCTATATAGTGATCAAAACCACCCATAAATATTGGAGGAGATAAAACTCTATGAACGATAGCATTTGATATCCTGTACAGATGCTTGCATAATTTTCATCTGTACATATCTGCCCTATCATATTTTAAAGTGTTTTTAAAATCCTACCAAATCCATTATTATTTACGTAATTCTTTGGTTTGTGAATATTTGGTTTCGCATGCTTGCTAGTATCAAAGATCATGGTACTCATGTATTCAAAGGTTTCAAAAGAAACACCCGTTATTCAAGTCAGTTTTCTTCACACAGTGCGTTTTGATTCCCTATTGAATTTTTAAAAGAGTACGGGACACTCCCTCAATTGACTATTCAGTGGAAACCAATGCCTCATGTCTCTTTATATAAATAATTTGCACTTAAGAGATAGTTATCGCATTCTTTCATTGTTCACATGTACTTGTTAGGTAGCTGGTGCGTAGCTTATTCAATTTGTGGTATACGTCATAATAAGACGGCTTATAATTGAATGTGCTTGTCTCCGCTATTGTGTTCGAAGTACAGATAATACTGTTATAGCAGTCAACCGCTGATTTTTAAACAACATTAAAAAGACATTTTAGAAAACAACATTATATTTATAATTTCTTTATAACGATTCAATAAACAACAACATAAGGTAAATAGAGCAATATCAAACAAGTATAAATTGCTTCAAAGCAAATGAGACTTTGGGATTTGGTTCCCATGGACGAACAAATGGTCGTGGTACACTAACCATATAGAGATTCATTGAGCACATTTTGAAATAGTACAAAACAAAATAAACAACAGAAGACAAAACAAAAATGAGTCTCTTGGCACGTTTGGATGATTATGAATGAAGTAGAACATTATGAAAAGCGCGTCATCACGTCGTTTCTATCCGTTGAGCACATGGTGTTTAAGTGTCCAAAATCACCGAAGCAGTTCAATAAGATGTCTTCCATTTCATCCAACGACCTCTGTCTTTTTCTAAACGATTTCGATTCGGACTCCTCGGATAGTTTCCTCTTTCGGCGTGAAGTGTCATGAACAGCGGGAGAGTAAAGTCCACCATTGTGCACTAAATCCTCGATGATGCATGAAGTGTCTACAAGAACATCACCAAACGTGACGTCTAAATCGTTAACACTGGGAACTTCCTGTTCACAATTCTCACAGGATGTGTCTTTCTCGAATAACGAGTCTAACTCTGTTGTTTGTATGGGTGACAAGGGTGACAATTTTGGTAAAGGTGATGACAAAACGTTCGTTACACATATGGAAGTGTCTTGACAAGTATTACTGATATCACTGTCAGAACTGATGAAGTCTTCAAACATAGACTGTACTTCTCCTGAGCTTTTTGAGCTTTCTACTTCTGTATCAATGTCACAAGATGCTGCAAAAGAAAAAAAATGACATAAATTTTCTGGGTGATCTTAGTACCATTATGCACAAATGAAGTTTTACGTCCCGCAGTCGTGGTATTAAGGTATTTTAAAGATATTAAAAATGATATTTACCTATAAGTGAGAAAAGTTCATCTGTAGATGTGTTAACTTCTTCTGAATCAGCACTATCGTCTATTAATCCGTAATATACACAGAAACCACATGGCTGAGACAAGACTGTTGTGTATGGAATGAGATTCCCACAAAGTTCACAAACACGAGGTACTGGTACTTCCGATTCACTAGATGATGAATATGATGGTGGCAAAAGTGCCAACTGCTGCATACATTCTGGATCGTTTAATCCTGGAAACCTATTCATATCCAATGTATAGTCTATGTTGGTATCCACACATAAAGGGGAAATCAAGTGTGCAGGAGCGTTCGTATAGTCCAACATTTTCGTAGTAAATTTAGTTTGAGAATGTGAACGTATAGTAAGATATTACAACTGCCAGAGTACCGCGTGTTATATACCATACCTTCAATTACCAAACACGTGGTTTGAATTCGTCACGTGATAGGTGTTTACCTTGTACAAATAACGTGAACCTTACGTTCTGTCTTCTCATTGGTCAGTAAAATTAGTAATACGAGATAATCGATAACTGATTGGTTACTGCTTTAGGGCGTGTATAATAGGTATTGTCCATCAATCAAGCGTGTCGGGATTAATCTTTGGCGGTGACATTCATTGTTCTGTATTGATGAAACGCCCGAGTTACTAGATTTAATCCGCCGTCGTAGTAATCTTCAAAGCATTGTGAGCGGTTTATCACAATGGGATAGTGATTAAGGACATAAAGACAATTGATAACACGAACACTGTGTATACTTTGTCGATGGTCTAAATACAGACTGGAAAGTGTTATGTATTAACTACGTAATTGAATTTCATTCAGAAACACATAGGGAAATCCCGCCAGCTGTTTAACACAGGATAATTGATAACTTCTCAACAAAGATTAACCTGAAGAGATTAACTTTTAAGCATTCTGATTGAGTGGCTGAAAATTGTCTCAAAGGTCTTAGAACAGTATTATCGTTTTTTTTTTGTCATTTCTGAAGAGCTAAACCACGAATATAAGATACAGGATTATCTGTACAGTAGAAACTATGCAAGACGAAAAAGGACATTGCCCTGAAACGGAAGCATGCATTGACTAATGAATCTTAACATTTTACAGATGGCCATCCTTACTCATTTACATGTAATGTAGTAGATATGATACTTGTTGAAATTGTGTGGTTAGCACAGTGGTATTGTCATGACTTCTTGTAAATACATATCGGAAGGCGACATATTAATATCTCTGAGTTTCCATTTTCGTTGTAATGTGATAATTTGATTTTCATGTTGGTTTTCATTATCAGGTCGATGCCTTAACAGTATATCCGCAAAATAAGTCATTTTGTGATTTCTCGCTCTGTATAAAGTCGCAACAGAACTATATTGTGTCTATAGAACCTGTAATAAGTTATACGGCGCTTTCCTTGTCAATCTCTGCAATGACTTGACTTTGTTTCGTTTCTCGCTTTCTCCTTTTAAGGGACTGGTCAAGAGAAATTACCAACATCCTACAGAAGCCACCCGATCCTGTAAAATTAGCTCTCTAATTCCATCTGGGATGGTCACTTGGACACGATTCGGGGAAGGGTTCAAGGGTTGGTTAATTTCTTTTGTTTTTTGGCCTAAGCACGTGGATACGAGATGATACCAAAAATACCAGCTTACAAAACATGACTAATAATGAACATCATGTATGTTATAACAGTTTTATTGTCTACCTGACATGTACTATGAAAGGGATATTTGAAATAAAAGCATGACGTCAGTGACATAGTAACATCTGTCACAATCAATATCCTCGCTTGTATTATAACTCTGACATGTCAATCATTGATTTGTGATGCCACGATCTGACGCATCATGTCATATATTATCAGGGTTTATATTCAACTATCTCACGTTTCATATATATCTTCATCATTCTTATTAAATTTTAAAAGGATTCTTATTAATTTCCAGACCGCCTGTCTTTTGTTCTATTAAGGTATCTGTTTATGTCTATCATGAACATGTTTTTCTTTTTTTAAATGAAAGCATGATTTCGAGTGCACCTTAAATTAAGTTCTGTTTTTCTTAAAGGTAATTTTAGAAGTAAACTTTTATGTTATTATTTGGCTTGTGTTAGTCAGGCTCATGTATCTTACAAAACATCGTCATTTGAAACTTTTCCGTAGAAGGAAATAGCTACAAGACCACGATGGCCATTTAACAGAAAAGACAATGTTTTTCCATTTAAAAATTTGTCGAGTATGGTCATTTGGGTGTATTTGTTTGTGTAGAATGACGTCAGCAACTATTCAATCACCTTAAAGTATTTATCAATCAAACAGACTTAATTAATTTCTTAACAAAATATTAAAAATGGATGCCGTAATTTGATGTCATAAATTTGTCACATTGACAAGCCCCTGTTGATGGTTTAAACATCTTGAAATTTTGACATACCAATTGTTTCCCAATGAGTTAGCTTTACGCCTATAAGATATTAGCACAGCAGATAACCCGGTAGCCTCTCGGGGGAGGTCGTTGTAAAGTGATTCAACAGGGCGATGTTTACAACGTGTCTGTCATACCCAAGTGTCAATCAATTGTCTGTCATCCTTTTCAATGTTAGAAGTTACAAATCATTAATAGCGGGAAAATAAAATCAGTCATGCACGAGTGTAAGATAAAGAAAGTAAACAATGCCAGACGATAAACTTCATTGCCGATATCTTTTGCAGGTCCTTTTGACAATAAGTCCTTTGTTCGGTACTTAAGATTTAAATCCATTCGAAATAATTTCATTTTCTTTTGTCTGGGTAAGTGTTAATTAGCTGGTAGGTGTTTTTCAAAAACACTTAATGACTTGCAGACGCTGTTTACTGACGAGAGTTTTATGAGGGCATTATTAGCCATAAACACCTCAGGGATACAGTTTAAATTTGAAATTAAAATTGCCGACACTTTTGATGGGTGTTTCCTAATTATCATTAAATGAAAGGTTATATCTTTGACTTGAGAACAACCGACACATATTTTATAATGGTAATTAAGCTTTAGAAATTGACGTCTTTGTGTACAGAAAATAAAATGGATCATATCCTACGTTGTGATTTCCTATACCTAATATTAGGCTAATGAGGACTACTAACCCTATTCAGTGTGCATTGTGGAATTTTTGCCTTTTGTGGAATCTTAAATGAGCGCAGCATATATAGCTGACACCGGTTCATTGCATCCGATATATGATGCTCTTTATATGAAAATATAATAATACGTATGAAAAGGAGTTGCATTGTGCCATTTAAACAACTGGTAGCCTATGATATTCAATTTTGAATTACAGGTTTTTATACAACCTGCATGATCTTTATAATGATTATAAAATGAAGGTAATATTTATATTCTTAATAAATGGAAGAGCTTTCCAGCAATGGGAGTGAATGCTTTTGTTTCCAAGCGATGTAGCATTACTCAGTTTATAAATGGATTTTCATAAAACTATATGTTTAGAATTCAGAATCTTTAGACTAAGTTGGAATCGGAGCAGTTGACAATATTTAGTACGGATTTGTACGTTTATCTATGAAATAAAAGTTTATTTTACTGCGGGCTGCATACTTTATCTAGATGACTATAAAACTACGCATTAAAGATGGGTTCCCTTATTTTCATTTATAAAAGTGAAAATGCTAATTGTTTGAAAAATACCAGTTTGTCGCACATGTCCATAATTAGCTAAATTAGAAGAGAATTACCAGCAAAATTCCAATGAGTTACCGATCAATTATTGTCAAAAAGTATTTTTTGTTTATCAAGAATGTACATAAATCAGCATTTATGATTGGTTAAAACTCTCAATTATATGCAATGATTAAGAATACCTGATAATTCATTAAAAACACCAATTTTTCAAATAGTTTGCTTATTTTGACGCTAAAAGAATAAGGAAGCCCATCTGAACTTAGAACGTTATATATTATATATAGAATAATTTGAATTATATAATATATTAATATAATCAATTGAATTCTTCAATCGTTATAATCTGATATATATTGTTGATCTGCGTTTGTTGCACTCTACAATTGAAATAAAAATAGGCCTACATGTACTACAAACAAGACAGCCAATGTCATGTCATGTACTTCATTGTTAGGTCGATATATGTAACTAAACAGAATGCTAATGGTAGAGTCAGGGTGAAAACTGCAGTGGAACTATGTGGAATCTTATGGAACCAGAGCAAAATACTGTCCCCGTTTCGCAAGGATAATATTTTCTGTTCCAGAAGTTTTTAAGGGCACAGACGCGCCATCCTTTTTGACTAATCATACTTAAGTCTCAGAAACGTATTTTTTTTTTAGCTTAGCCAATCAGTAATGGTGTTCACAGCTCACTGTCGAAATGTGAGCCTTCAAATCCATGTGTGTTCAGAATTATCCGCGTTTGAATGTTATTCTTGGACTCGTCATTTTAAGGTACTCTATGATATACAGTGGTGTAACCTATTTTCGTGGATATAAGGATTCAACACCAAATTTTGTCAAAGTTAAAAAAAACGATTTTTTTTTTCATGTCTTAGATATTTCCTCAAATATTCTACAAAATAATTAAAATTGGTTTATTGGTTCACCTCGACCCATATTTCATGAGCAACCAACTCGGCAACGGCGGCAGAACGCGTCACCTATTTTCGTGTACAATGTTTCATCTATAAATAAGTCTAGAAAAACATGTCGTATGGATACCCGGTGGTATAAACTTCTTTTAGTATTTATCTTTAATATCAATTCATTATAATTAGTGACAATTCCTTCAAAGAACCACGATTTAAAAAAAAAATAGTGACTGACAAAATAAGATACGTAGCGTGATTTATTGCTAAAAGTCACTGAAACAACATAAGAATATGGTCAACTTTGTGTTCCTTAGAAATTTTCTGACGTAACGTTTGGTAATAACTGAAATCCGCCATTTTGTATTTGATCAAAGTATACATTAATACATTTTACCTTGCTTGAAACTACTGGATTCATTCTACTAGCTGATATTGTAGAGATTACAAGCAAATGCGGAGGTCACACGAGGTCACACATGTAAAATATTAATCATTTCCGGAAATGCACGAAAAATAGGTTACCACGAAATTAGGTATAGAAAAGACATATAGAGAAAGTGAGTAAATTTCCCAGTTTGAAGTATTTTAAAGGAATTATTTTCGTTCAGTTCTAGTACCTCTGAAGACTATTGAATATATTCAAATCCAAAATGGCACATCTGCCCCTTAAAGGAAATTCATGCTGAAGTATCAACTTTTCATGCCAAATGAAAACACAGCCTACAATCGTTGGGTGTATGTTACCTTTATGGCAAGTCATCTTA